ACCCCCCCCCCCCCCCCCCCCCCCCCCCCCCCCCCCCCCCCCCCCCCCCCCCCCCCTTTGTGGTTCCAATCAATTACATCTACAATCACCCTAGAGCAGTCAAAGCCGGTGATTGAAATCAATCAAGTACATAACGTAGTGGGTATTAGATTAAGAATGGAACGTCTAGATACCTCCTATGGATATTCGTTAACCTAAGTTTACTTATTCACAGCAACTTCTCTATCACACCATGACTTGTCAGGAATACCAAGTAATGTTCTTGTCCCAGACGAGACGGTCGAGTATTGGGTAAATCATCTTCTTCAGTGTTATAAGTACAATATGTTTACCCAATGCTACCCCTTTGCTCCCCGTGACAAAACAAACAACCTCTAAGAACAGATCTAACTAAGGAACACGATGCAGGTAATTTACAGAGAATGTGAACCGAACCATATGCAAGTCTAAAACCGCCTCTAACATATTCCATCTGTGTATCAATTAGGTGCCTAGATACCTACCTAGATACCTACCTAGGTACCTAAGGTAGATACTCTAACCGAGAACCGAATTGTAAAAGTTGAAGAAGCCCTTGGGATCGTAGCGCTTCTTGAGGCTGCGAAGACGCTCTAGACGCCACGGCTCGTAGCCGTACATGGCCTCCAGCTTCTCGTTCCCGTGGGCGTAGTTCATGTATACGGACTCGATGTCGTAGCCGGAGTACTCGGGTTTGACTACCTCGTCGCGAAGGCTGCGAGCCCACGCATCGGCAGCAGGGGCGACGCTCTGATCCGTATAGGTGGTTTGGTAGAGAGCGAGAATGTTGGCGTAGTTGCGGTTTCCGACGGCGGTCTTCTCGGCTGGCTGCTCGACAACGGCCTTCTGTCCGAATATCTCGTAGAAGATCATCGAGTTGATCGCGAGCGGGTTGTTCTTGATGAATTCTACGTATGTGTTGTAGAACCTCCGCTGCTGGGCGATGTCAAACTTCTTCAGGTTCACGGTGTAAACGTTCTGGCTTGCTCCGTCAATGCATGCCAGGTCGATCATGCCACCAGCGGCTTGGTGCGTGATCTGGCTCCAGGGGACCATTGTCACGTTCAGGGAAGTGCGCTCAATGACTCCAGCCGATTTCTTGTTCGTAGCGAAGCGAGCCGTGAACTTATCTCCCTGATCTTTCGTGCCGGCATACACGATGTTGAGGTAGGTAACGGTCTAATAGGGATTAGCCGTCATTCAAAGATTGGAAGATGTCTCGTCAGATGCTTACCTCGTGAGTAGATGCGTCAGTCATAATGAAAAGGTCTAAAGCAAGACCAGGGTCTTGGTCAGGGATAAGATCGTTGATGACGCCAAAGACTCCCTCGAGAGAAGCGTTGGTAAAGGTCATGTCCGCGTTATAGGTCAAGCCGTTGTTCTGCAGAGGCCAGGTCTTGTAGGTGAAGCTAAGAACAATTCCGAAGTTGTGGCCAGCTCCACGCATGGCCCAGAACAGGTCCGAGTTCTTGGTTTCGGATACTTCGATGATAGAGCCATCCCATAGAGCGACGCGCATGCTGACGATGGCATCTACGATCAAGCCGTATTTGCCCTGAAGTCTGCCGTGACCACCGCCGAGACTCGCGCCGCCAACACCGACGCAAGAGCAAGAGCCAAGGGCTACATTTTGGTTAGTTCAGGTTGAACATATCTAAACGATAAATGTGATAGCGTTGGGAAGAGATGGGTACTGACGCAATTCTCGACCGGCTCCGTAAGCCGCCGTGTAAACATCACCAAACCTAGCTCCACCGCCGACGGTAATGGTCTTATCGGAGTTGACGGTGATTTTGTTAAACTTTTCCATGTTGATGAACACGACATCCTTGGCTTTAGCCAGTGTAACGGTATTCCCGTGACCGCCGCCACCTGCAAGGAACTTGATGTTGTGCTTCGTCATGTATTGGAGCTACATCGAGATGTCAGCTGATATATGTCTCTGCCAAGCCGAATGTCTTCAGCCCACTTACACCAACGGAAACGTCCTTCTCTTCCGCGGGAAGGAATGCGACGCTAAATGTTGGCGCGCTCCACGTGGACCAGCGGGTCGTGTCTTCAGCCCACTCAGGGGAATCAGGGGTAACGATCGAAGCATTGGACGAGATATGGAAGTTCAACGTGGGGGCAGTTGCCCTCTCCAAGAATTTCACAAGATCTTCACCTCTGCTGGTGTGCCAAGTAGGCCCAGCTGCCACTGACGAGGCAAAGATCGCCAGTGCATTGAAGATGGCGCGTGAGAGCATGATGGCCGAGTAACGCACAAGCTAGATAGCTCTTTATCTTTGAATCAGAGAAGTGTGCGAGTGTCGAATGGATGCTTGGAAAACTTTCGACTGGAAATTCTTCACGACTTCATATATTTTATATCTGAAGAGGAGTTGAAAGCTCATGACCCTTCTTTCCGCACTAAATTCCAAATCCTATTGTTATTCTCGTCCCATGGATCATGGCTCCCTCCAGCCGATGCGCCCTCCTGTCCTATTGCGCCTCTCATCCCATCACGAGTCACATCCTGTCACCGGGGCGTATCCTAGTGTAAGCCAGAGTAAACATAGCCTAGAGCTAGGCATCTGGATTCCAACCGTGGCGATGCCCTGTGTGTTACAATAGATGCAGGTAATTAGCAGGCCGTCATAGCAGTTCACCTGAAAGGTAAGGCTGAAGGTGAGGCCGTAGCTGAAATGCTTACCCGATGAACATGCTTCAGACCCTTGTGCTTAGGAACCCCGGAGAGGCCTTAATCTGAAAAGTTCCCACATATCCCCGATATACGAGATTGCCGTCGGATAATATGGCTAACTAGACGAATCTTCGTTATCAGTTAGTCTAGGTATTAGTCTATTCTATGTTATGCGATGAAGAGTAGGAGCTGATACAAAGCCAGCGGGATCAATTCTCCGAATCCTACGGTTTACTCATGTCGACACTGATCTAAGCACTTTAAGAATAGGCAACAGCTTCGGCTGAGACATGATACTGTCGTACAGACGGAACAAGCGCTTAACGAGAGACTTCGGCTGGACCCTGGAAAGTCCCGGGGAGTACGGTCCTATTGGTCAGAATAAGCCTTTGAATTAGAGGATTAACCGAATATCACTTCAAGAACTATGGGAATGATCACATACACACGATTTTAGAGTCACTTTTACTGAAACGGGTGAATAGCATGGGAGGACACCATATAGAGAAAAGGGGTTGTATTGGTCTTTTCGCTAGGCAGATTTTTGGCTGGCGTGGCAGTTGACTCTACAAATCATCTGATATTACAAGAAACTGTTGGGAGTACGAGCATATGAGTAGGTAGAGCTAGAGAAGATATTTATACGTGGGGGCTGTTCAAAGTTGAAATAGGCTTCGGGGCGTCCAAGATGATGAAGGATTGTACTTAGGGCGTTGGGGCGTAGGGCTATTATTAAATCAATCAATCAGCTGTAACTTACCGCACGGAGTGATAGCGTCGCTCTAAAATATCTCTTATCTCCGTAACCCTGGTCATCGTGAAGACTCAGCAAGATGAGCGAATTAGGACTTAAGAATCAATGCCACAGTACATGGGTACCTACCAAAGCGGCATGAAAAACGGTATATACAAGTTCAGCCAATCAAATTCAACAAGACTTTCCTTTATGGCAATATGAAGGTACACAGTACATCAGCTGCCTTGTAAGTTGTACGTAACATGTCATTTCTTCAAGTCCAACGCAAATTCTACCTACGGTTTTAGAGGCAACTTAGGTAAGCTTAGAGGCCTTTTCCCCCTTTATCTCCTTTTCCGATGCTTTTCTCAGGCGAGTCTTTCAATGACGAAGGATAGGTCTAGGTCGGTCGGTCTAATTAGAATCCTTAACTTGAAATGCTTACTTAGACACGTTGGGTACTTGGTACTCAGTATAAGGTACATTGCAAACAGTAAAGCAAACTTCAATGCGCTGCATGGTTTAAAACCCGAGATGTGACTGGCTGACTGGATACGCGGTTACACGTAATATTGAGAGTTGTTGGCTTATAGCTGAGCCAGCTGGTCCCTGTTAACGTGCTCGGAAGATGAAAAAAATCCTAAACACGAATAGACGCCTCACATATAATAGGTCATTATGCGACATCGTGGCGGAAGTTACCTATGCCAGCAACGGAGTTTACATGTCGCGAATCCCCTTAGTCTAACTCCCTTCTCTCGCGCTCCCTTGAAACCTAAGACCGCGAGTCTTTGAGCACTTCGGACGGACTTGTCAGGTAGCTAATCACTCGCCTCCGTTGAAACCCGATGAACGTAGGACAAGCCGAAACATTTTTGTACCACATCTTCCGCTAAACCCTTTCTATGATGAGGTCCTCTACCAAAGCACCTAGAACATTTAAACACCCGGGGTGATCTCGTGATGGCTTTAAAGAAAACCAGTATCCGTTCTTCCATCTCGGCTATCTTCTGCAATCCTTTCCGCAGCATCACACATCGCAAATCGTACCATCTCAACAAAATGTCTTCGACTTCTACTACTGTCTTCAGGCCCAGGGCCGTTACAGGCTTCGGGCTTATGGGCATGACTTGGCGTCCTGTGCACACGCCCGACGAGCAGGCCTTCGCCACCATGAAAGCTGCTATTGCTCAGGGCGCCACATTCTGGTCTACCGGTGATTACTATGGTATGCCTGAGCCAACAGCCGGCTTAGCACTGGTGCGCCGCTACTTCGAAGCTTACCCGGAGGATGCGAGCAAGGTCACCCTATTCATCAAGTGCTGCGTCGACTCCAAGACCATGGCACCAAAGAACAAGCGCGAGGAAGTACTTGCCAGCGCCGAGAACTGCTTCAAGGTCATCGGTAGCGCTAAGAAGATAGATATCCTCGGCCCGGCCCGTATGGATCCCAGCGTGCCGCTAGAAGAGACGCTAGGAGCTTTCAAGGAGCTCGTAGATGCCGGCAAGATTAACGGCGTGGGAATTAGCGAGGCCAGCGCCCAGACGATCGAGAAAGCGAACTCCATCTACCCGCTAAGCCTGGTGGAAATCGAGTTCTCCCTTTGGACCCCCGACATCCTGACGAATGGCGTGGCGGCTACAGCTAAGCGCCTCGATGTTCCCCTCGTTGCTTATTCCCCGCTAGGCCGTGGCTTCTTGACCGGACAAATCAAATCCGTCGATGACATCCCCGAGGGAGACATTCGTCGCCGCTTTGACCGCTTTCAACCCGAAGTAAGCAATCCTTTGTTCCTAAACCTTAACCTAACCCATCTAGGGATATTCTTTCGAAGCTAACCCCCAACTTTTCACCCCTCCCTTCTTTAGAACTTCAACAAGAACCTCGAGCTTGTGGATAAGCTGAAATCCTTCGCTGAGAAGGCTGGTGTCACACCAGCTCAGCTCGCGTTGGCTTGGATTCGCTCCACCGCTAACTCCCCGCAAGCCGGTACCATCATTCCTATCCCCGGCGCTACGAGGGTCGAGCGTGTCGAGGAGAACTCCAAGGCCGTTGTTCTGTCCCCGGAAAACAAGGCTCAACTCGATGCGATCCTCTCATCTTTCACGATCCAGGGTGGCAGATATAACAAGGTGCTCGAGGGTCTACTTTGGCGTTAAAGTGTTCTCCGAATCATGAATTATATGTTATCGTGCTAGGTATATGGAGATACATGGCGGCTGGATAGTAAATAGAAAGCAACATTTTTAGGTACCACATCATGTCGTCTTAGATTAGATACGCGTAAAAATGACATTACATGTATGCACTGCCCATTGAGTACCTAAAGCTGAATTAGATACTTCAACTCTACGTAGTGCTTGTTTTTGAGTCTAACGAGATACCTATCAAGGAAGGGTTTAATGATATGAAGCAGTTTTAGGACTTTAACGACTCCAATACATAGGAGGTAGGTACCTAACGCAACGTTCTGCACATCATCAGAACGGTCCAGAACTACCTAGGTAGGCGTAAGCACCGAACCACAGTCGCCCCCTTACAGGCCTTACAGGGGCTTTCGGGCCAAGACTTATAGACACCGGAGCTAAGTGTAGAGCTTACACGAACGCCTAAACTGACATGCGGGCTAGAGCTGAAATCCAATGTTATCGAAATAGTTAGTGTATAAATTATATATAAGTGACCGTTTCCCATTGGAATTGCATCACAAGGCTAGGTGGACGTGATAATTGAGATAATAGATCTATTATTTTATTTGATATTGAGCTGTTGTGGTGGGCTCATGGTCCTCAGTTCACGCGTTGCTCTACCTAAAGCACTCATACCATTGGCATTTCACCCAGAGTATATGGGACTCGCCTCCGTATAATGTCCTTTACAATGTAACGACTAGTTTCACGCCGCTAATCTGGGCAGGGAACCTAGCTATTCCCTTCGGGATATCAGACCATCCGTGACCGACAACCTCGGCCTCGACGGGCACCTTGTACTTGCGCTCTTCCAACAGCTTGCTGAACCAAGCCATGGCGCCGCGCTCCGCACTTTCCACGCCAACTAGCGAGGAGTTGAACCCCTTGGGGATCTGAGCGCCAGGCCGGGTAAGGACCAGAGAGTACAACTGCGGGCCGTCGGGCCTGATCGCCTCGAAGACGGCAGGCGTGTCGTGGCAAGCTCCGACGGCGTCCAGGATGGCGTCGAAACCGGCTCCGTTCGGCGACGCGGCCTTGAGGGCGGCGCCGTCCTGCTGGGCGGATCTCTCCAGCGTCGCGTCTGCGCCGAGAGACTTTAGACGCTCGTGGTGATGCTTCGAGCTGGTGACCACGATGGTGACGGACGGCAGCGCGAGACGCAAGAGCTGGATGGCGGCGCTTCCAACGGCTGAGCCACCGCCGACGATGAGAATGGACTTGGGCGCGTTGGTGTTGTCGATCTTGGAGAGACCGGGAAAGCCGACCTTGAGGCCCTCGATGATGGCACCAGCTGCGGTCAAGAAGCAAGTTCTAATGAAGCAAGTTAGTCTTACGTAAAAATAGGGGTTTTCTACCTACTCAGGTAATCTAGGTAAGGTAATAATACTTACGGTAGCGAAGCAGCCTCTTCAACGCTCAGGTAAGACGGCTTCTTGGCAACATCGTTCGTCTGGGCAACAAATATCTCCTGCCATGTGCCCTTGCCCTCGATACCAGGGGCGTAGCTGAGGACTTCGTCGCCGGCCTTGAAGTCTGTGACGCCCTCGCCGACTTCCTCGATCGTGCCAGCGCCGTCAATGCCAAGGACAGCGGGCCAGGATTGGATTGTGGCGCCGAAAGTGATGTTCTTCCAGTCAATGCCGTTGATTGCAACAGCCTTCGGTCGGATAGTGACTTCACCAGCACCTGGCTTGGGCTTGGGTGCCGTGATTAGCTGGAAAGGCCCGCCGACCTTGGTGGCCTGGTAAACTTGAATTGTAGACATAGTGAAAACCGAAGTTGATAATTCGAATAATTTCTTTCTTTCTTTCTTGAGTGATTATTGCTATTGTAATCGAGACGATGAGCAATAAGATGGATAGTTGATAATTCTTGAAGCTGGGTATACTGGATATATACCCCGCAATAAGGGAGAAATCTTTGAAACTTCCAACGGTGTCAAAAGCAACCAAAAAATCGAGGTCTGACGTATAGGAGTGAGATGTTTGTGTCACCTCATCGTATCCCCGGAGAAAAAAAGAACGAGAGACGGCAATGCGTCTGTTAACTTCGCCGGCTCGCGAATGCTACGTCCGTGATCGGACATAACATCTTATTTCCAAATCCGACGTCACACCAGAAAGTCTGCTGTTAATTGGATAAGACAATCCGATCTAAAGCAAAGGGGAAAAAACGACAGTATGAATTAATCAATAACACCTTTGAGGCTGACCCGAACGGGAAGAAATTCCCGCTTTACCCCCCTCTTTGTTTTCCGGGCCACACCCTCCAACAACTCTCCATTTTGATCATGTGACACCGAACCCCGCCGGAGCCGATTTCTATTAATACCGGCGGCCCCCCTTTCGCTATTTCGTGGAGTATTTTCTGTTTATTCCTAAGCTCCAGGACTGTTTGTAGTATTTGTGCTATTGTGTTTTCATTATTGAGGCATAGAGTGGGATAAAGTGGGCTTGCTTATAGAAATTCGGAATACTTAACCGCTTTAATGCGGGACTACGGATTCGGCTCGTACCGAAGGGATATCGGGCGGAATGCTCCACTGTACTATACCTATCTTAATCAGCCAATGTTAGATGTAATAGAATGTAGAAGGCGCTCGAATTAAAGAAATGCAATTCTAGAACTGCCTAGCTTATGGTGACATCCTAAATATTAGTAAGGAGTCTGCACTATGACGTTTGATATAGGAGGTAGCTTGAAATTCAAACAAAGCAGGCGAAAAGGGGTTGCCGAATAGGGGTAACACCAAGCTGTATTGTCAACTTGTGCAGTTATTCACTATGCATGCTTTTACTTCAATCAAGCCCTTGGTATGAAACATAACGCCAATTTTTCATAATCTACTAAGTCGCTTCTAAAAACCTAGTAGCCTTTTCATATTTAAGTTCAACCTACAGTTGCGCCATCGATAAGAGGTAAATCAAGCTCTGGCTTAGGTACTTGAATCAAGGAATTAGTTTGAATTATTTTAGCAATTGTGAAAGTCCCTGTCCCTGTTGCAAAAAAGAAACACCAAGCTTGGATGAAAAGTTATATGAAAGTAAAATTGTTATTCCCCTGTCCTATTCTATAGCATTCCTAATGTACAAAATGTAATCTCGATATTTTCAATCTAGCCTCTCCAATCTTTTTGCATGAAACTTTCTATGTATATCCACAGGTAGGCAAGATAGCCATATCTACCTAGGTACTCATTAATTCAGGAAACCAATCTCTTTCCACACGTAGATGTATCTCCTGATAACTTCCTCGCTGACCGGACCCACCGCCGCTAAGGTAGGTGAGTGCTCAAGCGTCTTCTTCGCATCGAGAACGAGTCCGCCGCAGGACATGCGCCGGTAGTTGCTGTCTAGGAAGTCGGCCAGCGCAGCAGCCGGATTGTTTCGCTGCGGCGCTGCGCGCACGCGCTTCGTCCACTCCTCAAGGGGAATTAAGTCCCGGATGCCTAGCGCATCTGCCAAGATCTTGTTGACTTCTTTCCACGGCTGGCCGACAGGGTTCTCGATGTGGTAGAAGGGGTAGTGGGGCTGCGGGTGCGGGCGCAAGACGAGATCGGCCAGCGCGCCGGCGATGTCGTTGACGGGCGTCCAGTATACGGTGCCGTCGACGTCAGGTAGGGCGTTAAGCGTCTGCGAGGACTTGATCATGAACCCGAAGTGCTCCATCGGGTTCCAGTACCCGCTGACCTTGGACCCGGCGATCTGGCCCAGGCGCACGGTCATGGGGCGGAAATGTTCCGGGTACCTGTGCAGGGTCTCGTCGAGCATCCGCTCGCAACCCCACTTGGCCTGCGCGTAGCCGACGGGCAGAAGCGCGTCGACGCTCACACGGTCCTCGGGCACGACCGCGTGCTCTTCCGTGCGCCCGTAGTGCCCGACCACGCTGATGGACGATATCATCTGGAAGCCGAATCGGAAGCTGGCGGGGCGGCGGGATACCACGGCGGAAGCGAAGTCGATCAGGTTGCGCATCGTGCTGAATTGAGGCTCGAAGCCGTCGAGGGGCCGCTTCACGCTCATGGGCCACGCGTTGTGGATGAGGTGCGTGACGGAGCCCGCTAGCGTGTCATATTCGCTCTTCGACAAACCGAGCATGGGCGCCGAACTGTCCGTCTGCAACACGTGCAGTTTGGAGAGGAGATGTTCGGGGAAGTGAACGCCCTTGTCTTTCATGGCCTTCTTCTGACGCGTAAAGGCTTCGGCCTTGTTCTCGCGATTGAGACAGACGACCGTCTTCACGTCGGCACGATGCGCTAGCTGGAAAGCTAGGTGGCCTCCTAAGCTTCCCGATGTTCCTGTTACTAGGACAACCTTTGCATTATCCGAAGGGGCAAGGGCGGATGGCGAAGGCACTGGCGCCGAATAGCCGGCGGTGTACTTATCGACATATACATCTACAGCTGCCTTTCGAGCGGCTAATTCAGCCTTCTCGCTTTCTGTGAAGCGCGGTGCTTTGGTGACAGTGATAGGTTCTGGCTTTTCCTCAACAGGGGGTTGGTTTGTGCTTCCCGTATCGGAGGATCCAAGAAGCAACTCTTTTAGGTCGGCAACGGTGGGACACTCAAGGAATAGAGACTCGTGTTGGATGTCAAGTTCGAGTTCATCCCTAAACCGACTCACGATAACGAGCGATAGAAGCGAGTCCACACCCGAGTCGGCAAAGTTGGTGTCATCAGTAAGATCTTCCGTCGCAACGCCGCTCTCTTCGGATATAATCTCAAGGGCGCGCTTGAAGTCAACTTTCATCGTCACCGAGGGTGTCTCATCCGTGACTGAAGAAGTTGTCGTGCTCGCCTTTGGAGTGGGGGTATCTATGCCATCGTGGGTTCTCGGGGTGGAGGTACCGGTGGTGCTGGCCGATTTCGAATCTCCAAAGAATCCCTTGAGATCTCCAACTGTGGGATACTCGTAAAACAGTGCGTTGAAGTCGAGGTCCATGTCAAGCTCCTCCTTGAATCGGGCAGAGATGGTCAGACCCAAAAGGGAATCGATCCCGACGTCGCCGAAAACAGTGTTGTCGGTCAAATCCGACACGGCAATGCCACTTTCATCGGCGATGATGGACAAGGCTTGCGCAACGTTAGTTGAGGATGAGGGGCTTTCATTGATTTGAGCAAGAGGCTTCGTCGCACTAATGACAGGTTGAGAGGGTATTGACGGCAACGAGTGTGCTGAAGGGACTGAGGGGGCAACCTGGCTCTTCTGTGCAGGCGCCTGTTTCTTTGCATTTCCGCTTTCTGCTGATAGAATAACCCGCAAGACACGGCGGGGTACACCTTGCATCTAGATTTATATGGTTAGTAAGCTTAAAGATATTCACAAGAAAAGGGGGATCTTACCGCGAACTCTCCAAAGTGCGCGACAACTTTATCGCCATGTAGGACCATCACGTCACCGTGCCATAATCGGTCTTTGCCTTCGACCATACGAGAGTAAGTCGTGTACTCCTTCTCAAAGGATAGCGGCTCGAACATCTGGAACGATCCCCACCCGTGGTTCACGTACACATCCCGGTCCAGATCGTTGTCATCTCTGCAGTTCATGGAGAACCCAGCAGACCAGGTCAAAGCGTCCAGAAGGCCCGGATGGGTGTGGAAGTCACCGCCCTTCTTGAAGCTTCCGAAGCTGAGACGGCTTGAAGCCTCTAGCGTCTTGCTGTCGAGCAAGATTTCATCCACAGCTCTGTAGTCATCGTGGAACCGTGCTAGCGGTCGGATGGCGCGGTATACCATGGAGCGGTTGTAACGAGCGGTCTCACCTGTGGTAATCCCGTTGCGGAGAGCTTGCAGTCTTTGCTTCACGTTTGCAGCCTCCTTTTGCAGCTTCTGCTGAAGGCTGTTGTCCGTAAAGCGAATGACACAGCGAGAGTGCTCCTGTAGTTTCTTGTGGGCCTATCATTAATATTTGTTAGTGTGACTATCAAAGAGAGATTATAAGGGGGGAGGGTCCAAAGACGTACGTCAAAGGTCATAAACTTGACAGTCGCCGTATTCGATGACCAGTCTGCCTCGGCGTGGGCCTGAAGAGCCTGCTCAGAGGCATTAGAACGGAGGATTAGCGCCTTAAAAATATCCAAGTTGGAGATGTTGACGATGCTGCCCGCCTTGCTTGGGTTATACCGCCGAAGGAGGTAAGTGCCGACGGTGAGTGCAATGTCAGCATAAACGGCCGGGGTGCAAAGAGGGACTCCATCAACTTCATGACCCTCTACCAACGGTCGGAAATCCTTGCGAGTGACATCTGCCTCGACGATGATGTGGGCTTTCTTAGAATCGCCAGTTTCTTCGACAACCCTGTGAACCGTGGTGCTCTCAATTCGCGAAGAGCCGCTGATTACCAGAGGGGGGTCTCCCTTGCGCAAGGACCAGTCATTGACATATTGAATCCAGTATGGTTTCAAGTCCCAATTGTATGCTGGCAGCTGGATGACCTTATGGGACGCCTTGAAATCGGCGTGATATCCCGACCAGCGAATGTCAGCTCCTGCAGTGTAGAGGGATTTCAGTGCAGCTACTAGAGTCTGGAAAACTGGTCTGCCTCTCTGTAATGATGCCAGTGTCTTCGTTTGTGAGCCGAGAACCGACCGGACCATCCCGGAGATGGCGGGATGCGGGCCAATTTCTAGTGTGGTGGACTGATCGCCAAGAATATGGCGGCTGTTTGCTGTCATGAGTGCCTTTCGCATGTTGACAGGTTCACGGGTATGACGGGCGAGGTACTCAGGGCCGAAGTTTTCAATGCCAATAGAGATATTTCCATCCAAGGGGCATAGCACTGGAATCTTAGCCTCGGAGTACGTTGCGCCGGTAGCCACTTTCTTGAATTCCTCTAGAATCGGATCCACTTGAGAAGAGTGGAAAGCATAGGGGACCTTCAAGAGTGTTGTCTTGAGACCTGCATCTGCTAGCAGGTTCTTGAAAACGGCGATATCCTCGTTGATGCCGGCCAAAACCGTCTCAGTCGGTGAATTGATACAAGCAACTTCGTACGTGCGATTCTTGAGGATGCCTTGGACTGTCTCAACTGATGCCATAACTACCAGCATAGAGTGAGTATCGCGAGTGCACTTCTCTTGGAGTAGAGTAGCCCTAGCTCCTACCAGGTAGATTGTGTCTGCATCAGAGAGGACTCCAGACACGTTGAGGGCGGCATACTCTCCTAGACTGTGTCCAACAACGGCGGTAGGGGTAATATTCCACGATGCCCATAGCTTAGTGAGTGCAATTTGCAAACAGACGCTAGCCAACTGAACAGCGGCGGGCTTGAAGATGCTGACATCCAATTCTTTCGATTGGATAACAGGCAGTATGGAAGGAAAACCAAGGCTCTGACCAATACGATCCAATCTCCGAATTTCAGTACGGAACAGAGAGAAGTTGTCATAAAGCTCTTTGCCCATACCAGGGTACTGTGCACCCTGCCCTGTGAATGCGAAGACAACCTTGGGTGAGCCCTTGGGCCTAGTCATTCCTGCCTGGTCGCGGATAGCAGCCTCTATCTGTACGCATAGGTCCTCAGCATTTGAGCCAGCAAGCATTACACGATGCTGGTGGTGAATGCGCCGTGCTGTGGTAGTATACGAGAGCTGGCCAAGGTTGACACTGGAGTTATGCTCTAGGAACTTGAGTAGAGACTTCAGGTTTCCTTGCAAGGAAACGCCATTCTTAGCCGAAACAGCCACGACGTGGTGGTTACGCGAGTCGGCGACTTCGTTGGTGGGCTCGGGTAGGAGAGGCGCATCTTCGATCAACAGGGCTGTGTTACCACCAGCAGCACTGAAGTTGTTCACGAATGCTCGTCGGGGCTTCGAAGGATCAGAGCTCCTCTCCCATGGTGTAGGCTTCAAAGCAATACGAACGTTCCGTTCATCGAGATCCGTTGGAAACTTGTGGTTTATCTTTGTCTTGATACCACAGTGCGGAACTATCATATTCTTCTGCATCATTAATAGCACCTTGGTAAGACTTGCCATGCCAGATGCAGCTTCGCCGTGTCCGACATTTGCCTTAGCAGAGCCCAAGAAGAGAGCCTCGCTGCTGGTTCGGCCGGCCTTAACCTGGGCGAGAGGTGGAGCAAAGGTATCCAGAACACTGGACATCTCTCCAGCGTCGCCCGCTTGCGTACCGGTTCCGTGCATCTCGACATATCCGATAGAATAGGGGTCGACAGCACCTTGATTGAGGATCTTGCTAAAAATGGCACGCTGAGCACCAACGTGAGGGCGAGTGATAGACTCGGATTCGGCAGAGTGATTTGTGTACGCGCCCAAGATTAATCCCAAGATAGGGTCCTTGTCGGCAATAGCATCATCAAGACGTTTGATGATGACCGTGCCGACGCCCTCACCTCGGCAGTATCCGTCAGCAGAGTCGTCGAAGGTCTTGCAATTACCTGTTCTCGAGAGGAAGTGTCCCTTATCAAGACCAGCCGTCATGTCCGGGTTGGTCAAAACATTGGTACCGCCAGCAATAGCCGTATCTATGTCTCCTCTCCAGAGAGAATTGCAGGCAAGGTGAATTCCAGCAAGACTAGATGAGCATGCCGTGTTGACCGCATAACTTGGACCACTGAATTTGAAGAAGTAGTTCACCCGGCCCGGGATGAACGCTTGATTTCCACCGGGAATGAAGTACGTGTCGACATTCTGGGCACTGTTGGTTTCCATCCAGTCCATACTAGTCACACCATAAAAGACGCCGACACGATCGCGGCGTGTCGACGGCGTGGCGTCTGGGACGATACCGGCTTGTTCGATCGCTTCGTAGGCCGTCATCAGAGCAAGCCTTTGCGCGGGGTCAATTTGTGGCGCTTCTCGCGGCGAAATGTTGAAGAAGCGCGCATCGAAACCGGCTGGGTCATCAAGCCAACAGCCAAACGCCGTTGCGCTCGTGTTCTTCCCCTTTCCTGTGGGGTCGACATGAGTCCTGGCATCCCAGTGGAAGTCTGGCACAGGCTTGTGGACATCTAGACCCTGGTAAAGGAGGTCCCAGAAAGCTTCGTTGTCTTGGGCACCGGGGAACCTTCCTGACAATCCGATGATAGCAAGCTTGGGTTTTCCGGGGCTAGCATACGAACCGCCCTGAGCAGGGGTCGGTTGACTCTGAATTGGAAGTTGTGCTAGCAAAGGCCGCAGAGACGTCTGCTTAAGCGCTGTATAGATGAGTTGGTCGGCCTTGGTTCCAATCGGAACGATAGTGAACGAGTTGGGTTGCTCTCTTCGGAGGCAGACCTGCAGCTCCTCGAGGATGTCATTCCAACGAATTGGCTGTAGTAGTATCTGACCGACTGCAGACTTTAGGAGGGTCTCGAAGGTGCTGCTGTCATCCGCCTTTCCGGTGCTGGAGAAGACAGGAATATAGCTTGGGCGTGAGCGAGTGCTGCTGGAACTTAGGCTCTCGACAATTTCGTCAACATCCTCTGAAAAATATAGATGCGGAGCATGGTACGGTCCGAAGATCTTGATGCCCTTCAAGCTCGAGTGATGTAACGTTCCTGAGCGGGTAAGCAGCTCAAGTGAGCGAGGTGGACCGCTCACGGTGATGCCATTTGGAGCGTAGGCGCTAACGTAGGGCCTAGCTGATAGGGGCAGCGTCTAATGTAAAGTACGTAAGTATTCAACCGCTGGCTTAAGTACCTAGGCGTCTAAGAAAACGCCGGATGATAGGTAGGTGAGGTAGGTAGGGATTCTTACCGTTTGTTCGCAAAATCTTATGACGGCATCAGCCGAAGAGGAGCCAGGTACAATTATTGACCAGCTCTGGTCCGACGAATCCGAGGTCTGGAGCCTCTGTGCCATGTCGGTTACATGTATGCCCGTTCTGAAAGCCACTATGACCGCGTCAACAGCCACAGGGATGAGCTCAAGTGTGTTACGGCTACAGCCGACTGCAGCGGCGGCCAAAGCTCCCGTGCAGAGACCCAGAATGCGGGAATCATTGGCGTGGAATTCCCACGTGTCGGCTTGGCTGCATGGTGTTCATTGTTTAGCTTATGTTCCTGCGGCGTGCGTTATCGTATTTTAACGTATGTCTTACCTGATGAATACGCCGAGCTGGTACATGCATGTCACAGCCATGTCTAAGGCTATGCACCGTTTTCCATCTTGCTTCCATAGGACGAGATCGTCTAAGCAGGTGAATCGAGGGAGATCATCCCTGACTTCAGATGGAAGTTGGTATATCTCTGTACGGATGGCGTCGTATACTCTGACCAGGAAGTCTTCCAGTACTGGATTGTGCCTGTATAGCATCAACTCCCTGAGGTGTGGTTGTATGTCGTATGTCTGATCTCCAAAGAGATACAATTTTAGTTGATTGGCCATCTTGATATAAGGTAGGTTAATGATACGACTTAGAGATAGATGTCGGTGGTTTGGCTGCTGCTGTAGACTCCTCTGAATCGAAGAAGTGCTCGGAATGTAAACATACCTTATATACCATCTTTACATGGGCATTCACAATCTCGTTCTCGTCTGCGTTATCAATATCACCACGCAATTTCACCAATCGTAGGTATCCCCTTCAGCGAAGATCTGTTAAGCCTTGCCTCATCAGCTTGCCGGCTACTCCGCCAAGCTATCAGTGACTGTGTTCGGGCACACTCATGTTGACGATATGTGACATAAGCCGCCAAAGGCTTCCACTCAAAATTGAGTATCTTGTCCATCTCGGAGCCGGGAATCCTGCGGGGGATCTAAGAGTAATCGGGGCTTATTCAAGAGATTCAGTAGCCTTATCACATAGATACAGGCATCCAAGGTCTGTCAGGTTTTGTTTCACATCCGCAATGATATGTTGACGACTCCATTCCCTTGCCCCGCCGACCAATCCTGGCACCAACGCTCTCCTGCTCGATAAGCTGAAACGAACTTATGTCAACTACTTTTAAAACTTGTGAACTAGCTAGACATGAGATAAAGGTGTCCGGCGAGACGGGAAGCACGTGCTGCATGCAGCATGCCTGTAACCCAGTCACCAGGGTCTGGAACATCCTATGTACATGCAAGATGTACAAAGTTTTACGTTTTAAACGTCAAAAACATGCTTACCTATCTCAGTACAGCCACTACATTATACTATGAGGATTTTATCCTTTCCTAGATACCTGGGTTTATTGTAGGTACTTTAGTTATTGTTGGTTTCTGACAGAGATGGAAAAACTCCTATTACTACCTAAGGTATATTTCGAAAATTCGGTCCCTTCTTAGATGCCATCTATCTCACCCGGAATGACCGTTTTTCCACTCCAAGAATAAGAAGACATGAGGTATGCTGTAAGTGCATGATGTTGTGTAATGTGCCACAGTAAGGCGTTGGCTCGAACATTTACTAATCCGTATCATGCAATAATGTAGGCTATTATGAGGCGCCTAGGAGAAAGATGGCGGCAGAAATGGCGGAAGGTAAGCGATAAGCTTACCTCCCATGCGTAGGAATAGGCTGAAGGAACCGTAAGAAGGCCTCTCTTGTGTAACACGCCGAAGGTGCCAGGGTGTGAGCTTGTTAGCTTGGACGGTAGGAGAAAAAATCAAAATGACTCCGCCTTGAAGTTTTCCCTCCTTATCTACCTAATAGGAGCCCCTCTCGCAGGAACGGGGGTCTACAGGCATGCAGGTTTGAAATGGCTTGGAATCTAGTGATCGAGTATACTTTGAGTTATAGTTGTCAAGTTTCTTTTGAATAATTTCTTTTGGTCGCATTCCTCGTTATCTTGCATTTCTCAAAGACCTATCCAAACGTGGAAGTTCACTTTTCCTTGGTATCACTAACTATGATTAATAACCCTCCACGAGCATCTCGGCAGCCCAAGCTGCGATCCAGTTGTGATGGATGCGGCTCCGCAAAGCTCAAATGTGATCGAGGGCAGCCCGAATGTGGAAGGTGTGTGTCGCTTGGCATCGTCTGTGTCTATGGCGTATCACGGAAGATGGGTAAACCACCAAGAGAAAGACTACACATTCCAGCTGTACTTGGCACCCCTCGCACAACAGGAGAGCATCGTCGAAATAGCAAGGAGGGCGGACTCGACGGTAACAGTTACAACCGTCGTGCCGGGAGTTCTGTCAGTGATACTATCTTGCCGAGAACAAATTCAAGTTCAAGTATCAATGATATGCATTCAAACTGGGGCGCGGTGGAGGAATTTTCCAACAAAGCTATGACGAGTGTTAACGTGCTGGATGAGTTCCACAACGACCAATTAGGGCCAACACTCGCGAATTTCTCGTCTTTGGATACGAACGAGTGGGTTTTCACAAACATTCTAGCGGACGATATTTCATCTACCAACCTAGATAGCGAACCATTTCCAACTCTAGGCTGGCCAGAGTTTGAAAGTCCCCCAGCTTCAACGGAGCAAGCAACCGGTGCTCATACCCCAGCGGACGACAGAATGTATCTGGATAGCCCCTTTATGCAACATGACGACACCAGACATCACGACTGCTCGAGGGAAGCACACGAGGTCCTAAATAGTTTATCTTCCCTAAATATCAGCACAGCCCACTCTAAGACCACATCGTCACCCCACACGCCAGCTACCTCCATAAATCACGTTCCCTTGGATTTTATATTACACCTTAACCGCGAGGCTACGGAGAGACTCAGTCACTTATTGAGTTGTTCTTGCGCCAACTACCCCCATCTTGCATTCCTTTATGCCTCGATTATCGGTCGGATCCTGCTATGGTATGGCCGCGAAGCGGGATGCTCTAGAACATCCTCGCTGGGTCCTACGCCAAATACAACTATACGTCATGGCATGTCGCCGTCTTGTTCTTCCACCGGATCGATGTGCAGGTCACCATCATCTTGGCTGGGCGCAGGACCCAATAGTACCGCGAACACAAGTGTTAGCGGCTCGAGTACTCCACCACGCACGCGAACCACAACAACGGACCTCGCCCCGACGCAGATGACCATGGGATGTTTTAGTATCGACGATCAGCTGGTGCAGGCCGCCCTGAGAATTCAGTTATTATTAGGCGAGATGAAGAGAGTTGGATATCTAATTGATGTATTTGCATCCCGAAGTTCCAACAATGTCGATGAGTCAGCTTCGGGGAATATAGACGATCTGTACAAAAGCTTAGGCGCATGGTTAAGAAAAGATCACTTGAGAATAGTCGAGATGATGAGAGTTAGATTACGGGATGTTAGTATATAGATAAGACCCGAGTGGTTATAGATCATATCAATTATCAAAGTCCATAAAGTTTATTATTCTCGCAAAAAAGTTTTCTGCATTTCCAAGACAATTGATTCCTCGAGATAAGGCATAAATCTTTTTATCAAATACTGCATAGATTAGGTACATACATGTCAATTACTGCGAAAGGTCGTTCATTTTGTGCATTACCTAGCAAATTTACTCCTGTATATCTCTATCCAGGTACCAGGTACCTAAACTTGGATGATTTTTCATGTTTGTCTTGATTCAACTAAGACAATGTCTTGTGTTAGAGTCTCTTTTTAGAATCTGACAAGTGGCGGGATAGAGTAGGGGATTAATAAAACTAAGGTTCGACAGCTAGATCTGAGTCCTACCTCAGATCTGTCATGGCTTGACGCCACAAGATATGAGCCGTAAAGCAATACGGTTGCTCAGTTTTCGTCAGTAAATCCGTAAGGTACCTACCTTAGGTACCTCACATCACGTAGAGTGATGTAATGTAACAATTCTCCAAACGTTCACCGTTAATTCCGCCACACAACCCAAATAGTCTTCGTACAGTCCGAAAGGAAATGGGGACTCGTATAATATGTCCTCTTCTGCTGCGGCTGGACTCAAGTGAAAAACCCTTTGGTTTTGTCACCTGCAGTACTACCTACCTACCTCCTACGCACCGGCTCCTTCGTTCTATTCCTTCAATATTTCATTTATGCTTGATTTTAGCGTCCGCCTGCCGCTCGACACGCAGTGGCTGAATTCTCTGCAGACCGTTGTGCGCCATCTCGGGTCAGCAAGGCGGCATGATTACATAAAGGTACTTTTTTTTTTAGGCCAATGGAGCTTTGCTTTTGATGCCCGAGTGTTGGTGCCTGGACGGACTTAAAGGACAGCTCGCTCCCGAATGCTTGCTTCGACGCGAGCGTTATGATGTGCGCCAAAACTCACATATGATTACTATCGCATGGCTGTGCTGGATGTCATCTTGGATTCCCCATTCCGCCGCAAATACGCACATACGAAGCAAGGTAACTCTTCCGACAGCGAACGGATCTAGTATGGGTGTCTGGCTCTTGACCTAAGAAGCACCTTAAGCGAAATCACATCCGCAATGATATCCCTTAGGTACGTGTAAAAGCCCTGATCAGGTGTTTCTAAAGCATGCGCGCTTACTTATCATGCATACCATTCTCTGGAAGGATGTTCGGATACGTGGTCTACGAGGGTAACAAATTTGTCTAATTTATTCCTTTTTTAACTACGTGTTATCAACTTTCCATCCTTTGAAGAATTTCGAACTAGATGTTAGGTTGCTATATTTTATCGGAAACAAGCTTTACATCCCCCACACGCGAACTGCATTCCTATCGGTTGGCGGTTATGACAAGGAAACGTGAAACTCTCTAACTAACAAAAGTACCTTAGGTACATATTGTATGACAATTCTTCGCAAGTTCATAATGTTAGGCGGTTGCAATAAAAGTGTTTCAGCGCGAGTCCTTTATTATCTACCAATTACAACCTAGATAGTGCACTGTTGGTTTATTTTCGTCTGGTTGATAGAAACAAACGGGTAAAGACTGGTAACTACCGAATCCTAGTTCATAACAGGAAAAGACATAAATCTACAGTAATGCATAGCCTATTGCGTTAGGTACAGGTACCTAACGTTAGGTAGTGAATCAAACAGGACGTAGACGTCCAGGATTGCAAAGGGTGGCATAAAGTAGTTCAGCCTTATATGCGTAGCACACGGGAACGAGGTAAATCGTTATCTGAAGCAGCGCACTACTCGTCTCTTCCATGTTTATCGTAAGAACTTAACCGTACCTCTACTAATAAAATTTAGGAATGGCTTGAGGTTCCTGGAAATTTGGCAAGAAATTTAGTAACGGTCGATCGGAATATTCACGCCTCCTTATTAGCGCTGTTGGCGAGGCCGGGTGCTCGGACCGTATCGGGCGTCGGGGCGAGTATAGCCTCGCTTAAGTCCTGCAGTTCAACAGGTCAGTTCGGTGACGTCGTCGACCGTCTTTTTGGTTACCGTTTATTCCATCAATTTTGTTATCAGCCACACCAACGACTAATGTAAGCCTCACCGAGGTGAAGCCGGGTGTACGGAGACCTAGGTAATCTTTTAATCTTTTTTTTTTTTTTTTTTTTCGCTTTCCGCGTCGGATGCCGAGACGGATTTAGTAGCATAAGACGGAATCTAGCCAATTATCTGACAAGCGAGAACTACCTTTAGACTTGATTTCAGTAGTCTTTGAAATGTTTCTTAGAGGGTGGGTGGGCAAAAGCTTACCTCATAATCCCTCCCCCCGGCCAGATAGCAATGCCGTTCTCCACAAATATTAACCAATCGAAATTGGGCACACGATTCCTTTAGGAAATAATGCAGGGACTTTCTCAGTACTTTTCAAGCAAACGGAACTAAAAACGCCTAAAACGCCTAAAGCACGCTTACATCGCTGTTCTTTTCTTATTTCTCACCCTACATCCTTTTCGCATCTCTGTAGGAGATAAGTCTCGCGAAGCCAGCTATCATAAAATGCATTTCAATATGATGAATGTGGCGGTGTGTCCGACCTGCCGCTGTGCTCTTTGCAGCATTTTCTTATGTACCTAAATAACCCCTTCCAGTAATCGATTTTCATTCCTCAAGCATTCGCACTTCAAAACCAACAGAATCCAAACCTTCTAAGACACCATACATCCCTCATAACACTCACATGTACTGTCGAATGATTTTTACACTGGAGAGAGCATGAGTTCAACACTCGTTTACCCAAGGGACCCAATGGTCGCCTTAACCAACGTGCTTACTTTATATCACACCCATAAAATCCTCTTCTTGGTAGGACTTCTTAGTATAGTTTGTTCAATAGCATGGCTTCGCAGGGATCGACGTCTCGAAAAGATGCCGGGTCCTGGCGGGAGTCCCTTAATCGGAATCGGAACTAGCTTGCCACCAAAGGCCCATATCCGCTTTAGAGAATGGGCTGCTAAGTACGGCGATGTCTTCAAGTTGAAGGTGGGCTGGTATAACTGGGTCATCATCAACAGCCCGGAAGCGATGCACGAGATCCTGATCAAACAGGTAATAATATATTCACAGAGTACAAGGGGTCATATATGCTAAATACTAACAATTATCTCCTTAGTCCTCGAGTACTTCATCCAAAATGCCTGCTCCTATTGGTCATGGTGTAGTTGCCGGTGGCATGAGGATGTTTACCTTGCCCTACGGGAACAAATGGCGCGCCTATCGTACCATCTCACACCAACTCCTCTCAAGTACGATGACAGCCACATTCCTCCCGTCACAGGAGTATGAGGCGAAGCAGCTACTCTTCGACCTGGCTACGGACCAGGACGACTTCCTCATGCATGTACGCCGTTTTGCTTTTAGCATCATGCTAACAAGTACCTACGGCCTGCGCGTGAAGACGTGGGATGATGAGGATGTGCATCACGCTTTAGAAAGCGCCCGCATTCTTGGCAAGATCACTCACGCTGGCGTATTCATCGTTGATGAACTTCCCATCTTAGCACATCTTCCCAAGTGGCTCCAGCCAGGGATGAAGCGGGCCGAGGGATATAGGAAGCCGCTACTTGATGCTAAGATGATACTCTGGCGACGACTACAAGAGCAGGTTGCTGCCGGTAAAGCACCGGTTTGCCACGCGCGCGAGATGATGGAGAACGACGACGCTTGGCGGAAACAGGGCCTCACGGATGAGGACGCGGCTTGGGTTGCGGGTGGTAACGTGGAGGCTGGATCGACGACCACATCTGTCACGTTGCTAAGCTTGCTACTACACCTTGCGTCAAGTCCCGACGTACAGAAAACAGCTCATGAAGAGCTTATGCGCGTCGTAGGACCCGATCGCACCCCCGTATTCGATGACGTAAAGAACCTTCCCTACATCCGCGCCTGTGTCAAGGAGGTTCTACGCATGCATCCTACACCGTTCTGGGGAATCAAGCACTATGCCGACGCCGACGTCACCTATAAGGACTATGTGATACCCAAGGGTACCGTATTGCTAGCCAATACGAGTACCATCCACTACGATCCTTCTCGCTACGAGGATCCGTTCACTTTCCGTCCGGAGCGTTACCTCGGTCATCCTAAATACAGTGCTGACTACGCTAACCAGAGTGACCCGTACAAACGTGATCACTTCACCTTTGGCGTGGGGAGACGTATCTGTCCGGGTTCTCGTCTTGCCGAGAACTCCCTGAACATCGCCTTATCAAACATTCTATGGGCGTTTGAGATCCGCCCACCCGTCGTTGATGGGGTGGAGGCCGAAATGGATATAAGCGATGACGCGTGGGAGAACACGAGTTTCCGCGGGCCGAAACCCTTCAAGGCTCGGTTTGTCCCTCGCGCTGAAAATAGGTCCAAGCTCGTCCAGGATCAGTGGCAGCAGGCTATGAAGGAAGGGTATGTGCTCAGGGGTAACAATGTCGATGTCAATAGTGTTGTGATATACTAGCGGCGCAAACTTCGGTTGTTATTTGGTTGGTTAGCATTATTTGAAATAACTGGCATGGTGTAGCACGCGAAAATTGTATCATATTCCCAATGCAGTCACATTCTTTCGATTGCCCTGGTACCTAATCCATCCCACCCAATACTCTTATCATGTAAACAGATACGAGTTCCCCACGCACATAGCCATCATACGAACCTGATAGAAACCAATAAGGTATATGATGTTAATACACACCTAAGTTATAACAACCGCCTCTAACTAAGATAGGTTATATTAGACGAGTAAGATGCTTACAGGCAGATCCCACTCTCGAAACTTCGGTGGCTTGCCACACATAGCTTGTTCTTATAAGATATGCTAGTCATCGAGCCAACTTCCGGATCCCGAAGACGCGCGGATAGTCATAGTTGCGCTTACATATTCCCATAGTCCTAGCAAGAAAGTTCCGTTGCTCTCCCCCCGGAGCGATGGTGGTTCCCAAAAAAGAGGTGAGCAAAAAGCGGAGACTAATACTTTGAAACGAGGTAGACGATTGATATGACGAGGCGCTCTTTGTCCCCGTGTGCTTTAGGATCCAATAATCTGATTTAGCTTGCAGGTGTGAAACTGTATTGAGTTCAAACATGTACGAATCATATAGGAGGTAGGTAATAATTGTTTTTATTTACTTTCTGGTATAGATTTCATTCTGAACACAGAAATATTAGAGTTTGCTAAAGGTAAAACTGTTTAGCTTGACAGGCAAGCAAGCATAAAAACAATCTGTACTTTCATAGTTTCTTTGATGTAGATTGTACCTAGGGCAGACAGCAATAACGTTATGAGTCAAAAGTAAGAACGGGCAGTTTATGTTGTAATAAAAGGTAAGAAATAGCTGTTCATCTACTATCCGTGCTCAACTCCATGCCAATTTTGATCAACTTACTTCCCGTAACAATTCTTGGTATTTCCTCCTAGGTATCCGTTGAAATCTCCTTGTATATCAAAGAGCACTCTACTACACATAGGTAAAACTGTCCATGGCCTTCTAAGGCATTCATTTTAATCACCATCTTAATTTCCCCGTGTAATCTCAGTCATGTCCCATCGAAATGGAGGTCAAGGCTGGCAGCCATTTCGTGGCCGTGGTCAAAGTCGAGGCCGAAGCCAAAGTAGGGGCCAGAGTAGGGGTAGGGGGCAAAGTGAAAATGCCCATCAAGACCAAGGCCATACGTCTACCTCGCAAGATGACACAGCAAAGGAGGATGCGATTATTTCTAACCTCGACGACAGCATTCAAGATGTCGTCCCCCGGAGGCCGGCGTATGGGAAGCAAGGACAAGACGTTTTCCTTAAGGCTAACTATTTCGAACTTGACGTAGCTAAAAATAGTAACCTTCACTTTCACCATATATCATTTCTGGATAAGGCCAGGGAGCCTACAGGGATAAAGCTAGCTCGCGTCGTCAAGTTGCTTATTGGAGATCAACTTAGGAGACCATTTGACGTAGTTACCGATTTTGCCAAGACAATAATCTCGTATGAAAAGCTTCCGGAGGGGTCATTTACCGTACCGTACTACGATGAGGATAGCACCCAGGCAGGGGAGCATAATACGGTGAATTATATCGTGAAGATCGAACACGAAGAGACATTATCGACCGAGGATCTCGTGGAATACTTGAGAGATCCTAGAAGACCGGTAGCAAAGGAGAGCCTGGCAAGGATTGTACAGGCTCTTAATATATTCATCAACTATTACCCCCAGGACTCCGAAGGTTACGCTACCATTGGGTCAAGCAGATCATTTCCATTGACTCAGGAGGACGTGACATCTCTCCAACTCGGCTGCGTCGCTAGAAAGGGGTTTTACTCTAGCATCCAACCAGCTACTTCAAGGATCCTCATCAACATAAATGTCACCCATGGTATATTTCACAAGAGGGAAGGCTTATCTGAAATAATATCTGGATTCATTGCGAAGTCGGGCAAGAGCCTTGCTTGTCTTCGAAAATTAGCGGCGTCCCTTAAAGGAATCAGAATAGAGTATAGTTATCTTAAAGATAAAGCAGGTAAAAGTATTCGCCGGGCGAAAACCATCTTTGACCTTGCATCGCAGAAGGATGGCGCGGCAGATACAGATGTGACAGGAAGCCAGAAACGGCCGGAGGTGTCTAGATATGGTGCCAGAGCAGACGAAGTCAAGTTCTGGTATGAGAGCGATTATATTACAGTCTCCGAGTTCTTCAAGAAAGGTGAGTCTATTCTACACAAATAATATCAATGTTCGTTATAATGTATTCTAACCGCATCAGTTCACGGGGTGGATGTGGAGAAGGACTTACCATTGATCAACGTTGGGTCTCGCATTCACCCAACATACCTTCCATCGGAGCTCTGTCAAGTGTTACCTGACCAGAGAGCAAAACTACCGCGATACGACAGAGATATGATTTCTGACATACCAATACACAAACCTTGGGATAATGCAAGGTACATTGAAAACCACGGCTTGGATACGATCGGGTTCTCAAGTAAAGGAGAGTATAACAAGGCAAGACTGGTACGTATTGCGAATATGATGAAATAAGAGGCAGTTGAGTGATTCTCACCATGTGTAGAATAAATTTGGCCTGTCGGTTAGCAACACATGTTTGAACACTGTCAGAGGGCGGAAGATGCCTGTTCCCCAGATAATGTACTGGTTCGGAAGCGCGATATCACAACCCACCTGGAATCTGAGAGGTATAAAGCTCGGACCTAAAGTGGGCGCTGACAAGACTTGGATGTGCGTAGCTATAAATCCCAAAGCTGGCGATTTGAAGCGACTCGATGATACCGTAAATGACCTCGCGTCTAAATTAAACGGAAACGGCGTATTCGTCCAATCTAATGGGGTGCAAGTAGTGGCAATCGCGAGCAATGGGATCGAGAACCTCAGAAGCCAACTCGCACGTGGACTTAAAGACAGGGCCCAGAGACTCGACTTCGTGCTCGTAGTCTTGCCGACAAAATATCAGGCTGCTTATAATTGCGTCAAAAGACTTGGAGACTTGGACTATGGCGTGCCGACCATCTGCATTCTCCGCGATACTCTTTTCCCCGAACGTCCTCCTCCTCCTCCTCCTCCCATGGATCAGCCTTCCGGGTACGGCTCTACAGACCAGCCTCAAAAGCCACCCCCAAACCCTCTCGGAAACCTTGTCGGGAACCTTGCTCTAAAGCTCAACTTGAAGTTCTATAACAATAATCAAGCCGTCCATCTGGGGACTCTAGGTTCGACCTTGAACATGAAAGAAACGATGATCGTAGGGATCGACGTCACTCACTCGCCGAACCCAAACCAGCCGAGCATTGCGGGGATGGTCGCCAGCGTCGACGAGCACCTCGGGCAGTGGCCCGCCGTCTTGCGACACCAGGACTCGCCGCGCATCGAGATGGTCACGCACCTGCAGGAGATGCTCGAGACGCGACTGGAGCTCTGGAGGGAGGCACGGCGCAACCAGGAGCAGAAGCAGCATCGGCAGAAGAAGCAGAAGCAGCAACATCCGCAGTGCCGGCTGCCGAAGAACATCATCGTTTATCGCGACGGCGTCTCCGAGGGCCAGTACAAGCTCGTACTGGAGAAAGAACTGCCTAAGCTGAAAGACGCGTGTAAGAAGTTGTACGAGAAGGATATGCCCAAGATCACGGTCGTGATCGTCGGCAAGCGCCACCACACGCGGTTCTACGCTAAGGAAGATAGCAGCAACCCGGCCCCGGGGACCGTCGTCGACCGCGGGATCACGCAGGCCGTGCGCTGGGACTTCTTCCTGCAGGCGCACCGGGCGATCGTCGGGACCGCTCGGCCGACGCACTACTTCGTCGTGCACGACGAGATATTCCGGGAGAAATTCCAGGGTAGCTCGGCCGACGCGCTGGAGACGCTCACTCATTGTTTGTGCTACGTGTTCGGCCGGTCGACGGGTGCCGTGGGGGTCTGCACGCCGGCTTACTATGCGGATCTGGTGTGCAATCGCGCCCGCTGCTACGTCGCTGCCGACGCTACGTTTTCTCGAGCTCCGCCTCCGCCTCCTATAACTGGCTCGGCGGTGAAGCCGCAGTCACCACCTCTGGGGAGCCAGGGGATTCGTTTACATCGGAATATGGAGAATAGTATGTTTTACATTTGAACGGTTGAGAGTTGGCTAAGACTCCTGCTGGATGAGTACTTTAACTGCTTATGTTAGATGCCTGTGGGACTGCAGGGGAATGAACACTTCATTGTGGTTGGTTGAGATTTACTTGGAGCCAGCAGATAGACACATGCACTTTGGGATCTGGGCGGTGAGAGATTGTCAAATCGTAAGAGGCTGGAAAAATGCCCGCACCTTAAACCCAGGTAGATACCTAGGAAGGTAGCTAGGTAGCTTTAGACAGTGACAATCTGGTTCATATTATTTACAAGTCGTGATGGTACACGACTACCTAATGTAGTGTTTTAAAATACACGTTTCAACCCCTAAGGACATTACCCAGCGATCGTTCGAGAACGACGCCACCGACACCGACCGCGGCCACGGCCCACAGCCACTTGTTGCCGACCTCGGCGAGGCTCGGCCAGAAGCTGTTCTTGGCCTTCTTGTACTCCTGGAGCTGCTGGTACTTTGTCGGGTTCTCCTTGGCGTACCGTTTCTCCTGGTCCTCCTCGTTCTCCTTGTCCCCTCCGATGAAACGCAGGAACAAGTAGTTGGCGATGGGACCGAGGAGGGTTAGCGGGTGCAGCTGACCAGCGCTGAAGAGGAGGAGCGGGAAGGAGAAGTGAACTAGAGCGTCACCGAGATAGCTACGAAAAGTTAGTATTTGCCGTAAATAGCGACAAGGTATAGGATAAACTTACTTGGGGCGTCGGACAATGCTAAATACTCCCTCCCGGTTGAGCTCATTGCTCTTTTTATTGGCATGGAATGCGAGTTGGGTGTCAGCTAGAACTTCCAGAGCATATCCCGTGGTGAAGAGGAAGATAGCAAGGCCACGAGCAACAGTCGACGCTTCGGGGAAAGGAGACGCGATAGCAGTAGCAACAGGAGCGCGGAAAGGTAGCGTGAACGGCAGTGTGATTATGGTCTGGGCGAGAGCCTCGGGTAAGAACACCGTGAAAAAGGCCTTGTTCCAGAAGTCAGGCTCCTTCCTGGCTGCTGTCCGGTAGCGAGGGTCGTCTTCGCCACGTCGGAGGGTGCGAGAAGCGATGCGGTAGAAGAGACGGATACCCCAGGCGCTAACACCACCGAGAAGAAGCTTCTGATCGTACGACAAGGCGGACCAAGCTGTAGAGACAGGTAATCCTTCATAAACCACGGGTATTCCGATAGCGCTCCACCACGCGTTGGCTACTTGGGCGCTCGGCCACAGCCAATCTTTAACTTCGACCCTGTCGGTATAGCGTGCTAAACCGTACGTGACGAGACTCAATCCCGTGTGCAAGCCGAAAGATGGTAATACTGCGTGTTGGAGAAGTCCAACTGTTGACGTCGTACCCCCAAACCTGATTCTGGCAGCGGCATTAGGTGTGAAATGGGCTCCGTAGCGGTCCTGCTCAGCACCGGAACGCGACGGTAAGCTCTCATTAAGCTTGTTTACTTCTGAATGAGCTTCATGACGGCCAAACCTGCGTTCATATCTATCTTGCTCGGCTCCAGATCCGCGAGGTAATATCTTTTCGATATCTGCCCTGGTGGGAAGTTTATGCCCGCCAAACCAATGCTCATATCTGTCTTGCTCGGCGCCCGAACCTTTGAAAATGTTTTCTTGTACTTTTTCTACCTTTTCTTGGACTTTCTCTTTGACTTTATCGGCTTTGTTCCCGCCGAACCAGCTGCCAAAGCGGTCTTGCTCCGCCATTGTGGTTAGAATAGTAGGCGTAATTTATATCATTCAACAAGTAGCAAGAAAATGAAGAAAATAAGAAATAAAAAAAATACAATTGACTTGGAAAATAAGTCTTAAGAGTTCAAGTGAGACGAAAAGTCTCAGCCAATTTGTATGTAGCAGCGCGATCATGTCGAGACGATGACGTAGTGTTACTTTGGGTATGACGTGGTAGAATACTTCGCATCTTCTACTACTATGGTACCTAATAAGGTGTGCTATTATGCGACTTGGCTCTCGCAATTACCCGAGGTTACTTACATCGTTTATACCGAGATATCACGACATTGAAGCTCATACAAGCACAATAATGCATCGAAATCACGCGAATATAACTTTATGCTTTAGGTAGATAGAAATATGAATATCCACCCGGTACTTTATTTCCAAGTGCCTGTTAACACATAAAAGTAACAATCCAATGTCTTACTATAGGTATTTCGTATCTGCACACCAGAATTAATACGGTACAGAATGACGAATATAGTCCGCCAATAACCGAAATATATATCATAAACTTATGACAACCTTAACGGACAAACGATAATGACCCCTTACTTAGATCACGGCACCCGCAATTTACTCTTCCTCGCCGCCAACAGCCCCATCGTAGCCAACGTCTCCTCCCCAAGGATCGTAAAAATCGGTATATCAGCCGCGAACTCCTGGGCGAACCAGCTGCGCAGCTCGATCGCCTGCAGCGAGTCAACGCCGAAGTTCCGGATCGGCTCGTCCAGGGAATCCGCGGCGTCCATGCGGCCCTCAAGTCCGGGCGTGATGCTGACCAGCCGCCGCAATAGCGCCTGGGAGACGACGGCCCCGGCTTCGGACATGTTTTTGGCGGCGAGGAACTCCTGTCTCTGCTTAGCTTCGGCGCTCTCTTCTCTGCTGCCCGCACCGTCGGCGCCGGTCGCGTCGTTGAAGATGTGCTTGTAGAAAGGGAGCGAGAGAAACGAGCGGTGGCCGTGGAGACCGCCGGCTTTAATTTGAGACGCGGGAGCTAGTCCGATCGCGATTTGCGGATTCACAATGGGGTCTTCGGGGTTGCAGCAGTGATCGAGCAACGCGAGTAATTCAGGAAACGAGATGCCCGTGAGGAGCCCCTGCGCAAGGATTCGATTACGTAGGGCTTCATCGGCGGCTAGGACCCCGTGGTCGAGAATCACACCGAGATCCAACGCCGTAGCTCGCTCACCTAGCGCATGGCGATAATTCGCGAGGGCGTCCATATATGTATTCCAGGCTGCGTAATTGGCCTGTCCGGCGGAACCTATGAATCCGGAGATCGAGGAAAGCAGGATGAAGAAATCGAGACCTTTCGGTAACAGCGTATGGAGATTCCAGGAGCCGCGAGTCTTTGGGTTCGTACTTGCTATCCAGTCTTCATACGACATATTTTTAAAAAGACCGTCCTAGAATTTGGTCAGTATTACACTACTAGTAATTTTTTTTTCATGGGAAGTAACAATTAGGTGACGTACCCTTAATACCATCGTGGATTGAACGCATCCTGCAATAGGTGGCATGGCGTTCTTATATCTCTGAAGAACGGAATGTAATGAAGTCGTGTCACTAATATCGCATTCTGGACATTCAATCGCGGCTCCAAGTTGGCGAAGCTTCCCGACTATACTCGTGGCGTGAGTGTCCGTTTTCTTTATCCCGGACCTGGATAGTAAAAGGAGGTTTTTAGCCCCTTTTTCCTTTACCATCCACTCTGCGATCATAAGACCGAGTCCACCCGTCCCGCCGGCGATAACATACGTCTTATGTTCGCCGAGAGACCAGATAGACTTGGTTTTGATTTTAGCCTTGGAAGAGGTGTAATGTTAGCACAAGCACCTGCCTAAGATACTGCACGTAGAGGATAAAATATTATATCTAACTTACTGGTACGAGCGAATCGTCGGTCATTTCAAAAACGATCTTTCCGATATTTTGCCCAGACTGGAGCATTCGCATCCCTTCCTGAACATGAGAGATTGGTAGGATCTGGAAGTTCTGTGCCGGTCGTAAAGTTCCTTCGGCCAGCATTCCTAAGACATGCTCCAATATTTCCTGTGATAGAGATCCAGTATCAGCGGTGAATGTGGCACGGCGGAGAAAAGGGCGCATAGGAAGACTGCTATTAGCGACGATATCTTTCTTCCCCAGCTCGATGAATCGGCCGTTGAGAGCAATGAGATCCCACGAAGCCAATAATTCTTCTCCAGATAAGGAGTTGATGATGACATCAACACCCCAGCCTTCGGTTAGTTGAAGGATTCCCTCAGCGAAACTTGTGTTGCGGCTATAGAAGATATGGTCTCCAGCGATGCCGTAGTGGTTGATAAGAAATCTTTTCTTTTCCTCAGACCCGACCGTAGCAAAGATTTCGCCGCCTACCAGCCGTGCTATCTGTAGAGCAATTTGACCAGTACCTCCTGCGGCTGAGTGGATTAAGATACTTTCACCCTTCTGCATCTTGGCGGCGTTGTGAATGGCATACCAAGCAGTACCGAACTGGGTAGGGACAGCGGCAGCCTGGGCAATAGAAATGTTATCGGGTATTCTAGCCAGGCACTTAGCTTCGACTCTAGTAAATGTAGAGTACGCGGTTGCTGAGGAGGTGCAGACTCTTTCGCCAATTTTAAAGTCTGTATTAGGTCCCGTACGGTGTACGACGCCTGCGCACTCATTCCCAAAAGTTGTCCCACTCTCCCTTCCGAGGGCGAGAAGGAGGTCTTTGAAGTTAAGGCCCACCGCGCCAACGCGGATTTCAACCCATCCGGGAGCTAGGGGTTCCTCGACTAATGTATCTTCCACGAAGTACAGGGTGTCAAGAAGGCCGGGAGTTCTAACGGTCATTCTAAGAGGGGGCGCTTGGCCGAATGGGAGAACCTTTGACTGATATGGTAAGGATTTATCGAAGATGTTTTGAGATAAGTCCTTCAGGGGTTGGATACGGCCTATATGGAGCTCATTACCGACTTGCATATATGACATTTCGTAGTCTTGGCTTGTCGTTCTGAAATCCGTGTTCTTTATTAATGCAAATACGTGCTCGGCTTGCTCTTGGACAGGAGAACTGGTAAGCGCAGCCGTTACGATAACAACTTGCTCATTCTCAGAACGAAGGACTCGTGTTAGACCATCTATCATCGCTCGGTTTGGTAGCAGTGAGCCATTCTCATTTTGACCCGTTAGCCAAAGAAGACCCTTTGCTGAGATAAGAATATCCCGTAGCTGAGTGAATAATGTTAGAAATAGATTTTGCAGCAGAGGACGCTCGAATTCGGGGAGGAATATGCAAGTTAGCTGTGAGTTATGGGCTGCGATGCTGAACTGGTCAAGGTAACATGTTTCGCATGTAAAACCTGCATCATTGAGCTGCTTTTCCAAAAGCCGTGCAAAGTCTTCCTGAAACTGAGTTGCTTCGATCACCAGCAGATAGTGCATAGGAGGCTTTAGCACGCATGCTTCCGAAGCTTTTGACGAGATAACTAATACTGGCGCATTAGTTATACCGTTAGTGTAAGGCAATATATCTGTGAAGCTAGCTTGTTCGAGAGTCGTTTTCCACTCTGGGTCGTGACTTTCTAAGCTCTCGCGACTCTTCTCACTTGTGGGGGTGTATGAATTCGGATCGGCTATGCCTATCTGAGAATCACTGTCCTCTGTACGGTTATCTTGCAACCGATTGTCGATCATTATGGCCAGTTTCCCACCTCTGCAGAAGTTAATATTATAATACTAGGTAGTTGGTAGGATATACACACGGCTTGAGTAATTGATTAGCCTGGCTAAGAGGCAGATTACTTGAGTCCGATAGCTAAAATAGGGGTTAGAACTTCATGTCTAGTAACGGCCGGCTTCGCGTGTTAGATTAGGTAGGAAAGTAGAGTACTTACTTCATGTGAAGCGACAGCGATAACCAAATCATAAACATCTGTACCAGTAACCTGGGATCCCAAAAGACCAGATTCCTGAGAAGTAAACTCCAGACAAGGAAAAGTCGGACCGGACGCGCCCTGGGCCTCAAAGAGATTCTGGAGAAACACTGTTTCGTCTGGACTACGAATATGTAGAATTTTCATGTCCGGCTTTTTAAAGGTACTCAGGTCCAGGAAATCTACCAAGAGTGGCTGCGCATCCGATAGATCCCTCTCGTATTCAATCGCCCGGGTGCTCATCATCGAGTTTCGTGTTCTGGCACCGAGTAAGTTCACATGGTAACACAGATGGGGATGTCGCGCCTGATCTGGAGATAACGCCGCCCCAGTGACAAACCGGAGTTTTATGCCCTTTGCATCCAGCACAATTCTTGGCATTGAGCTGTCGAGTGCGGTGGTGGTGGTTTCGTATCCAACGTTCCCCTGGGAAATAATTTTGCCTTTTGACTTGATTGTATCTGCGCTCGGGAAGCTGAGACCAGAGCTCGCTATCCATAGGTACTCAATCTCGGCAGGGACAGCTGTTGACACAACATCTTCTCCAGCACGGGTGAATGCCGCAAGACTTACTTGGAGAATACCGTCAAGGGTTGTTGGGTGAACGATATGCTCTTGGAAATGATTCATGTTATCAATACTTGCCCACCTAAAGCAGTCGATGCTAGCCGTCGCCTGGCGACCGAACTTGTCGCTGAAGGCGAGTTCGTCCATAGCTCTAAAGGAAGGTCCAAAAGTGTAGCCATATTTGAACGCCGAGTTATAGAACTCGTCCTTAGTCCTCTTAAAGATTGCGGTTTCGTTAATGGCTTTATAAGCATCTTGAGCTTCCTTCAGTTTCTTCGGGCCCTCTTTACCCTCTAGTTCGTTGGTGATTCGTGGGAGGTAGTCTATTTGAACTGTTCCATGACAGTGTTCTTGCCATTGAGAGCTGTCGTAGGAGAACAGTCGAAACTTCCAGGAGACGGACTAAGAATCAGCTGTGTCTCAATCCCTTGAGCGCTAGTCGGGACCGTAAGGGCTGTCAAGAAATAAATATCCGTGAGTTTTATACCGTTCATAGGACGGTCTGGATCGGCAAGTTGTTTTGCCGCTTCAATGGCAATTACCACCACGCTAATAGCTGGGTAAATGATTGCTTCATTAATCTAATGGCCATAGTTAGCGAGCACTTGTGGTCCGGGGTCTTCTAGTAACTACTGACCTTATGATCCTTGACCCAGGGAATTTCAGAGACTTTTAGAAAGTTCCTCCAGCGGGGTTGTAGAGGATTCTTGATGAAGAAGAATAAAGGCTTTGGCAACCCATATCAAGTGCAACCAGACTACTGGAACAGGCAGTGTCCATAGTAAAGTTGGGTCCCTTGAGGTTGAAGAACCAACTCACACAGCCTGACAGCAGACTTGTCATACCCATCATTCCATATCTTCCATTTGTTTCAATATCTTGGGCGGTACAAAACCTGAAATCATCAGCAAGGTTTCCTGTATAAACTGATGTATTGCTGTTCGAAACAGCCTCCATTGATATGCCGGCTAGATTCTTTATTAGCTAAGAGGTAATTATGAATTTTAAACTACGTGGTATCTGGTGGAATAATATGTACTATTTTCAAGTGCCCTATACGTGGTTTCTAGGAGAGCTCTGGATTGAGGATCCATAGCTTCTGCCTTGGAAGCAGAGATAGAGAAGAAAGGTGCATCAAATGCCCCTATTTCCCGGGTGAGGAAATGGCCTCCCCGTAATGGAACCTTACAGTGGTTAACTTTTTTTTTCCCAAAGGGGGTTTCATGGTACGGGATAAAATGAACTTACACTATCTCCACGACTGGAATCTGGATGATAGAGAGCTGAGCCATTAAGCCGATCCGCAGGAAAATCTCTCGAGGCACATCGCCCTTCCATCATCATAGACCAGAAAGACTCGGCGGAGGTAGCATCATCTGGGAACTGGAAAGACGTGCCGATGATGGCAATGGGGATCGTTTTGTCCGGCTTTCCATTGTAAGCATCTTGAGTCTCAGACATGGCTTGGAGATAGTGACTATTTTCGACAAGTATAGCAAAAGTTTAGAAAAAACTGATGACTTATTCAAGCATTATCCAAACGGTGGACGAGTAGACGCAGCTACGATACTTTAAGAAGACTATGGCCCGCGAATGATACTGTGAGGTATGCTAATACGTGCTCCATCCAGAACGTCCCGAGCCTTGCCCTTTTCATCCTGTTTCCTAGTTCTCTGATATCCGCGTATTGTTCTAAAAATATTCATTCTCCGAGTTAGACGCACGGGGCTTATTGATGCAGCTGATAAAGTCCAACAAGTATTCGCGAGCAACATGTAAGTTGGAAGCGAAGTTGTATTGAGGTAGACGTATGGTAGGTAGGTAGGTACCTACCTGTAGCTATTCTACTATAGGAGTGTGATTTCCTGTTTTACTGTTCGGCTAGTTAATATACGGAGATGGTGTAGGGATGCTACCAGATAATAGGGAAATAATTAGTAGGTGGTGTCGCCACGCGCTCACCATTAAATCCACCCCGAGCAGGCGGCGACTGTACTGTTGTAACAATTATATCGGATTTGAACCGGCTTTTCCAAGGCTTCTAAATGGTATACATTTCATACAGTAGATAGTGCGTTACGTACCTCTTAGACATATGATTTTTACCCTTAATCCATACGAAGACATTGTCACCCCAAGTGGAACAACGAACATCAGCGATAACCATGCCGGAAATGGACCTTCACGATTTGATACAAACGATAGCAGTGCGTATGACCTTGTTGGCGATAACTGGTAGTCACTGTATTTACCACAATCTCGGTTAAAATAAGACAGTATGTTGTAGGTGAGGGTTACCTAAATGTTTGCTTGAATCATCTCCGTGCCTTAAACCATACTACTATCTCTGTGTTTAAAATGGTCACAGTCACTAAGCCGTAAGATGTCCTTATAACACAATGTCATATGAATAATAATAAAAAACAAGAGTAAGCCCTACTATCACTAACCCTTATGTCAAGTCCTGACATGGTGTTAAGTATAAATATCCCCTTATCACCATGTTATTTTCGTTCTTCCTATGGATGTTACTCTTCACCTATATAGGAGATCATTATAAAAAACACCTTTTATCCCCATTCATAACAAACTGCCATTAACACCTTCTGGCCCTTTTATAACAATTCCCGGTCTCTTTTACTGGTAGCATAACGACAATGGACGCAGAGGTTCCCGGACCGTGTGTAGACGCCCGACACGACTGCGAGAAGGCGGAGAAAATTCCACAGGGAGACATTCCCGAAGCCGAAGCCGATCGTAAGGCACCGGAAGGGTCTCTCATCACGGCGCCACGTCGGAAAGACTTTACACGTTCACCCATCAAGACCCGGACCCGCTCTCGGCTCCATACGCTCTCCTTCCCATCCGTCTCTCGAACCTTACGGGCTAAGAAAGCACCTGCATCCACGGGCACAACAATCAAGACCGCAAAGCAAAGCCGCCGCGGCAAGAGTACGAAGCGGGGTACGACAAAGAGAAAAACGCGGACAGAAGCAAAGAAAGCACCCGTATCGACAGGCACGACAACCGAGGGCGCCGATCAAGGGAAGCATAGCCAAAATAAGTTGGCATGCGAGTTGGAATCGGCCCTATACCATATGGAGGAATGTATAAAGGGGAAAATAGTGGAGAAGAAGCAGGAGAAGGAGAGGAAGAAGTGGGAGGAGAAGAGGAAGCAAGAGGATCGTGAGCGGCTTTTACGCTGGAATGGTAAGGTATGATTCCCAAAGCGTCTTTACATTCGTTGTGAAATTCGGGACGAGTATCGTGGTACATAGGAAATAATCAAGTCAAGATGCACCAAGTTCGTTACGTGGACTTTGCCCGAACTTGTTCGGGATATTGTATTGACCCAGCTCTTTAATTATAATTGAAATAATTAAAATGATTACTTTAATATAATATTTAATTTATTTAACTTTATCTTTTTCCGTTATTAATGCTTTTCTATTTTCGAGCCGTGTTATAACGTAAAAACGCGGCAATATCATCTACCCCTTGTGGCTCATTAATCCAGTGTCCTCCATCTTCATATGCATGGAACTCCACAACAGTCCCCGCGCGTCTCGCAAAAGTGTCACGGAGCGATCGGCCTTCCTTTATGGGAATAACGGCATCGTCCTTGCAGTGTCCTAGGAATACGTTGGTGGGTTCTTGCTGAATGGTATTGTTCGTTGCTATTAGGGACAAGGCTGGCAAAGGCGCCCAGCTGGAAAAGCCAATCAGACCCGCCAATCCATTCTCTCCCATCTCGTAAGCTGCGTACGCAACCGCGAAACCTTGGCTAATCCCACCTAAAAAGATTTTATCGCGGGATATCTTAGTTTCTTCCTCTGCTATAACAGAAGTAACCATCTCTATGCTGCGTCTCAATCCGGCAGCTTGAATTTCAGGTCGATCATTTGGTTCTTCGGTAGACCACATGTCGAACCATTGTGACTCCATGCATTCGAATCGCGTGGAATAGATGAGAGGTGAAGAAGGGAAGACCCATCGAATAGTCGGGAATAGGTCGGGCAGAGTTCTAGGTTGGCCCTTAGGCTCTGATGCTTCGCTTTCGAAAAACTCACTCGAAAATTCTTGAGACGTGCTACCTCTACCATGAAGTAGTATGACGGTATGTGTGTGTTCGTAGCCCCGCTTGGGCTCCACGACGAAAGAATCTGTCGGCATGATGGTCGAATAGGTGGTTAAGAGGAGTAAGATAGTTGTGTGATAGATAGCTCTTCAAAGAGGCAGTAGGCAAATGCGGTATGTGGCGATAAATACAGCATGTGAAATGTTGTGGAAGTGGTAGTTGTCGTGTTGAAAGTGATCTAAAACTGCCATGCTCTATCGCTCTTTTTCCAGGGCACTGCACGCCTTTTATGTAGTAATCTTTTAGCGTAGGTTGTGTTTACGATTGCTGAAATTTAAGCCTCAGAGTCGAGTCTATTTAATGTTTGGCGCGTTTGAGTTATGCTATTTAACACGCGTATCTGTTCAAATCCCAAACTCAAACGTCGTGCTAAACCACCCGAACAACTCTTCAATCGAAACTCTGCGGCTACGACATTTATCGGAGCCCTTCGAACGTTTAATAATCTGTGCGCGAACAATTGAACAGTTCTACGGTATCCGGAATTAAACAGTATCCCTTGGTAACCCCCCAACGTTATTACGCAGCTCGAGTACCTAACCAAATTTCTCGATATCCAAAACCAATTGACACTTTAGTAATATGTTCCATCTGAAGCAAGTTAACTTTTGGGCCGCGATCATAATCTTCTAACGAGGTTCTCTGAGGATATTTGGCCGAGAAGCCCTCAACCGCGAGATGTAGCTCCCTGAAAAGCGTAAACTTACTGTAACTAATAGTTAGAATTTGATCAACAGCCGTTGCTGGGACGCTTCAAATAGCGCTGCTTACCATTTTGAGGTTCCATTAAGTATCTTTAGAAACTCCGACGCGATAATCTCATCTGGTGAATCATTAGGTGTATTCAAACTCATATGCTATCTCTACGGCACGTACCTGCTTTCCACGAGGGATGGAGCTCGTCGTACCTTTTGCAAGTTAGTAACTTGTCATTTGATTGATCCTGTAATCACTTACCATAGAAAGCTCGAGAGCGAATTTTGGGATGTGGTACAGTTCTTGGCCCCTGCTTCCGTGATGGAGCACCCGAAATATGGCGCGTCGGTGTTCGCAGGCGTGTCTAGGTACTCGGAAGGGTTCTTAAAGATATCCAAGAAGAGCTGGTGGACGTTAAAGATGCTAAAGGAGGCGCCCGGCCACCTTGCTTCTACGAGGAGCTGGAACGGTGCGCCGTAGGAGAATATGGTGTTTACGCTAGTTGTATATTCTAGCATCTTTTGCTCGTACTCGGTCGTGTTATATGACGTTTTATTTTCCTGGTATTGGTTATCTCCGACGCCGCCGTTCTGAGGCGAGGCGTAAAGCGGTGATCTATCCAGCGGAGCCTCGTTGAATAATACCAAGTGTCGACCTCCCGTGCTGTAAATTGAATCGAACACGGACCAGATACAGTCGATGAAATTCGAGATGGTAGTTCCGGGCTGCTGAGAGTCGGTGAGAAACCCCTTGACACCTAGGTCGTTAGTCCCTATCCAGAGAGCATACACGGTGTTGTTCGGCTTCCTATTGGAGAGGAAATCATTGTCTTCTACGCGGAGAGCGTATTCCACGTCTGCTAGGAATGCGGGTATTTCATAGTCGATGACGGAAGGAAAAGGAGCATTGATAGATTCTAAATAACGCTTCACTATCTCGTTGGAGCACGTCGCACCGCTAACTGCCGTGAAATTAGACCTGTTTCGACCCTCCATCGCAAAGCATGCAAGAAATTTCTTTGGTTCTTACCTGCGTAATTATATGTCGTAGCCCCGAGCTGCTGTGAGGCAAAGTGAGGCCACGTATAGCCGCCGCTAGCGGTAACGTTCGCCGTGGGAATAAGAGTGCCCGGTGGCGGCGCTGAGCCGTTGTGAGACTGGAAGTACGCCAATCTGCCTTCGTCGGTATAGCTGTCGCCGAATACAATTAGGTTATCTACAGCCGCAAGAGGGCTGAGAGCAGCGCCAGTTACGATGATAGGTAGTATGACAGCCAGGCGACGCATTGCACAAGATAAACACTTGGTCATTGTATATTATCGTCTGGCTCTATGGAAATTTTGGCTCAATTGTGACAGCTAGGTAATATCTCAGTTTGCCAAGGTCAAGATACGAGTTCTTTTAGAATTATCGCCTGGGAGTTTTTATTTTTTTAAGGTGATTGAATTGGTCTTCGGTCCCAATGGAGGTTTTTATAACTACACGATGTGTTACATCGAGAGTGATGGATTAGGCTATGAACACATTCTTTATTCCAGCGAGTCTCCGCTTATACTTAAAAAAGGGGGGACGGCAAAGCGACTTACATTCTTGATTTAACCATCGGAACACAGTGAGAATGTAATCTACAGGCAAAGAAGTCTATATTAGCGATCAAGTGATTTCCCAGTTAGGTTAAACTTGGTCCTAAGCCACCTGCTATAGAAGTCCTTTGAGGGGAATCCTGTAAACCTCGGTTTAATGATAGGGCGAAATGACCAATAGACTTCAAATTTAAAGCTATAATATCGGATAAAGCCTGCAATACCAGCGTAGCAAATTCAAACTATTTATTCGCTGAAAACTACCTGTCGGGTTATTCCCGTGATGGATGTCGTATACAGAGTGCGTGTCAGTGGCTAGTATGCAGTCTATTGTAGAGATCTAGTGACACCTGGCCTTCTAACCTCCCTCGAGGGAATTGGCTCCCGTTCGGCTCCTGTTCATATAGACAATAGACCCCAGTAATATCCACGTATCCTTGACACTACCTAGTATTGAATGCCGAACGTGAAGACTAAACAAGCGAATAAGTGTGCCACGGAATTACTTCCAATGCTCTCTCGAGGACGTATTAAGGGCCTAAAGACGCGATCGCTCACGGCCAGCACCCTACGTCCTAAACGGACGGAGAACCGAAATGATCTTGCTCGGTAAGGTCGAGGTCGCCAGCGCCGGTGGTACGAAGTACCCCCGCCCTCCCACATCGTCGTACACTTGATGGAGCGATCCTCGACGTGTCGGTGAATTGATTGAGATCGCTCAATGGCGGGGATCGCGGGGATTTATAGGCAGGTGTATAGCCACTGCCAAAGTTGTATTCATGTTGGCCGCGGAGTAGGTCGGCGTCGGTGGAGGGGAGGAGGTTGGAGTTCTGGGTGGTTGCTGTGGGGGAAATATCATGGGTACGTATCTGGGAGGGTCTGGTCTGGGCCGTGGGGAGACGATGAGAGGTAGCTAAGTTATTTGGATAGACTTGGATGAATCTTGAATCATTTGTTATCGGATACGGTTAGGGTATCGTTTGGAAGAAGAAGTGGTTGGTTTTCTCACAAAATCATCCAACAAAAAAATCATTAAAAGACGGCGAATTTGATCGGAATTCATCATAAAAAAAAATTAAAAAAAAAGACTTCAATCAGTCGTAATACCTAAGTCATGTTTACTCGCATCTGCCGCGATGGGAAACCGCGCAGGTTCGAATCCTGCAGCTCTTACCATTTATCAACAAAAACGACGTCGTAATTGCTAACTAGCAATTACGCCTTATATACAATATACTACGTTTAGTTAATTGCGATGAGGAATTAGGTGAATAAAGCTTTCTTGAATACTTGTTGGATTCAACAGGCTTATCTCGGTTGCCTGGCTTACCTGGTTCGCTAGTGGTAGGATCTATTCTCTTAGATACCACAGAGATCGTTCCTGCATCTATAATAGTCGTTTTTGCTTCGTGCCTAACTCGAATCATCCTTGCTTTACTGCCAATTCTAACTAGCAATTACGCCTTATATATTAGGTACTATGTGACACCATGGTAATATGGGTAATTTGATGTTGTATTGCTATTAAGTCTTTCCCATTGAGCGCTGAATAGGGGTCTGTGGTGGGTTAAGAGGTACCTAACCTATTACTGAGTTTTGGTGGAAGGAGCTATGTATATGTGCTTATTTGGATGACTTGGATACCTATTGAAAGAACTATCTAGGTGCATTATTGGATGTAACCGCCTAAATACCTCTAAACTCAAGCTTGATAAGCACCTGGCTTCTTAAAATGCTCCAATCCTTAATTTTCCCAACCTAGAGGCACATTCTACAAGTTTCCTGTTTTCCCCTTCATCATTTTCACGGTCCTGTCCTTATAGGCGAACAAAGCATCATCAACCCCTCGAGCTGACATCGATTTATCTTTTGGTAATATACCGGTTTGTTAGCTACCTGTCTTCTAAACTCTTACAATCATCTTCAGAGGACAAGAGCCTTCATATCAATTGCTGGGTTGGAATCCTTTCAAAACCTGGAATTTCCACTACCCCCGCCTATCCTACAATCTTTAGACTTTGTCGAATTTTCTATGCCATCGGATGATAACGATATTCAACACACACACTCCTCTCGCCAAACAAATTATCCCAATCATCTCCCTGCCATGCAGACAATGCATTGGAATCTAACGAAGCTACATGACGAACAGGACGTGAAACACCTAGATACTATGCCAGTTAGTCAAACGGAAAAGGCAACCGACGAACGTTTACCCAACTGCGATCATACATCTTTGCTTAATATACAGCCGTGATTCTTAAATCATGAAGGCTTTCCAAGAACCACTTCAGCTAGCTGAAACTCTTACTGCAACGTCATTGTTGAACGATGAGGTAATCAACGTGTCACGGTACTGTCCTTATAGGTGAAGATGACATAGTCAACCCCTCGAGTTGATATCTATTTACCTTTTGGTAGCATAGCGGTTTGATACCTAGCTATCTTCTAAACTCTTACACAATGGCTTATTAAGCCCACTAGAGTCGGAATACATTGGCTTAATGGACAGTCTATCAACAACCCTCAGTCCTAACACAATCATACAACTTCAAAGCAAACTATCCAACAAAACCGCAGTTTTCCTCCCAGTTCATGATAAAGCCATCAAGCATTGGCGACTTTATTATTTACAGGCCCGCTATCTGCATCCAACGGAAATGCGGCTGGAGTGTTTTGAGCCCACGATCACTACCAACACAACGGAGTCAGTTCGGGCATTGCTACCAACAAACATGTCCTCAACAGCCTAATAACTAGGATGGCGGAGCGTATGTTGCGATTGCTTTCCATCTCGCTCGCTTTCATGAATTCCGCATCACTCAACCTTATGACACCTGTCACGGTACGGTCCTATAGCATAGACACTGGCGGGTCACCATCGTGTATATAAGGTAGCTAGATGAGGGACTACCTACTGATTACCTTTTCCTTCTTTGTGCAACACCAATTATCTCTACCCGAACCTTGACAACACCGAAGCCAACACTTCGTCTCTTTCTACGGAAAATCTCAATGGCAGTGCCTTGCGTCGATATTTTACCGACCTACTACTAGCACCTTCAGTAACAATTTCTTACAGCGCCATCGAAATGGGACTTCAAGAGTCGGATCATAACATATCACTACTATACTACATACTGGCCCTTCTCTGAAACTCACTCTGTATACGATATCCACCCCGGCTTATTCCCTGACAGCGAGCCAGAGGTTACAGCTCAACAACAGGGCGCGAATGAACATTAAAGCCCTCGTTTATAGTATGAGGTATTTCCACAATCAGCGTCACAACATGATGAAGCATGTATTTGAAAGCTTCAAAGGACATAAGGATTAGAAAAAGCAACTAAGTGATCGCGAAAACTTCCTTATAATTCATAAGGAGGAATCTTCTATGAGCAAAGGAACAACCACTCTTCAGAATCCACTAGACGAGATTAAACTATCAGTCGGAGGTACTTTGCATGAACCTGGGTATCAAGCATAGGAGCTGGACCTGAAGAGCAGAGTGCGTAAGGCGCTTACATGGAATACCGTCTACCTGTCAGGAGTCTCACTTGAGACTCTTCGGAACAAAGGAGTTGTTTTGTATATAGGTTTGGCTTCAAAGCTACTATAGTTAGAGTTACTTGCGGAACAACGAAGTTGTTTTCCTACCTCATGTTCTGCGACGTGACACTGCCTCATTATACTCAAGATGGTTGAGAAATATGACAAGTTAGAAAGGTCCCCAGTTGTTGGTCTCATAAAGGCAAGGGTTAATAAATAAGAGTGATGCTATTCTAGATTACCTTGCCGGCCCGTAAATGTAGACTACCCCACACTACGAAGCTGTATACGAAAGAATCAATTGTTCATAGCCACAACAATAGAAAATAAGTAATCTTTTGCTATATTTGGGTTACTTGCATGATTTCTGATTGATTGATACCAGATTCGAGTGAATGTGACCGTATATAAGTATAGTAAAAATAGACTAACCTACAAGGTCATATCAATCTACAAATAAGGGTATACTAATCTACGAAAAACACCAGGTAATCTATGTATAAAAATACTTCTATTGAATTTCCTTGCGACGACGACGTTTTGAATATATAATATATACATTAAATTGACAGCTGTAATTAGGGGAATTTGGATGTTTAAGTTTCTTGAAAAAATAAAAAATATTGGGAATACGGCAAAATATTACTGAGTGACAGGAGGTTATTTACATTTAAAATAACTTGGAAAGACATTTTGCAACAAAACGCTTTTAAATATATCACTTTTCCATACAAATGCGTTTCCATCAAACACAGCCTAGTCATTGAAGGCATCGTAATGGGTTTGATAATAAAAGTACGCTTTTTTTTTTGTTGTTGTTTACTTCGTATTGTTTACTTTATTAGGGATCGTGAGATTTGAAAAGCTTCAAATAAGCGTTGTGGGCCTATACAGGGCCCTGTCATTTTTAAGCTGCCAACTGACAAGTGGAGTAATCTACATTTAAGGCCCGGCAAGGTAATCTAGAACCTTTATAGTATCACTCATGAAGAATGTCCTGGAAGGACCTTTTATCACTATAAAGGATGCCTTTGAAATTTTGGAAATCGAAATTGCAATTAATGCTGCCTGTAAGCATCATGAAAGACCCATTGTAGCTAATGGAGGATGTCCTGGAAGGACACTTTAGCTTACAGGTGAAAGGGCTTTTCCCCCTATAAGAGATAATTCAACAACTTTACTTTCATGGTAGCTTCAATCTCGTACTTACACGAAGTCACACCATCTTTAGAACCCGGCTCAGAGTCCTCTTGCATCCAAGATTGCCAGAACCACTAACTGCTAATCCCAATCACGGTTGCGTCGACTAGTTATCTCGACCATGTTCAACACCATGCTGAACTATATCGCTGGATACTTCTATAATTCTCCGGCACCACCACCGAAGAAGGAACCATCCGTAGACGAATCTACGAGGAGGAGCAATCAGGATAGTGATAGCGATTCCCGAATAGAAACCTTGGAAGATGAAGCAGCCAAGACAACGACAAACAACAAAAGAAGGAGGAGGAAAGGGAGGCAAGCAGAGACACAATGCATATTCAAGCCCTACTAGCACATATACCCCATCTGCTGCGAACGACATTCTGATTCACCTACGACACGCTGGCATAGAGGGCATCCATCATCCCGTGAATCTCCACGCATTAGTTAATGCTTGGGGTAGTGTTACCAGATCTATCCTTACCGGATACTATACTACTGAACACGCTGAAGTTTGGAATGCGATGATATCTTGCCAATTGGAAGTGCCGCTTTCTGCCTCGGAAAAAGCAATCCTTCGGAAGTTAATTCTTTAATCATAAGCTGCCGCGGAACATGTAGCGCGCATCTCGCTTCGGAAGTCGTGTAGGGTTTGTTTCTCTTACACCTGTAACGGACCATTGCTAGTCTGATAAAGCACTTAAATACACGTAATATTCAGTGTAATTGGACTAATTGGGCAGTCGGGTCAGTTACCCCTTTTACGTGATCATTTTATGTTGCCTAGTAGGTGCAGCTTATATGCCGCATTTTCCAGGAGAAATAAGGGGTACACTACTTGTTAATATGCAATGCTTTTTCTTTCTATTAAACTTACAAGGTCGTTCTTATTGCCCGAACTTGTTCGTTCGGGATATTGTATCAACCCAGCTTTTTCAAAAATACGTACTGTATACCTCTTTTCGAAAGCCACCTCTCTTATATTACCAGCCCGATAACCACGAGCTACAAGCGGCCGTTCGGTTAGCGTGGGTAGAGGATGTGGTTGCTAGTAATGACCTCGATGGTTTCAGGTACGTATGCTAAGAGCTCTGGGGCTACAACATTAGAACCCAGATGAAAGAGTACCCGGCTCTTGTATTACTGGTCGTTGGTGAGGGGGGTTGACCGACCCGGAGGTGTGCTAGTTCCACATCACCGGAACGTGAAGCAAGACCTGGGGCCGTGTCCAAAAGCCCACGCATAGTCGCTGAAGGCCGCATGCGAGGGCCTGCCGGAGGGTAAGCTACACAAAAGTAGAGAGGCGTACCTTCAACGTCGACATCCTCGTCTACTTCACTTGGGTGAAATCATATCAAAGTTGAAATACATGAGCCGTACTTTTTTAACACTAGGTAGATAGAAGAACCCATATCGAGGGAAATTTGGTATTATTTCGATGGTTCGTATATAAAGCTAACCTCCTCATAGGTACCTGGCGTATCGGAGCCGTGTATCGTGTATTCTAACGAAATCTTCGCTGCGGCGGTGAATCCGAGTTTTGTATAGAACGGAGCCGCCTCGAGGGTACTCTCTAGATACGCGGGCGCCTGGTCTATTCTTGACCGCTCGATACCCCATCGAACCATCATAGATGCTGCACCACGTCTCTGATATGCTGGATCCGTCCCCATGAACGTAAGTCCTGAATAGCTATTCAGTTTCTTAACAACCAGAGACATACCAGGTATCACTTACGATAACACGGTGTATTTCCTAAGATGCGTAATTGGGTCTCCTCAGTCTTTTTTGCCCAGTCGTTGAGGATGTCGAGGTCTGTTTCTACCGGCCAGACCCACGGAGGCTCGACGTAGCCTTCGTCAGACCGTACGGGGTGTGCCCACTTCGCAAACGATATGGCGCTGCTATTTTGAGGTTCCAAGCTCGAATCGCGTACAACAAGAACCGTTGTTTTCGGATCTTCTATATCAGCAAGCGCTTTTAATTCAATGCTGTGCTTCACATCATTCCGAACGGCCGGTGTGGGGAACTGGGCTAGGAACATCGCATTGGAGCCGAAAGTGGCCATGTGGATCTCGGCGATTCGGGCCGCGTCCGCTTGGTCGGCAATCGTCAAGGATAGCGGCATTTGTTTGTCTAATTCAGGTCCGCCGATAATAAACCAAGTGGCTTCGTACTACAATTCAAAAAATGAGACTATGTACGTCACTTAGCCTGCACGTACCTAGGTAGGATGTAGATTACCTACATCTAGGGCCGTGACATGACAAATCGGCCCATTTGATCATCTTTTGAATGGCGATGGGGCTTGGTCTTCATTGTTTCGCTCAACCTCGGGATGTTGAGAAGATATGCTGAACTTGAGCCTTATTAGTCGCATATCTTTAGGTACGTACCTAGATTAGCGCATCCATCCTGTCAATTACCCCTGGGCCCCTGAACTTACATTTTAGGAATTGCCGAGGCCCGCAACGTCGGACCCACTGACGCTCTATTCGATTACCTTACCCAGGAACCCATGAGGATGTGTATAAGTGAAAGCGTCTTTCAACTTAGACATTGCTGCGTTTTTATGATGAAAAGTTAACCCTGTTTTTAATAGATTTGTATGACGTGAATTACTCGTTTTTTCTTTCTTTCTTTCTTTTTTCGAGATGGCTCCGACATTCTTAGAGGCTACAGCTGTCAAGACATTAGATTCTCATACGTACTCCGCCAACTTTTTATCGGAGTGGTGCATAGGCTCGGGTTAGTATAGCCTCACTTGGGACGATGCTAATTTCGATCCGAGTCTAACTCGCATAACCTAGTACCTCACGGTGGCGTCGTTACATCTACCTTTCTTCGCACTGCTGCAACTCATTTCAGTACCACTCTCAAGGCGCAGAACCAACCGCACACGATATCTCTGCATCTCGAGTTTCTGCGGCGAACTCAGGAAGGCCCAGCTACTTTAGCAGTACGCGACGTCAAGCTCGGCCGTCAAACGTCAACTATTCATATCGCGCTATCTCAGGATGGCCGCGAGGAGGTCGTGGGTTATCTTACGCACTCTAACATAGCTACCGAAACGGGCCCATCCCTCAAGACCCTTTGGTCATTGCACCCGTCTCCGCTACCACCGCCGACTAATTTTGTCGCGCTTCTTGCTGATGGCGGAAACGCTGCCTGGGCTGAGCAGAAGAACAAACCGTTTGTGAAATTTCGCAAGGTGTCTAACCACGTCCGCTACTTTCTTCCGCGGGGTGGTCAGGTTGTGCCGGGCGTGGTAGATCAATGGGCATGTTTTGAATCGGGTGAGACGTTGACGAATGAGGGCGTAGGCTTCTTGGCGGATCACTTCCCCTCCGTCGTCGACGCGTTGTGGCCCAGAGAAAATGGAGGGGAACGTCCACCAACCTTCTGGTATCCTACCGTAGCCCTAAACTTGGACGTTAAGAAGGCTTTACCGCCCGAAGGCGTTAAATGGCTGTTCACGCGCGCGCGCGCAAAGTGTATTAAGAACGGAAGAATGGACCTGGAGGTTGTCATCTTTGATGAGGCCGGAGATATTGTAGCGCTCAGTCATCACGTTGTCTTGATCGTAAGTGCAGAGAGAAACACGGCAGCGCGGAAGACGGGACAGCCGAAAATATAGATCTGCCAGTTCATGGTTCGCTCCAAGAATACGAGGGGCAAGTTTTCCGTAACTGCAAAGCCAGGCCTTTTCACAGGCAGACTTCTATTTGAATTCTACCTCGAGGTAGGTAGATCGACTTGTACGTTATATAGCTTTATCTCTTCGCCGATACCCTACCTAGGTAGCACTACAAATAAAGATGTGAGCTTAAGGAAGTTAATCGAGTTCTTTTTAGACATAGTGAGATGAGCACAACTTAAGTATCTAATTCTAAGTAGACTTATACAGCATAAGTGATAAGTGAGTCTATTTACGAATTCAGGTGGTCACCACTTACATTAGGTACCTAGGTAGTATTGTACATCTAGTCAGGATCTAATCTCCGCACGTGGCACACAGTATAATAAAATCATCATTACTGTAAGTATGTACCGAAGCTCGTCTTTAAATTGTCCAATGAAAGTTGGTGATAGCTTTAGAATTCTTTCGGAATCCCGGTATGTTGTGGATAGTGCGGGACCAGGGGTCTGCATAGTTCCTGGCAGCCTGGAAAGGTACCTAAGTTAGGTAGTTCAGTGGAAAGTTTCCAGATTTCATCCGAGCTAAAGCGCCTATGAGAAGAATTATTGATTCCTCCAAACTCCAAATTGCCATAGCATGAGTAGGCGGAGTCTTGCTGCGGTCGTCGTATTGTTATAGATTCCTTCTCCGTCGCATTCAATCCCTTTTTCTTTTCTTTCTTTTTTCTTTTTTCTTATTCTAGCTTTTGCTCTTCGTCGCTCGTTATCATAATACTACAGTTTTAAATCTGCCGATGGCTGAAGCTACACCCGTTGCTTCAGCGCCGGCGCCTCGGCCAGCGCCTCGGCCAGCTACAAATGATGTTTTAGTTCTCGCCAACGGTGTCTCTCTTTCCCTGACGCGGGATTCGCTAATCGTCAAAGGTGACCGATACCATCAGACTTGCAAATCGTTTACTTCGAACTAACGTTTCTCTACGATGCTCTAGACAAGATCCAAGTCAAGCGACACCGGAAGAAGCTCTGCGGCGTTGGTTTAGGCAACGCCCCTACCGAATTATCAATACCCCTTTATAACGTGCTCTGGGCAGAGGTGGCTTCTGAACACCTGATCATCGACTATGCGGACCAAATATCCAAGAAGCAACTCCGCGCCGTCAAGTTGTCTTACGCGCTCGACGAGACGGTTCCGACTGTTGTAGACTCGTGGGTCAACACCCTCCTTGACCAAGCATACGGGACGTCTCAGCGCAAGAAGCGCGCCAAGGTAATAGTCAACCCGCATGCGGGACCCGGAGGTGCCGACAAAACGTGGGAGCACGACGTAAAGCCGCTGTTCGAAGCAGCTCGCATGTCGCTCGACGTGGTTCGAACTAAGTTCTCCGGCGAGGCCATCGAAATTTGCCAAAAGCTTAATATCGACGCGTACGACATACTGATACCGTGTTCGGGTGATGGGTTGCCGTACGAGTGCATCAACGGCTTGGGGAAACGACCGGACGCTCGTAAAGCCTTGCACCAGGTCGCTATAGCGCACATCCCGTGCGGCAGCGGAAATGCCATGAGCTGCAACCTGAACGACACGTATCGGCCGAGTTTTGCGGCGCTCGCCATCATAAAAGGGGTAAGGATGCCGATAGATTTGATGAGCGTTACGCAAGGAGATAGGCGGATGCTCAGTTTTCTGAGCCAGTCGGTTGGCATTATAGCGGAATGCGACTTGGGAACGGAAAACCTACGTTGGCTAGGTGCCGCGCGGTTCAATGTCGGCCTCGTGCAGAGGATATTCAGCAAGAAGCTCTACCCGTGCGATATCTCGATGAAGGTCGAAATTCCGGAGAAAGCGGATATCAAAGCACATTATAAGCGCGAGCGCAACGGGTGCGATCATACTACGCGGAGGGAGAACGACGTTGGGAGGGAGGCGTCCTCGGCGGGCGAATCTACTTCTAGCGATGCTGATTCGGGAGAGGGCTTACCGCCATTGAGATTTGGGACGGTCAATGATAAAATTCCCGACGATTGGGAAACAGCTTCGTACGATAAGCTTGGGAATTTCTACTGCGGAAATGTGAGTTTTATTCCTCCGTCAGGGGCGAAGCTTTGTTCTGTTCTCTAACGAAACCATGTAGATGGCGTGGATGGCGCCTGATGCAAACTTCTTTCCTGCGGCATGCCCTAACGATGGGTTGATGGACGTTATAATCAACGACGGGGATATCTCGGCGGCCAAGTATCTCGAATTGCTGGCGTCTGTCGAAAATGGGCGGTTTTTTGATAACCCTCTCGTATCGTATCGGAAAGTCGTCGCTTATCGATTCACGCCTCACAATCAAAAAGACGGCTACATTAGCATCGATGGAGAGCACGTCCCGTTTGAGCCTTTCCAGGTCGAAGTCCACCAAGGGTTAGGCACCGTGTTATCGAAGAACGGGAAGTACGAAGCAGCTGGTCCGGCTGGTTGGGAGAAAGCCATTGTATAGGTACCTAAGGTAAGCTTGAAATACGTGGACGGAAGAAGAGAGTAATCAGCAAGTTATGTGATACCCCCCGAGTGTAGACGTAGACATGTAAATTCGTCTTAGGATTATACGCGCAGTTCATAGCGAGCTTGATATCTTTTTAATATATGACTTTAGCGGTCTTGAACAAAATGTTATCTTTTTTTCAACCGCCCAGGCAATGCATCGTCAACCCTGGATATATTCATCCGCATGAACGCCTAAACTCCAAACCCTGCCACGTTCGCGCTCTTGGCAATTGGCAACGGGTAAAACCAAGGTCACGACTCAATCGTCGAATCCATCCCAACTGTCCCCATCGCCCTGGTTATTGCCATCCATACCCTCATCATCCGATCCAACTCTATTCCACGGTAACCTCTCGTCGGATAGAGATTCTTTCGCTCTACATCGCACGGGTTTACACGTAGACTTGGATTGCACCTCCACGATGGTCCGTAGCCTTTCTAGAAACTTGCCGCTATCCTCTGCGCTCTCGTCTCCTTCCTCAGCTAGTAACTCTAGCTTTTCCGCCTCATCAACCCATAAATCCAGAACGTGAAGTCGCAAACCGACAGGTACTTTAGATAGGTCACCTGTATTTTCGAGCGGCCATTGTTCCAGTAGCTGGAGCATGCTGTCGGCGCGTTCACCGGCCCATCGGCTGCCCTTTTTCCCTTTCCTTCCGTCGCCAACCCAAGCCAAACTGGCACCAAACATGCGCCTCACCAGCAACAAATATTTCTCCATGCGTAGAACGTCGATAGAGGTCCATTCGCGAGCTAGGATAGCCCAGAAGGCGCGGAGGAATGGAATCACGATGGCGCATTCGTCGTCGCTTGGGGTAGGAAGGGTGGCCACGAGACCAGCCAGCTCGGCGCACAGATTTTGCTGGGGGATTGGGCGATCGCACATCCATACGCTATAGAACAGTCCTTTCCATAGTTTTAAGTAGTCGAGGTCTGTCAGTTTCCGCGCCGTGGTAGGAGCTGCGAGAAACTTGCGCAGGGTAGCGAGGGCTGAGGTTCGTATCTTGCGATCTTTTTGTTCACCAACCAAACGTCAGCTTCAAGATCAACCACTGGGACAACTTAAAGCATGAAAAATGTCGTGCTAAAAGGAGTAGAGCTAGAACTAACCACTAGATGCAAGATGTTTTATAAAGGGCATGTTCCGTTCGTCTGCCGCCATTGTCGAAAGATTTTGTATGTATCCTTGCCTTTACGCTTCGGTAGGAGATAAATATATATGATGCGATTACCACAGCGAAGTTGGCGTTAATTTCTTTTATTTTCGAGATTTTTCCTGCTAGAATACGACGACATGGGCCTTGGAATTGGTAGGTGAAGCTGATAAAAGATAAGAAAAAAAAATAAAAAAATCGTCCCGCCGCAGTGGAATCAATGAACTAAGTGGGGCCGGCCCCGTACCTGCTTAAGGAAATAAGGTACAGGGTTAGGAATACTATGCAAAGAGCGAGGTTTTGTATATTTAGATGTTCAAGTCTGATATATCTGTCAAGATTCTATTTTTATTTTACACAAAGTCATTCCCGGAGTCATGTTTGATTTAACTCTATTAGAATGCTAGGTTAGGTACTTACCTAGGTACATATGGGACGGATCTAGATCGCAAATGGGTACGTAACAATGTCCCTAGAACGAAGCTGACATCTATAATGACGAGGATTGCGATAATCATTCCCCGCAAGCCGTGGCAGTGACTTGCAAACCAATCCATCTTGGCCGATTCGAAGTAGTCCCACCATCCCCAAGCAAGGAGTAGTATCAAGACTGCTAAAACAACCACGACGATCATGCAGAAGCCTGGAATGAAAATCCTCAAGCTAATGTCACAGATAGGCCAGGGACGCCGACGTTCATTCCAGTATTTCCCTGTGTCGATAAACAAGGTTAATACCGTACTCAAGAAGAAACACCAAATAAGAACAGCGGAGATCACAAGAAACGTAAATACAAGACGTGCTTCGTTATATTGCGTCTCCGTTCTGTGCTCCCTGAAGTACGGATATATTTCATTATGGACGAATGTGGCGAAGTACGTGTATCCTCCCACTGCGCAAGCCATCAGCGTCGCGTAGAACGCGAAAATGCATGCAAGAAGGCCGCTTTTCATCGTGCCGGTGGCAGGACGATACTTAACAGCGACGAGAGGTGGTGAGATTATGGCGGTTCGACGACGAAATCCTTGGGACTCGCCCTCACTGTTGAAAATGCCTTTAGGGCTCCTTCAGACTGCAGACGTTGGTGTCATTTGTCGAAAATATCGATACGCTACAAAGAGTAAGGTATAATAAGGGACGGTAGGTTTGGTAGAAGTTGGCCTAAGTTTAGGATAGGGGTTGAAACGTTGAGTTACGCAATAGTATGACCACTCCGTACGAGACAATTGGGCTGTGGATTCTTATCCGAGTCAGTATCAGGTGTATTTGCGCTTCGTTACTATGTTCGAGAAGAGGCACTCTCCATGTTAATATATAAAGATTTACTTGATGGACGATAGCTTCGTTGTTGAAGCAACACTCTCTTCCACATCAACCATCTCGTTTATAGCTAGGACACGAACATCCTATTTCTCTTCTTTGTGAGATAATGATGGGGAAAGTTGTCTCGAAAAGAGTTATTAGCCTATCCGTCCTAGACTCCTAGTCTTTAGACTCTGGTGAACTTTTGGAAACTGATAAAGGGTAGCCGTTGGGTAACCGAGGCGTAGTTTACAGCATATAATATCCGCGGCATACATAATACCTATTCCCTTACGGTTAAGATACCTCATATCATCAGGGATGTCAAACTTACCAACATATAATGAAATATGAAGCTAAAATACGCCTCACCCCCTCTCTATGGTCAGTTAGATGCTGTTTCTGAGAGAAACAATAAATACGACTACTCTTCCAGCCTATTCGTTGTATACAGTCTCTAACTAAATGTAACAAACCATCTCGGGCTCATTATCGGTAGAGTAGGGACAGTGCTTCACTAAAGATTAGTTCCTCTAGCTTGTTGTTCCAATCGACTGTCCGTTTCTACACTATATAGGTACTCCGTGGCAGTCTATCCCTTTGATCTAAATAATTAACCTGCGATGACCCTAATGATGACATAGCCCAACTGGAAATTTTTACTCGGTAATTATTCCGTCCATAAGACTCCACGTAGCATAAGGTATCGCGGCTTTCGAAGCTAATATGGCTCAGGGAATAAGCCATTGTGGTGTACCAGAGGGTTATCTCCCTATATATACACGTAATATCGCGGTTGTGAGGACGCTATTCGCCACGGGCCTAAGTAGCGAGTGTCGACGTTGCAACTTGCTGACTATGGCCTTGCATTTGAGGGGCCTGCTGACCATCGCGGGATGATCCATGCTTCTGTTATCTATTAACGTGTATTTAAACCTGCGATGATTCCTCTGTGTCAAGTTGTGAAATATAGTAGTTAAATGCCGTGGCTGTTGCTCCGTTATTCTACATACCGCTATGGAGGGTATAAACCAAGCCGATCTATTCTCTACCATATTCAAGTTCCAAAAGACGCTTGACACGATCCCAGACTCTCTTTCAGACTTACTCGCGTCTTATTCTGGTATTCCTAAAGATGACCAGCTTAATCACATCATAAACGTACGAGACGGGGCATATGACGTTTACCCCTATCCGTGCTTGGGAGGCTTCCTGTTTCTTAAATTCAACCTTTCCTCGCACCCTTCGTATCAGGACCACGTCTTGACCCCGCTGAGGCAGAAGTCCCCGGAAGATACAGATGAGCCCCTATTTCTGGATTTGGGAACTTGTTTCGGCCAAGATCTCCGCAAGCTTGTCTACGACGGTGCGCCGGAAGAACGGGTTTGGGCCAGCGATATCGACCCAGAGTTTATCAAGCTTGGGTTTAAACTGTTCAACGACGCCGAGAAATTCCCAAAGGACCATTTCCTCTGTCCTGGGGACTTGTTGTCGAAGACGTCTGAGGACCGACTCGGAGTCTTAGATGACAAGGTTACCATCATACACGCATCTCATGTATTTCATTTGTTCGGTCTTGAAGAACAAAAGATTGCGATCGATCGCTGCTTAAGACTTCTGAAGAAGGATACCGGAAAGCCGGTGCTAGTGATAGGAATTCAGGGCGGATGCACTATTCCCACCGCCGCCCTTCATACATGCACTCCCAAGTATATTCACAACGAGCAGAGCTGGCAAGAATTATGGCACGAAGTACGCGAGAGTGACGTATGGAGAGATAGGATCAGGATGTTAGAAGTAAAATCGGAGTTGCAAAAGCTTGGAGTTGAGCCTGGGACGGAGTTGGCTTGGCAGATATTCGAGGTCTGGGTCGCTTTCACGTAGAATTTGGCGATATGCGAACGCCTTGCCTTTACTCGAATGAAGAGCATTGTCATTAAATCCATTGCATCTATCTATGTAGCGTCTAGGTACCTGGCCTAAGTAAACCGTCCAGGGTCGTTAAAAGAATGAGCATACCTAGTGACAACTTCAGACATGCGAGCTTTCTCTATCTAGGTGACCAAGGTAAGTAGGTTTTCATCATTATAGTACACTCCTAGACTACCTCCTAGTTTACGGAGAGCAAGCTAGTACCACTGCCACGCTGTAGCGAGAGAGATGAAACTCAATCCCTTGGTTTCGAGATAGCTTTACTGTCTAGCATTTACAGAATAATGTCCTTGTAGCCTTCATACGAAACCATTTGTGATGGAAAGGGCAGAATACATTGAGCCAATATTCTGTACATTGACTTCCTATGCTTCATTCAGGCAAAGGAGATAGCGCCATCGTATGTTCCGTACTTGAGGAAGTGCATTCGTCTGACGTCCTCCCGACTGAGCACTTTACAAAGTTTCTTATGGTCTTTCTCACTCCATGCCTTCGTTTGACAATCCTACCAAAGTAGTCAGTACTCAGCCAATCTTGTACATGTAGAGCAACCGAAAAAAAAAGAAAAAAAGGAAAAATAAAAGACCTCTACATAGGTAGCTTCGTACCTTGTTACAGTAGTGAAAGAGCGTGCATCTACCACAGCCGTTGAGGTTCTCCTTTAAGCTGTCGCAGCCGTGGCATTTTCGTTGAGTTCCCTCTGCGACGATATATTGTATGACTTGCTTATTCATCTCGAGGACCTCTTTGAAGCTGAGCGGGATGATCTATATACTGTAGTTCAGTAAGGAGGTACAATGCGAATCGGTGGAGAAATGAATGGGATATACCTGAATTTTGCCGGTGTCTTCAACCCTTACACCAATGCTTCCGTCAAGGAAATAGTGAATCGACGGGTAAAAGATAACAATGGTGTTTCCTACTTTGAAATGCTTTAGGAGACGAGGCATATCGTTTTGATCATCAGCGTAGAATGCAACGACAAACGAATCACCTTTGTGATCCTTTGCTACAATACGCGGGCGGATGATTGTGTTGGCTTCGATAATCTCTCCGAGAAGACACCAATGCTTACGATTAACACTGGCATTTTCGCTATTTTTGCGGAGATACCTATCGTCCCAGGAATATTCCAATGGACAATCACGAAAGGAAGGAAAGTATTCGCGGTCCTGAAAGGAGTGAGGTTTCGCTTGTGTAGCCATCTGTCTAGAGTTTGCGTGGGCTGCTACCTACAGGATGCGTTAGATAGGTATTATGAAAGGTATGTATTTCGTAGGATGTAGAGCAAACTCGTCTCGTCCTTGCATGATTCAAAGGACTTTATACTACCAAGTACAACAAAAATAAGGTGTTGCTGCTACAAATCGATTACGAAGTACCCTCCAAGAATGTTAGCCCCTGAACTTTGAAGATGTAGATACCTAGGTACCTAATAATAAATGGCTGAGTGGGCTACCGATTACGTATTGTATTGTATAGTCGAACCTTATCGCTTATCGCTTATCGCCGTTAATTAAGAACCCCACCAACCCTCCCCTAGCGTCATTCTAGACGCGTTGACCGCGTTGCTCCGTCTTATTTCTCATAGGTACTCCAAGTGCCGGTGCCAGGTACTTACTCTATGGCAACGTTGCTAGGTCAAGTCATGGAATTTCGAGGTTATTGTCGCATGGTACTTGATTTTCGGTGAACTGTACCTTTCAAAACTCACGTATGATGGAGGAGTATACGCGACCGCACTTCTTTTTCCACGGCGACGTGGTTAGTTCATATCTCCCCTTCTTCATCGTAAAGGTTAGGTAAATTTATGCTAAGCACTTTTCGTACGAAAACACCAGGGCGACGAAAAACTGGAAGATGAAAAGCGCTGTTGCCACTTCTGCCAGATCCGTTCATTTTCGACACATGTCCGATTCCCTATCACCATCGTGAATACGGAGGACGACGCCGTGCTCAACCCCAATTTTCGGTTCATGGACAGGTCGATCCTCGGAAAAGGTGTAGAGCCGACTAAGAGAGAGTTCCTTTCCGGTTGCGAGTGCGTCGATTCGGAAGACTGCCAATATAATACGTGCAACTGTCTCCAAGATGTCGAGGATGATAGTTCCGACGACGAATATCTTTACGATATCCATGGCGCGAGACCTCACAAGAAAGTCTACGCGTACCACAGCCACGGCGCCAAGGCCGGTCGGCTACGTTCAAAGGTTCTCGCGTCGCGCGATCCAATATACGAATGCCACGAGAGCTGCGCGTGCGGCCCATACTGTCCAAACAGAGTAGTGGAAAGAGGTCGTCGGATCCCGCTGCAGATATTTAGGACTAAGAATCGCGGATGGGGCGTGCGAAGTACCGTAGATATCAAGAAGGGCCAGTTTGTCGACAAGTACATGGGTGAGATTATTACCGCTCAAGAGGCTAACCGTCGGCGAGCGGAGTCGCATATCGCCCAGCGCAAGGACGTATACCTATTCGCGCTCGATAAGTTCTCCGATCCCAACTCTTACGACGACCGCCTCCGCGGACCACCGTTAGAAGTAGACGGCGAGCTTATGTCAGGCCCGACTAGATTCGTCAACCACTCTTGCGAGCCGAACATGCGCATCTTTGCTCGAGTAGGGGATCATGCAGACAAGCATCTACATGATCTAGCATTGTTTGCGATTCGGGACATACCAAGAGGTGAGGAGTTGACATTCGATTATGTGGATGGGGTGGACGATTCGGAAAACGACGCTCTAGATCCGGACAAGCAGAAAGATATGACACGTTGCTTGTGTGGAAGCAAAAGTTGCAGAGGCTACCTCTGGTAATGATTGATATATAGGTATGACGAAGGCTACTAGACCAAGTACCTGCCTGTGGTCTTTTGGTAGCACTCAAGCTTATACGGCCACGACCTATTGGGTGTACATAGTAGCACCCTAATGGATATTTACTTGAATGGCTGGCTCGGAATATTTATGAGGCTGCTACAATATAGAGAGGTACGAGATGTGACGATGGACAATGACGAACATGATTGTAACTTCACTGCATGATCCATAGCTACCTGTGTTACGACGGGATAAGTAAATGTAAACAATGGTCATCACTAATAGAAAAGGAAATAAGAAAATATATATATAAAAAAAAAATAAAAAAAAGGGAAGATAAGATCCGTTATAGGAGACGACTTTGACATGTGTTTTTACATTACCTAGGTTGAGCTGATGGATCGCTATCAATTAAGGTTATGTTAGTGAGGGGTGCTAAAAGCTTGGCGGTATTCCCTAGCTTAATTGGTACGTAATCCGTGATTTTAGCTTCGATCCATGTCAGTCCATTTTTTGACCCATTTGGCGATTCTCCATTCCCCATATTTTCGCTGCCGAGCCTCATCTAAGTCTCATCATTCAACCAACCAACCAACCAACCAGCCAGCCAACCAGTCAACCTAACCAGCTTCTGGCACGCAATTCTTCGCAGAAACACTAGCGCCCACCCGACGATCGAGACCCGAACCGTCTTTCGAGTTCCACTCCGGATAAGTCTGGACAAGCACGGATAGAAGAAAAACAGCAAGAACGAGGGTAGAACCAACGTAAAATCCGACAATGCGTTGATCCAGTCTTTGGATCTTCGTCCTGGTGTGTCCTATCACTACCTGTATTCCAAGTGGGCACGACGTCCCAAAAGTGCACAAGTAATGGTACTGTCTCAAAAAATGCTCTTCTTCTTTTTTTCCCGCCCGGTCCCTACCATCTCTTTGAAAGTTTCCTAAGAGACTTATGCGATAGCTTCAAGCAAGCGCTATCGGTGATGGCATCTCTGTTTTGATGTCCGACTAATAATCGGCTTGTTAGGGTTGTTGCTTCTCGAGGCCTGCCGGCCCCAACGCCCCATATCCGGGCGACAGTGCGGCATCGCCGTCTGCGCGCGCGATAAACTCTCCACCATTACAGCCTTCCGCTACCGACGAGAGCCCCCCAGCTTCGCGTGATGTATCCCGTTCTCATCAACCCGCCCAGCTCCCCCATTCGCATTCGCAACAATCGCATTCTCATAGCCACCATCAACATCGTAGGTATGGCTGTCAGCCGCCGTTGTCGCAGCACATAGACAAGCCCCTCCGACGGCACGAATGGGTTGCGCGAGATCGGTTGTGGACCCGTTCCCAGCTAGATACGGAACGAGCCGACTTTTTCGATACGCGAGTTACCGGCCGACCCGAGGTATGGCAGGTCTTAAAAGCGGCTCTGGAGGTTTTGTGGGAAGCCGACTTGGCCCGTGCTGCTGGGATCGAGCAGCAAGGAGACGACGGGACGGGTGGCATAGCTACGGCGCAAAGCATATTAAGGGCGGCCGAGGTTACTCTACCCACCGGCGACTTGTCGAATGGGGTGTACGACTCGCTAGGAAACTACTACGCATTGCCGGAATGGATAGTGAGCGATCCCGTGAATGTAGCAGAGGGGAGCGGTGCGAAGAGAACCAGCGGAGATATGGCGCGGAACGGGGATGGTGAGCTGACTGCTGGAGAAGATAGCGGGGAGGAGCCCGATGAAGACGAAGCTTTACGACGAAGGGAGGAGAAGGGTAAGGCTGTCGCTGACATCCGGGATATGGTGAAAGTTCGTGCTAGACTTAGCGAGAATTTACCAGATGTGGTGATTAGTGTGGGTTCTGACGAAAGTGTAAGGAGTCTTGCTAAGAGGGTAGCTGAAAAATCCGAGGTAGGTTTCTTTTCTGTCCCGTTTCTCTGCTTCCCTTCAGATTCTCGTCTGGTGAGCATCACTTCTGACAACTTGGCATAGCTCCCGTCGACAAAACGCGTTCGTGTAGCCTACATGGGAAAAATCCTTAAGGAGAACTCGTCACTACAGAGCCAAGGCTGGAAAAGGGGCCATATTGTCAACGCGCTGGTATTTGACCGGTAGCAATAGGCTATGGCGTTGTGCCGGCCTCCACCCATATAAGGGGACACCCTTCTATCCTTTTGGATTTGAGTCGGCGTTGCCCAATAGCCCGTTGTTGGAACATTAATCCCTGGGTGTCTTTTGACGTTTACGTTTCTTTACCATTCTTCTGCATCGGATTCTGGACAATACCCAATATTTTGAGCCTTGCTGTGTTAGCATGTGGTGGGCCATTGGAGTTAGGTGTCATCATAACGAATTCTTCGAATCGACGAATGAGGTAGCAAACCTCTGTTTAGGAAAGGCTAATAATAACTTGATAGGACTCTTACACTAGAGTCAAGTACAATACTAAGACGTACATAATTTGTGGTTTCTGTGACTGGGTGCGGAGTAATATCCCGTGAGCCCCCATTTGAACTATATTAGTAGTCTACATCAAGGTTAGTTCGAGGACTTGGTTATCTCATAAAGCTTTTATAGGGCTGGCGCTTCATATGAGGTGCCATCCAGTCCAATTTTATGCTGGTCCATATTACCTACCCTGTTACTTCAAAGGGTAACCTACCTACCTACTAGGTAGATTTTTCATGCCATTATCCCACCTTTCGTGTTATGCTACATTGTATGCCTCACATTATGCTCGTAGCAGTTAATGCGGATCAAATACCTATTATTATCCCGGGACCAACATTTACAACGGGAATATGGACCCTGTTGCTATTTTTGACCTAGTCTGGACCTTTAAAGCTTCGAGTAAACGAATCTTTACCAGCTTTTCGGAACATGACTTCGTGTGGTTAATATGGCTAAAGTCGTTACGACCACGATCTAGAGCCCAATTCCCAGGAACTCGGAGCATAATACCACAAGTAGAAATTAAATTTGCATATCTCTATGGCTACCGGCGGTTTCATCGTGTCATGATAATATCAACGGAAGTCTCAAAGGTTTTATTGCAGTTAGGCTTTCCCAACTGCCTGCCTATTACCTGCCCTATATAAAGGTTACTTCATAATTCTAAGAGTCGCAGCATTCACAGCTATTGCAAGTCTTTCTAATACCATATATACTTCTCCATCAAAAGAAATACTCGCTTGAAAAGCTCATAATATGCATCTCACTTATCCACTTACATTCTTATTCGTAGCATGCTCCGCAGCTACGCCGCAGAAACCTATGACGTTCCCTGATGCTTCGGAAGCTCCATTCTCACCACCGACTATAAAGTCTGTCTCCTTCTCCGGCAGCGGCTGTCCCCAAAGTGGTAGTAGCAAACAGGTCTCGGGAGGGTGGCAGCACTTTACGTTTACCCTTCCTGATTTTGCAGCTTCATACGGAGGAAGCAAGCCAACGTCTGTTAACTGCCAGGCACACATGAGCCTAACTGGAGGTGAACCTGGGTGGCAAGTTGCGCTGAGAGATGTTTGGACTCAGGGTCACGTAGAATTGGAACCGGATGTGAAGCTAACGCAATACATCACTGCGTATTATAGTCAAGACGCCGCGAACACGGTATGCATTATGACCCTAGACTTATTTAAGCATTGTCTGTATGTCTCAACTAACAAAACGTTCAACATGAAGATTTCTACAGCACAAACACTGACCAGTCCCTCAAATTCGAGTCTCGCTCGTGACATTACTACCCATTCGGGTATCCCTAAAGAAAGCGCTGTTTGGTCTCCTTGCTCGGGGCCAAGTGGGAATGTTGGTATCTTGAATGTGAATTTCCGCGTTGCCTTTACTTCGCCAAATAGTCACTCGTATGGGTATTTTGGAGGAGGAAAGAATTCAACCGTCAGGGAGAAATGGGGCTGGTCGTGGAGACGGTGCTAGAATGAAGAATATGCGCTTGAGTTATTGGTAAAGATGTCGAACTTGCACGCGCTTTATAACAAGATAGTAGGTAAATAATTTTCAACTATTAAATTCTTCGTAGTCGACTTGTAATGTTTATCTTGTAAACCTTCGTCTAACGCAGGGCTATCCAGTTGAGAACATGAACGATATACCTGTTCCATTTGCCAATATTACTACTCTTTGCTTATTTGTAACTTATGTCCTGGAGCCCAAGAAAAGGCTTCAAGCCCTAAAAGAATCGCCGATAGATTATGGAGAATGTATCTAGCCTATTGACAACGTTGAGTTGTTCGATGGGGACATATGGGAATCACAAGGTAGGGAGGGGAATAGGGTGACATGGAACTCGTGTGATCGTCTGTCCAGGATTTTCAAGTTCATCGCTCCGAGTAAACTTGCTCAAATTTACTCTCATCTACATATTACTGTATATTGGAGAACCTGCGTGAGCTATAATTTACACCACATGCCCCTACGATCCATCCCTTGTGGCTAAGCCATTACTGTTGAACTGGATGCGTCCGTATTAAGTAGTCCTTGAACGAAAATATGAAGCATCCCTTTGACTACATCAGACTACTTAAAACCGTCGCGCTCGCAATCGAGATAATACTTGTCTTGGTTACAATGTTAGTGATGTGCTTTGCGTATCTAGGGAGCTTCGGAAAGGAGTTGCAGGAAGTTGGCGGTCAAAATGTTTTAAATTATAAATCTCATTTGCAACAGTGCGTCTCTAAACACCATACCATCGGGGTTCAAACTAACTATATGAGTAGATTGAGGGAATCTAACCTTGCGATCTCCATCCTTGCTACAGCCACATGTTTGGCCCGTCTTGTTCTGGTTTACTTCAGCGTAGCCTCTGCTTTTGTCTGTCAATTCGACGTTCTGAACGATTTATTGCTATTTGGTTTCTGGGTACACAGCGTTACCGCACAATGTGCGAACGATCTGGCAAATCCTGCTCGCCCCATCATAACGCCCTGGCATCTTGAAAGAAGCTGCGGTGTCGTCGACTCTATGATAGTCGGAGACTGCTTGCTTGCTAGGACTTGCTTTCTCTTTTCAATTTTGTCGTTGTGAGTCCGTTACTAAGTCCAAGTATCATAAAGCTTGAACTAACTTTTACGTCAAAAATTTCTAGGCTATTCTTCTTTTCGCGATCCGTGGTTTCTGTGCTTCGTCTCACTTATTATTGGGGTCGGTTTGAGAGATTCGATCGAGATGAAGAAATGGCACATAGGTCCCTGAATCTAAAGGAGAGTTGGATTGGGGATTAAATATGCGAATTAGAATGATCCAAGATAATTATTAAGGTGGTTAAACAACCAAGAAAGTTGGAAGAGCACAGTCAATACCTATGGACAGGTGATCAATACGAGTAATTATCGATGCCCTCTTTCTCGCCGTCGATTGTTGGAATATTGCGTTACCCTGTAAACTTCCCCTTCAGTAAATCAGCTAAACAAGACTGACATGTACGCCCAACGAACATCCTTTCGTATCAAAAAAGTAAATTTAACGTACAATTGCCAAGTCCCCGGTGCATCTAAGAACAGCGGATGAGCAAGTTATTCAATCCTGCAGCTGAGAAACCAGATAACCCTTGCGGCCTTGTTACCACCAACCGGTATTGATTCAGTCTTTTCGATGCATGCCACAACGTGGGCGAAATTGTACCCGTCCTTAATACCCCTGCAAAGGGTTCGTTGACGGTTACAGATGTAGGGTAGCTGTTAGGTTCACCCCCTTCCTTAAGTCCTATTTGGATCCTTAGGTCGCGATTAAGGTGTCAGTGTGTACACGACACGATAATATACGGGACAAATGGTTGGATCACGTCTTTACTGATTGGCTACACAGCGTCTTACACGGAAACTAGCCATCATGCGATTGTGCGACTGGGGATAACCTTACACTTGTTCTGTGGGCCTGCCAGCTTCCGCTAGCTCCTCAGTAGCTAGCAGGATGGGACTCGAGGCAAGAAGACAGTGTCGTTACATAAATGGATGCGGCCTGCAGGAAAAAAGTATTTTGCAATCATGTCGTTTCCTCGCTGACACCTAATCCGAGTTGCGTTCCTTTATATCACGTAGGAAATATGGACGACGGGCTAATGTCGGGGACACCATGGCTGGACCAGCCGGTAATGCTTCACTCGTCTCGGGAAGAGACTTGCGAGCTTACTCCGGCCCAATGTGAATATCGCAACGGCTACTGGCGATATTGGTATGTATCTGCACCTATTTAAGTTTACGTTGAGGTTGTCCTGTATCAAGTTTCGATCGGCTAAGTTTCGATTTCAGGTACCACGCAGATCATGTATATGCTCTTGGAACAGTCTACTTCTTCATCGCGGTTGTTGGTGTTTGCTTTATCGGATTCTACCTCCAGCGACTTGCTCCCAGGTCTCTTAGAGAAAAGACGTGGTGGCGGAAGGTAATAGCGAGCTTTCGTTTTCTGTCCTACCGCCATTATAATGTTGCTGCAATACGATGGCATACTCCGCCTTTGGGAGTTATCCTTCTGCTGATTTCTGGCGCTGTGTTCTTCTTGGGTAAGTCCGACAAAGGTCTCTATGTAGACAGGTCCCTAACCTATCGTAAGTCTCCTGGCGTGCCAACTAATGCGAACTTGTATAGCAATGACTCTCGGCCCAAAGCCATACTACTGGCCGAACACACGAACGCTTAGTTACGGTGGTTCGCCTCCTCTCGCAACTAGAGCCGGCTGGATGGCTCTAGCCTGCATGCCTTTCATGATTATTCTCCCGACCAAATCCAATTATATCGCCTCCTTAACTGGGGTTTCTCATGAGCGCCTCATTGTGTTTCATAACTGGGTCGGATGGGCTATGTTTGTCCTAGCCCTCGTACACACTTTTCCGTTTATCGTGGTCAATATTGGGAAGGGAGAAATGGTCACAGAGTGGAATACCAGCGTTGCGTACTGGACCGGAGTTATTGCTCTGATCGCACAGGCCTACCTCCAAGTGTTTTCACTCCGATTTATTCGGTAAGCTACCTTTTATTGACTCGAGCAGCTAATAGTCAAGGAGCTCACAAGAAAATAGAGATCGATTCTACGAGTTTTTCAAAGTAACGCATTATGTAGCAGCGGTAGTTTTCGTGGTCTTCTTCTTCATCCACTGCGACTTTCGCTTGAGTTCTTGGTGAGTAGATCTACGCGTTTTCACCTCTTCCAAATAAGAAACTAACCCCGCCGTATTAGGGATTATTTTATCGCGACCGGAGTCTTGTATACGCTCTCGTTCCTTTACTCACAAGTCCGGACCTACTTCGAATTCGGAATATCCAATCGCGCTAGCTTCACCATGGTTTCGGACCTGGCTTTGAAAGTGACAATTCCTATCGATACAACTTGGCGACCTGGCCAGCATATGTTTCTCCGCTTTGCTCACATGGGAATGCACGCCTTCACAGCCCATCCCTTTACTATATGCAGCCTACCCGTCGTGGGGCGGGGTACTAGACAGGCAAAGCTTGTATTCTACGTACAACCTCGAGGCGGGCTCACGGCTCACCTAGCCAGAGCTGCTGCGCTGAACCCCGGTTACAGCGTTCCTGTTTTACTAGACGGACCGTACGGAGGGGTTCAAGGAAGACCTCTACACACGTATGATTACAATCTTGTCATCGCCTGCGGTGCTGGTGCCGGCCTCTCATTACCGTTTGTCATGGAAAGTTTACTTCGTTCGGCCTGGAATCGACGCGCAGAGAACAAGAAACCGTGTACCAAGATACAAGTTATTATTGCCACGAGAGGCGCACAATTAGTGCAATGGTATGAAGAGGCATTGGTAGACTACCTAGAGGAAAATGGCGTGAATATGGTACCTGATAACCTCAATATCTCGATATACCAAACAGGGATGTCGGAGCCGAAGAGCAATATCGCAGCTAAAGACCCCGAATCACCCGACGAGAAGCTTAATGGAAACCCTGAGGTAGTCAGGCGCCTTCCCATCAGTGTGTTTTCCGGTCGTCCGGACATGAGGACGGTGGTGAGGGATGCTGCTAACCAGTCTGGGCTTTCTGTCGGCATCGCAGCTTGCGGTCCTCGAGAAATTTTGAAGATTGTGCAAGACGAAGCGGCAGCTGCCCAACTGCGCATCATGAGCTCTAAATCTAGCGCGCGCGAAGTTTACTTGCATTCCGAAATATTCTCGTAAGTTGTTTTCCCCCTTGAGCTATATAAAATTCCACTTTGATGCTGATCTAGATTTCTACATAGGTGGTAATAGAATTATCTTATTCATGTACCCAATGCGAAATTATTTCTTAGATCTTTAGTAGATACCTACCTAGGTAGTTACCCGCAAATATCAACTGTAGAACATGTAGTCTATATTGACATTAGAAAAGTCTCCTAGCATATAGCTTAAAGTGAGATTTTTCTCCTAGGTTGCTGTAAACCTTTCTCCTACGTTGGTACCATCCAATAAGAGTCGATATCGTAAAAACTGTAAACTCCAACACGCAATACGTCACTTAGCTGGCCTCGCCGTACACGAATCGGTAAGAAAGGTACAACATACGGTTAGTGAGAGAGGGGGTGTGCATAGCAATGGCGGTCCCCAGTCAACCCGCTAATCCATGCCCGGGTTGGGGGTTGGATGAGAGAGTTTGAGCAGATTTTAATCCCAACTTTCCAGAAGCAGTTAGACAACCATCATAGAGGGAAATATGACCCATGGTCCTGGATAACTTGATGAGCCTCTGATAATAAAGGACGCGACCTCTGACTACGCGTGATTATATGATATGTGATATAACAATAGAACGAGCCCGTAGAGGGAGAGGCACAGGATTCTAGACCATGCGACAACCGACCCCCAAACGCTGCTAACGCCCAACCATACCACCCTATCCGTATAAAGCGTACAGAGGCATGATATAGACGCATCCTGATACTTGAGCAGATATTTATTATTTGCTCACTTGAGCGAGTTTCCTGGTCGACAGGGTATCAGCACCGCTCGTATTTTCAAAATCTCTAACATCTCCGGAACATCGTCAACTTCCTTTCCCTGGGGATAAGCGGATACTTAAGAGATTTGACAGCGGCCGAGTACCTTCTATGAGAATAAGTCTACGCTGTTATATAAGTGTGAATAGCACAATAACTACCTAACCTAATTCATGTCCTATGCATGATTATCTTTACTCAACTAACCAGCCCATTCTAAACTAAAGTCATACTTTTAAACCCTCCCGTCATTCGCGCCTGACCCCTAACAGTGTTTGTTCGTATCCTTGGTAGACAAAATGACGACTCCTGCGACCATGACTGGTATGTCAATGACGATGACAAGCGGGAGCTCGATGCCACCGTCCACTGGCGGTATGGATATGGGTGGTATGGACATGGGCATGGACATGCGCGACTCGTCGTCTATATTGATGACCTCTGCGGAGATGGCGATGGTGTTCTTCCAGAGTGTTACAACTCCTCTCTATTCGAGTGCCTGGACTCCGCAGGGACAGGGCTCTTACGCTGGTACTTGCATTTTTCTAATCGTACTCGCTGTACTAAATCGCATCCTAATCGCGCTCCGATCTATCATATTCGATTCGAACCCAAGGCTCCATCGACATAATAAAGCTCTTATATCGTCAGACTCGGACGACTATCCGGGGAGTAAAACCGATTTGGAGTTAATAGGTGGTCAACTCAGGAATCAATGGAACAGCCATCCATTTAAGGTTCTTACCGAGACGTTCCGCGCGTTACTTGAAGTTGTGATCGGAGGTGTGGGGTACCTGCTGTAAGTCGGCCAACACTTCGTTGAATAACTACCTAATTCTACCTTTCCAAGAACTACGTCTGACCGTCTTCATAGCATGTTAGCGGTAATGACTATGAACGTGGGATATTTCCTGTCCGTTCTTGGAGGCATCTTCCTCGGCACCTTTGTCGCCGGTCGGTTTAGCACCGGTGAAAGTCACTGAATTTTAAAACACCAAAGTCTCCAAATGGCTGTGTTGTTACTTAATCCTTCATACATCAAAATAGGGATGAGCGTCAGTTGGAAGCGTAAATATACTTTGCCGAGCTTCAAATAGCTATGGTGGAAATGAAGCGCCAGGTAGTTGCCCTTCGACAAGAGGTTATCAAGGTTGGGTGGTCCATACCATAATCGATTTATTTTAGCGATATTTGCCTACCTTGAGCTATCCATTTTTCAAATCGTCGCGTATTCCTTGAACTCTGGTGAATTTGTCTCTTTCCTTCTCATAAGGTATTGAATCGTCGTCGTAGCAGAAGTATAGATAAATGACGCATAGGTATCCGCCGAACAGTGATTAGTAGACACGATGAATCAATAGACTTGTAAGTTGTTGCCGAAATAGGGGAAATATGACCAACTTACCATGGAATCCGCCAACTTTCTCAGCAGTCATGGGAATCATGTCCTTTGAAAACTGTTGCTTCAATATACGGATATGCACCGACCGGTACTTATGAAATACAGACTGCTGAGCCAAAATGTATTTCTGGTTGGCACAATTGCTATTACAGTCAATCTGACCCATGAGTGGTACCACTCATAGAACTGATATCCCAAGTATCGCTTTGCAACACTAGAAGAAGGCGGCAGCAATCGGCAATGCAAAGATCTGGAATCCGTTAATTTCACCAACTTCAGATCCACTAGATTGACAGTAACATCTCGTGTGCTGACATGATTTACTATATCAATGGTAGGGATTCCCTAGGAGCTTACTGATGATAGGTAGCGTGGTTTCCATGTGGCTCTAGGGTCAAGATTTCTCATACAGAGTAGACAAGACAGGAACACACTGACGATTGATTTTCGCACCGCATGCGGTACCCAAGTTCACAATATTACGTCAACCTCGTTGGCCTGGAAGTGATTTAATCATGAGAATTGGAAGAAGGGTAGCTAGCAGCATTGTGGACAAGCAGTTTATCTGGACCAATTTCTTTTGGCCAGTCACAGGAACCGGCTTGAAGTCATTTTCTTGCATATTCGCCTTGGGGATAAATATATCTAAGCGAGAAAGCTCTTTATAAACACGGCGAAAAAGTTCCCGCATACTATCGTAAGTATGATTTCATATCGGGAACCAGACCCAAGTATCTGCTTTGGGGAACTGAGCATTAAAGCCTGATGAAACCCTTCTTCTCTCTTTTGGATGGATCAAACAGCCACGATTAATTCTGGTAGTTCAACGCCTAAAAGCTGCAGGGAAGGTTCAAGTCTAAGGCCTCTTGTATATATTATCACTAACGCGACTCTACTTTTGAAACAGGTGTCCTTGAAAAGAAAAGGGTAAATTCTTTTCGTTAAAAAGTCAAGATCTCTCATTGCATGGTCCTGCTCCTCATGATGCGGATATAGAAGTGGTAATCAGCGGATGACATGTTAAGAGATGAAATTTGTAGGCTACCTACCTGCAAACTATCGGGCTAGACCTACACAAGCTTTTCTCTATGATAGGAGGCTACCCTGATTATATTATTAGAGTTATACTTAGCTGTTTGGCACAGCTATAACTGGAATGTGCCATCATAGATAAGGACGAGAACGCTGACCCCTATTATGTCTTGGCATCGTAGTTGTGATAGGTAGCTCCTAACATATACTCTTAGCTGGTCCCTGTGCTCCTAGAAACAGATCTTAAGCCGTCGTGCGGGACCAAGTCATTCTTAAAGTCCATTACGATATTATATATGACTCGGCAGCGAAGTAAGTTTAGAAATTTATCTAGGTACTTACTTTATCCCTAAAATACACCAATATAAGGTAGAAATACTTGGGTACCTAAGTTAAGAATACTGATTTCTCAATACATGGCGGAGCAAAAGATATGGAAAGAAGGCCGTTGTTCCGTAAGGAGCTCTAAGGTAACTCTTGGAACTAGTCATATATACAAGCATCTCGTTTTTCCTTCGCACCTCATGCCTAACCCCTAACATTGTAGACCAACCTATTACACTCCATAAGTTATCAACATGCTAGGTAAGGAATAGTTTTATCGCGGATGGAGAGCGTTAGATCTCTGGCTCACTTTACGTGACAGATTTTCATTTTGGGAGTTTGAATTTATCTAGTTCAATATTCTATATTATGGCTTTATAACGTGATGATATTAATATGTACCATTTCATAGGCTGTTATAATACCACTATCCAGGAACCATAGCAACGGAGGATCGAGGATTTTACCTTTGTTAGAAGTATAATCCGACAAGGGACCTGAGTATTGGGCGCAGAGTCTTGACGTAGTGACCTTATGACGTTTCTAAGGAGGTATCAGGTATCTACCTACCTAGGTAGTGAGATACACTAGGTGAATGAACTTTGAACTTGGACTACTTAATATCATAAGCTGTTAATGCTATAGGCTTGCACTGCATTGGTTTGATATTTAATTCATGCTCTCATTCTGGTAATGTGAATATTCGGTAAGAATGAGAGGGCCATACCTTGTTCAATTTGGCTTGAATTAGGTGAGCCCCAACTACTATACAAGATACATCGATTTTATAGACACAGTTGACCAATACCGCTTCGGTCAAATATATAGTTGTAGCTAGATCTCGTTTATCGATTTCAGTATCCCAGCCCCGGTTCCATACAATATTGCAGATAAGTGTAGGTTAAATGTCCAGGTGGTTATTGTTTAAGGGAATAGTTCTAAATCAACACTAATACCATCGTGATAAATGGTCATAGCGCAAAAATATATCAATTAAAATTCACCTACGCCCTAGATATTGACTGTGTCAACATTGCTCGCTCCGCCTAAAAACGCCTTCGAGATGACCCCCATGGTCCCCATGGTATCAATCAATATGCGCCGTCAACCCTTCCAATATCCACCTGAAATAGTCGATGAAGGGAAATACGAGAAAATAGTAAATATAGTAAATTCATTATCTCGTTATAAAGGGATCATTAATCGAGGTGGTTGTGGTCCCCGGCTCGGAGACGGGGTTCGCGGTGGCGGCGGAACGGTCAATTGGGGTTGCTGTAGAAAAGCCGGATGGATTCCCATCTGTGTGTCTTGAACACCCGGAACCGGCCTCTGACCTGCTTCGAACTCCTTCCAATTTTCTGCTGGGGCCGCCGGCTCCGATCGGTCCTCTTGGTCGAGTTCTTGGAATTGGTATTCTGTCGAGCCCCAAACCTGAGAGTTTCGTGACGAAGTCCGGCTCGCTAGGGACTTCCGAATCATCGTGGCCCTCTCTATCTCTTCCATTGCTTGCCTGTCCCTCGGATTCAACCTCCGTTTCTTAAACCCTTTTCCGAGAGGATCTGTTTGATCTTGAAGTCGCTGTCGTCTCCTTGTTACATATAATACCAGGAATACGACCAGAAATGTCACGCCCAAGACTCCGATAATGATTACAGCTATCAGCCAACGTGCCATCGAATTACTGGCATCTTTGGTTTCTGATGCGCCCACTGTGTACGCATCAAATGCGTCATTCCCGTCGCGTCGATGTAACGGTGGTGCCATATTGGTTTAGCCGAGAAATTGATCCGAGATATCGATCCGAGATGGCTGGCACAGGTTTGTGGCTGCCTAGCACAATGAGATGTAAACCAAGTTGGAAGATGTGAGGTGTGGGCAAGACGGGAAAGCTATTCTTTTTCACTACCTCCAATGTGTCTTCTGAAATACGAGAAGAGCCGAATTGGAAGGACGGGAACCTGGACTTGATTCTATTATTGGACCAATCAAGTGATAATTGACATCTGCATACGGTTACATGCTGCATGCTGTGCGCCGCCCATGCGTATGGAATAACGGGGTATCTCGGAATCCTTGTAGTACGAGCCAAGGGCATGGGGCGATGCAAAAGTCGTCCTCGGTGACATTTGTACGCCTCGGGGACGAACAAGACTTGCCAACTTACCTACCTAACTTGCCAGATTACCTTAGGTACATAGGTAGGTAGGTAGCTATTGTTTAATCCGCTGACGACGGTGAGTACTCCGGCAGGATGAAAGGCTGGCTCCTCTGGACAAGCAGACATATGTAAGGAATATGCCGATCATAAACTCATCCTGGTGATGCTTAGCGCTCATCTAGGTAGCTATTGAAAAGTTTTTGTGTAGTATCGGTCGCATTTCAGTCGCAAGCAAGTCGAGGCTGAGCTCACTCTGCTGATTGAACCCAACGCATGTATCCCTCTGAAGGGATGGGATGCATGTCTTTTCAAGGCAACTTAGCTGACAGCTCATCAATGAAGCTGTGGAATAAGTATAAACAATAAGGGAGGCCTATCCGAATGCCTTAAGTTGCAGTTTCTATAGGTTCATTGCGCAGCCTGCCTAAGATGTTATCCACGCTTGATGCTTGCTACCACTCGCGCGGCGAATGTCACCATATCGAGGCTCCGTGCTATTGTGATGTATTTTTGCTTGTCAGGCTGTCAGGGTGCCCAGGCTGATAACCACTGCAGCGGGATCTTACTGATGCTAATTCAGTCGCTGCCTACGCGAGGGGAAATAATTTATAGTCGTCGTAGGCTTGGCTTTGTCCAGCAATACGCCAACAGTACCGACACTATTTTTTGGTTAGGTTGATTTGAGCTGCTGCATGCATTGTATTTCGTTGCACAACGTCTACATCCTATCTTCGCACTGTCTATCCTCGTGTACATGGCAGGGATTTTAGGCTATTGACGTTAAGAGGATCGAGAGTTCTGACGAGAAGTCGGTCGTAACGGGTTGTTAAGTTAAATCCATCTTTCACGACGATTGAAATGGTGTGGGGTAAACCTTCAATTGATCGGGAATAGCGGCCGTTTCTCTCCATTTTCATAGTTTCAACTACCAATGCTGACTTGGCTACGGGGTCCGAACTGCTTGTATACCTACTGATTGCCCCTTCAATGGAAATCAATCCCTTCAGTACCCTTCAGAGGTAGATATCGATCTACATTGTCCTATTCGCCTGTCCATTCTGACAGGTCTCGGCTGTGAGACATCCTTTTTTTTCGTCTCATTTGATTAATACCCCCCAATTCAGCCATCATGTTCAGTCGTATTATAGCCCGCGCTAGTCGCGGCACAACGTTCCTGAGAAATCGTAATTCGGCTGACTTGATACGACGGTATTCTACTGTGAGCGATGAGCAGTCCTCTCTTCCTCTGGCCGGTTATCGTGTTCTGGATATGACTAGGGTCCTGGCTGGCGTATGTAACCTAGGATCTCCCTGCAGCCTCGGCAATGTGCACGGCCACCCACTCTCACTCACTCACTCACTCACTTTGCGTAGCCATACTGTGCACAAATTCTAGGCGACCTTGGGTATAAATAACATGTCACTTGTCATGGCATAGGGATATATTAAGCTGACGTCGTATCGAACACAAGCGCAGAAGTTATCAAAATTGAACACCCGACACGAGGGGATGATACGCGTGCTTGGGGGCCGCCTTATGCCAAATATCGAGATGCGTCTAATCAAGAAGGCCCGGGAGAATCTGCCTACTTCCTTGGTGTATGTTTTATAGTCGTGCACTACCATTCGCCATCTTGCGCTAACTTGCATGTAGGTTAATCGTAACAAGAAATCCCTGGGTCTATCATTTCAACATGCCGAGGGCGTAGAGATCCTACATAAGCTGGCAGCAAAATGCGATATTCTCGTGGAGAACTATCTTCCCGGAACGCTGAAGAAATATCAAATGGACTTTGAAACACTCCATAAGATCAATCCCGGCCTTATCTACGCGTCGATTACTGGATATGGCCAGACAGGTCCCTACTCTCAGCGAGCCGGATACGACGTCATGGTTGAAGCGGAGTTCGGACTAATGCACATTACTGGTAACCGAGACGGGCCACCGGTGAAAGTCGGCGTTGCGGTCACGGATTTGACGACGGGGCTCTACACTAGTAACAGTATAATGGCTGCCCTGTTGTCACGGGCAAAGACCGGTCGCGGTCAGCATATCGATGTCGCTCTAAGCGACTGTCAAACCGCCACACTTGCGAACATTGCCAGTAGCTGCCTTATCAGCGGGAATAAGGACTCAGGCCGATGGGGTACAGCTCATCGTAAGTTTAGGGAAACGACAATCTCGTAATTCTCGTAATTCTTGCTGACAACTTCCCAGCGTCAATAGTCCCCTACAAGTCCTTCAAGACTAAGGACGGGGATGTCTTATTCGGCGGTGGGAATGATAGGCTATTCGGAATTCTATGCGATGGTCTCGGTCGGCCGGAGTGGAAGACGGATCCGAAGTACAGCATCAATTCGCAGCGGGTAGCAAACCGCGTGGAGCTCGAAGCCGAAATCGAGAAGATTAGCACCCAAAAGACAACTCAGGAATGGTTAGAAATTTTTGAGGGCAAGGGAATGCCGTACGCGGCGGTCAACGACGTTCAGGGGGCGTTGAACCACGAGCATACCAAGGCGCGAAATATGGTGATTGAAGTAGAACATGAGCAATGTGGGCCGATCAAGCTGGTGAACACGCCCGTGAAATATAGCGAGAGTAAGCCGAGAGTGCGGACCGCGCCGCCTACTTTAGGCCAACATACGGACGAAGTTCTCAAGGATATCCTTGGCTTAGAAGCTGATGAGGTGGTCACACTGAGAGAAAAGGGGGCCATCAAATAGAGTGCCTATGTTACCTAATGCGTGGTATCAAACTCGAGGATAGGTAAGTATGAAGTATCACTTGTCTTTATGAGTATAAATAAAATCAAGATCACCTTATCAAGTAAAGTGTAAAGTTAAAACGAATAACGAATCCTAAATACGTAGAGGTTTAAAAGTACCTAGGTAGGTAAAAGACTTCCAAGTTCCAACATGCCATGTACCGAGGTACCTAAGTACGTTAAGAGTGAAAGGTTAGGACTTGGCCTTGACTAAAACAGGGAAAGGGCCAAACCAAACCAATTCAAGAAACTTTAATGCGGCCTGGCACCGTTGACAGTTGTTGATAACCTCTTGGGCAGGAGCTTCCGGGGAATCACACCATCACGTGACATTCACGTGAAAAGCCTCCACCTATGAATCTCAATCTTTCACGGTCAATTCACCAGTTTTACCTCTTTTAATCAAGTTAGTTTGAAAGTTGAATGTAAATGCTTCTACCCAAGGTTTTGTTAGGAATTGGGCTTATCATGCGTTGATCCGCTCTTGCGTGGTAAGCGACAACTAATAACGCTACTTGTCTAACTCAACCACTCAACCTACACCACCAACTACTAATGCGCCAACGCGACGGTATTGTTCGGATTCCGTTGTATCGCCCAATGTTTATAATCTAGGCATCTAGGAGTAGATTAGAGGGTGAACCATGGATTTGGAAATGGAAAAGGAGAAGGAAAAGGTGGAAGTCGCCGATGCTGACAATGCCGGCATTGTCGACGATGCCACGAAACTGGCAGCGCCGGCAACTGCAACATCACCTCGACCCCCAGAAGCAGCGCAGCCAGCTCAAACAGCAGCCCCTAGAGCACCAAGTCCTGCACCAAGTACTGCTAGCTCTACTGGTCGTCCACCTTATGTACCGCAGTTCTCGGCAGCAACACAGATGATCCTCAAGCGGATAAATTCCAAACCTGGAAGTCTTTCCTCAGCACTTTCATCTGCGTCCTCAACATTCCCCAGGAATATCATTAAGGATTCCGCTTTCGAGGATACTAAGAGACGTCTTGTTAAGACCATGAACACTTCTCTAACCATGCCTATGCCCACTCTTCCTTCCAAACAAACTCCCTCTTCTTCAACTGCGAAGAAGTCATCGGCTGGCAATACCATGCCGCTACCTATGAACGACGCCTTTCAGCTAAGGACGCCAGCGCCAGCTAAGTACGGGTCTTCAACCAAAGAGGCACCTCGAAGCCAAAAAGCACCTGTTCAGAAAACAAAGGGTAAACCGCAGCGTGGAACCAAGCGCAAACGTGGTAAGAACGATGACGACGAAGACGAAGACGAAGGTACATCCTCAAGCCTGAGCGATTTATCTGATATCGAAAGCCATACCAGCGCTGCCGCTGCCGCAAATACTGCCAAGGAGAACCAAGCAACGCCTACTATGACAAAGTCCGGCCGCCAGGTGCAGAAGCCGGCGCAATACAACCCCTCGCAGCAGTCGGCTCGCGACGCTACCACTCAGAAGCGCAAGAACTACGGCAAGCGCACGGCAGAGCAGGCCCTATGCAAAGTGTGTACTCGAGGGCTCAGTGTGCCCGCCAACCAGATCGTCTTCTGCGACGGTTGCAACCTCTGCTGGCACCAGATGTGCCACGACCCGTACATTGACGACGAGTTCGTCAGTAACGAGTCTCGCTCATGGTTCTGCGGCCGCTGCATGGCGAAGCGCGAGAAACATTTGGCTCGCAAGAAGAACCTAGATAGCTTCAAAGGCACTAGTTGGGCTGGCAAGACCAATGAACAGGTAAATAGTGCTCCTATTTTCTATTTTATGCAGGAGCAACAATATACACAGACACGCATGCGTCCTTCTTCGGTAGGAAAAAAGGCTAACGCTATTATAGAAACGGACGTACCTTTCCGGTGTCCCTCACGCGCAGCTCGTCAACATCATCATGTATAGCACAGAGCTTCATCCGGACCTACCCATCTTCCCCCCCGAGACTAAACGTGGCGCTACTCAGGCGGGGCGCTCGTCTCACGAGAGCCTACGAGGCAAGACAGAGTCCAACATCAACGTCGGCCCAAACCACTACTCCAGCAAAGTATCAACACCCGATTCGCACACGGTGAATGTGAAAACGAGAGTCAATAAGGGTGTCACCGGCGCTGAGAACCAAGACCAGATAGCCAGAGAGGACTCTGCAGATTCTGTACCCCCAGCTTGGCCTAAAGTCGGACGTGGCTGCCTGGCCGGTTTGGAGATTAACGAAGATGACCTACGCGACGACAACGATTACGAAGCCTTTAGCGTTACGACGTACGACTCTAAGGGCAAGAAGATTCTGGAGAACGGCATGCCGATCTAAATTGGTAGCGGCCAAGTCGGGTCCTAAGACAAAGCTTTAGAGATAAAACCAAAGAGAAGATGGCGAGACTTTTGCTAGGGTGAATCCCTAAACCTGGAGGAGTTCCAACTTAAGGAGCTTGATGTAGAAAATAATACATCTCGTCCGAGCGTATACAGGAAGCAACTATGTTGTAATTGTGCTTTTGTAGAAGGGCGGCGATATATCCAATAAGAGGAGCTTCAAAACCCGACGATGCTTTTCGAAGGCGAAGGCGGAGTTAGTACCTTAGGTACCTACCTATTACTACCCATTATGTATGAGCTTGTATCCCCCATTGCGGTGTCTATGATTACAGCTACCCGACCTTAGCTAGTATATACTGCACTAGGCGTTATTGTCTGGTTTAATATGAATTCCATAATAATGCCTGGTATCTGGTAAAGGGGCAAGCATGGCTAAAAGGGCATGCATGTACCAAACATCTTCACAAGATGAATAAATAAGTTTTACTCGTGAAGTAATATCATAATATATATTTAAACCGTGAACCCAAAATGTAAGGTTTCGTAAGTACACGTAAAGCGCAAGTGGGTGATTTTAAAGCATATAGTTATTGAATAACCCCTTTCCTGGCTTCACTAAAGAAAGGGGCGCGACTAAGAAAAAAGCGTTTAGCATTAAACAGGACGATGTCACCCGGGAGATGGAATGTTGTGCCCTAGGACGAAATCAATAAATAGAAAAAAAAAAAAAAAGAGAATCTATAGAGAAAAGAGAAAAAGAAATTGAGGAGACATGCGGGAAAAAAAGAGAAAAAAAAAAAAGAACGACCACCACGGGACTCGAACCCGCAATCTTCACCATGTTCCAAGGTAACACCGGAAAGTGACGCGATACCATTTCGCCAAGCGGCCTGCATTCCATCAAAACGATGGAAAGGGAAGGTGGATTAACTTGTTATCGCCGATAGAAAACGAGTTTATATATTGTACCTACTTAGAGAAATACCTTCTTTAGTGCCGCCACTAAATTCTACCTCTAAATGTTCGTCTCATTTTGATTGGACCCCCCTTGTTACGCCGAGACCTTGATTAGGTGACATGTGTGTCATAGGTACCTATTATAGATTATAGAAACGAAGGGGCGTATCCTCTTCACAGGTCAGGGAAAAGAGCCCCTGTTCCCTTCAATAGCAAGAGGCAGTAAGAGATATTGTATATGTCAATAAACACCATGCTATTTCGTAAGAGAAGTCTGATCTGAAAAGTCTAACTCATCTTAAACATTTCACTGGGCCTTATTTCAATGTCGTCAGGAGAGCGGCGAAATACAGCCAATGAGGTGACCTATTACCCCATTATGTCTACTATTCTTAATCACCAGAACCATTTACGTGGCTAAGTAGCACAGCAACCGAGAAAATAAGACAAGGCGCCTCTTCATACATACTTTTTCCTTTCTTTTCCATCTTCGATGTTTCTTATACCTAGGTAGAAAATCTACTGCTTTTCCTTCCATTCTCCGAAACTTTCATGTCTTCATCACCGACTAGGCTCCGAGTCAAAAAGCCCCCAGTCCGTTAAAAGAAGCAAATGAACAATGCAGTATGCAACCTTACTCATCATGCGTTTTTGCCCTGCCGAGAATAAGATGCAATGCGATACTGCCCCCCTCAAATTTTCCGCCTCGTACTTTTGAACCTAGATGAGGGATACTGTGACTAGTGTGTAGGTACCTAAGCTAGTTTGGCCAGTTCTCATCGAGACGCTATTACGCAAAGCTTGTCACTTCCGGCCACTTTTCATGAGCGGCCGCCTTGAAAGCATCTGCTTCAGGACTGCGCCACTGCCTTAAAATGGCTAAAACTTCTTCGGCATGTTCATAATTGACTTCCTTCAAGTTAAGCACTGCGGCGAGATCTTTTTCCGTCTTACATTTATCTTCTCCTAGGAGCCTTTCTGTTTTAACGGTGGAGATGGCGTGGGATGGGCTGTCCTTATGCTTCTCCCGGAAGCTGGCGTTGAACTGCTTCAGATCTGACGTGGCATCCATGACAGTAAATTTCGACTTTAACACTTCAGCTACCTTAGGGGGTAGTGATTCGATCTTTGAATCTAGAGCTTGACGGAATCTTACGACTTGCTCGTGAACTGTGGGGTGGTCTGGATCAAGGGCCAATGCGGCATTCAGGCATCGAAGGGCAAGAAGGTATTTTTCTAAGAAAAGTCAGCATATAAAACATATAGGAGTGTGATAGACCTGTAGAAATTACCTCTCCTAATAAACACCTCAAACCCAGCGATTTGCCCATCGATGTACTTCGGACTGAACTGAAGAATAGGCGCGAGGAATTTCGTGGCCTCAGCTAATGGCTCAGTCGTAGCGGCAAGCTTAAATCCGTGAGGGTCGTCGTCCTTTTTAACGGGCTCGGCTGCGGCTCCCTTGGACTTATTAGGATCTTGCTTGGCGGCTCTCTCAGCTGCTTCTCGCTCGGCCTTCTGCGCCTCCTTCCTGGCCTTCTTAGCCGCCTTTTTCTTCTCGGCGGCTTCATCCCCATTGGCGTCCCCGGAGCCATTTACGCCGTTCGTTGCCTGGCTACGGTCGTATATACTGACGTAAATCGCTATAGCCCCAAGAGCGGCGCGGGTGTAGAAAGGATGCTCGCGGAGGCGGTCCTCCCACCTGACCATGTCTACGTACGCGCGTATTTGCCCCTTTCGGAGAGAAAAGCTATGGAAATCAAATTGGTCTTCTTGCCAGACATCAAAGATGTTGTAGACGGCATGGAATCGCTTCAGGGCTAACCCTATGTTCCCGTTGCGTACCCACGCCTCTCCATCTTCTGTTAGGTACCAGACGCTTTGCATATCTAGCAGATCATTTAGAGGACCGCCGGGTGAATCATTCCTCGTGAAAAGACCCATTGTCTTCAGCGCAGTTTCATTCTCGTCATTCCGCAGCTGGTACTTAGCTGCCTTCGTGTTTATGTAACGGTCCTTGAGGTCGAGTTTACGTGCTTCGTCCATAGTCTCGGAAGCCTTCCGAGTATTGCCGTAGTGCTTCCATATCCTGGCCTTTGTCATATGGAATTCGACGTTCTTAGGTAGTAACTCGATTCCCTTGTTCACGTACTCCATTGCCTTCGCCAGATCACGGCTCAGATGGTAATTATAGTGCTGGGCGAGGTAGTATAATGCGGCGGGTTCTCCATTAAGCGAGTCCTCATCTGCCGGTTTGCTTCCCTCGGAGGAAGCTTTCTTCGACTCGAGATATTCATGCGCCAGCGATCCAAGTATATCTCTCTTGGACTGATCTACATAAAGATGCTTGAGGTTTGCAAACGTCGAAGGTACTCCTTTGTCTAACATCAGGGTTAGATAGCCGCGGGCTGCTTCCCGAAAATCGTCGCCTAAACTTGTTATGAGCTCTCGGTGTACTAAGGGACTGGTGTACTTTGTATAACTGACCGACAAGGAAATCTAGGGGCAACCGCTTGGCAGCGTCGCAGCGCGGGTTCTTTTTGGCATATTCGTCATATATAGTCTTTTGAGCGGTACCGTCAGCACCAATACCTAACACCTCCACGAGCTTGGTATAGTATTCGGGATGCTCCGGGTTGCGATCAAGTAGGGCGCGGTAAGCATTGGCCGCCTCCTCTTTCTTACCGAGCTTCGATAGATATTCTGCGCGAAGCTCCAATACGGCTAGACGATCGAGGTTGGTCTTGGCGACAGATTCGAGATGGTCTAAAGCTCTTTGATAGTCTTGCATCTCAGCTATGATGGAATTCTTATACATAACAGCCTCCGAGTTCTCGTAATCCGTCTTGGATGGCGGCACTTTCAAAGAATCTTCGTAAGTGGTTAGTACCTTTTCGGCCTGAGAAAGGTTACCGGCTAGGTGATGAGCAACCGCAAGGGCTGTCCAGTTCTGTCTCAACTGGGGCCTAGCTTGGAGCATGGCAGTTCGACTTTGTATGTAGCCCTGATAGTCGCGCATCTGAATCTGGAGGAATGCAAGGTCTCTCTGAATCTGGTGGGACTCGGGTTCTAGCTTTAGAGCAAATTTGTAAGCCTTAATAGCCTCCTCGAAGTTCTTCTGGTGACGGTATAGTAATCCGTAAACGTGCCAGCATATATGGGACTTCATATCGGCTGTCAGAGCTTCCTTTCCCAACGCGAATGCTTCTTCGGTCTTCCCCTGTTGGTTGATGATCAAAGCCTTCATTGCCATTGTGTCTCCATGTTTGGGGTTCTTCTTGAGGATCTGCTCGGCAGCCTTCAACCCCCTCTTGTACTGCTTATCTTCATAATTGCGAATGACCTGTCGAAAGAGAGAGTTCTCTTTCGAGCTTAGAGGTTGAGGCATGGTTGGTGTTAATACTCAGCTCCCCCGCCGTCGAGCCCTCGGTGTGGAAGGAAAAGAGAGGCTTGCTCAGGAGTGATATTTAGGTGGGATATTCGAGAATATATGGTCCCCTGCTTCGCTGTCCAAATGTGACTCGTGCGCAGCGAGTTGATTCGCCGAATGCAGCTTGTGCGATGGGTGACACCTCGTCAGAACCCCAAATAAGCAATAAGAAATTAAATTGTAAATAAATAAATTCCTACTTGCTGAGTTGGAATCTTGTATGCTAGCCGTATGTACAAACGCGGGCGTGGGATGGTAAATTGTCGCCGACTTGCGAATGGGGAAATGTTAAAAGCTCGGAGCTTTTGCGACTACGTAGCGACGGCCAGCACCAACCCAGCGGAAGTGGGATGGATATCTTAGCTAATCGTACGGGCACCATCCCAAAAAAAATAAAAAAAATTAGAGCTTTCGTAGGTACCTAGGTACGTATTTCCCCGGCAATCGCCCGGATAGAAATATGCATTTAAACAATTCAGTGTTGCAATCCAGTACGCGGGCGGGTATCAGGTACAAATAAATCATAAATCATCACCTAATGTGAGGTATGCTGTATTTAGCTTGCTCAGCCCTATGCCTGCAACAGACTTTATGCAGAAGAATTAGTTTTTGAAGCTACCTAGACCTACCTAGGTACCTAGGGACGTACTAGATAATTGGCACAGTACCTAACGTTTACACAGGAATAAAAAGGATAGTTGCACTTCGTACATCTGTTTTGATCAAAATAGCATTGCATTTAGTGGCGAGGCTTGTACAGACAACCTTACTATGTTTCATAGGTAGGCGTATATGGTATTATATGCGTTTTATCTTACAACGATTTCGAGTTCCCGGCTTGGCTTAAATCATGAACTATGGCGCTCTCTTGCTTCTCTCCAGCTGTTCAGGGCCTGTTCCGCGTCTTGAAAACTATCACCGCAACGTTCCCGTACCAAGTTCCATGTTCGAGAACGAACAATGTTTTCCACGCTTCTTTCTTGTCTTAGAAGATTGGCCAGCATTTCCGTCCGAGGCTCTCGAGGAAAGTAACGTCCAGAGTATGGATCTAACCTCTCATCGACTACCCTCTCGCGATCCTTCTCGGTCTCGACTTCTCGAAGACCAACCTCGGGGTCATCTGGATCTGGACTAGTAGCTACGTAGGCGCAATAAGTCAAAACATCGGATCTTGCTTGCCAAGAGGGGAATAAGATGTTGTCCTTGAACGCCTGACATTCTCGTGGTTCGATAGTTCGACTGGAAGCTCGTGGGATTCTGACAGAAGTGGAAGAAGGGTCGAACCCTGACTGAGATGGGGTTACAAGAGCATTGAGGTTTTGCGTTATCGAGTCGTCGATCGCACTGCGAGATATTCGAAGAAAGTCTTAGGAGGGGTAAGCGCTTGCGCTCAGACGGTGCTTGTCGATTGGAAGGGCGTACCTCTAAGAGCGACGGAAGAGAAGCAGAATTGTGGTGTTAAAGTAGGATGGGCGGAAGGCGCAGTCATGATATCGCGTGAAGTAGGATTTGAAGAGGCGGTGTTCGTCGCATCGGCAGCATCCGTCGTGGGAGCCGGTCTTCGAGACCACAGTATTCCAGCCACGATGAAAGAAGGTAAATAGGGTAACTAACAGGTATCGAGTCTAAGGCAGATTTAGTATTCTACTTTCTTGGCAAGTATAACTATAACTTTATCTTCAAATCATCAACCGTTTTAAAAACGAAGAGAGCATATGGTATTTAGAACTCGGCTAGGTTAGGTAGTTATGTGTAGATGAGAAACTCGGTCTGGTTGGAGATAATGACGGAACTGACAAAGGCGACGGCCAATAGCGTCACATACCGAGAAACCTGAAATAGTGATATGTATTTATTGAAGTTCAGTACCTTACCTGGTACGTTAGCAGGTTAGTAACCTTAGCTGATAAAAGATAAGGCCTCGATCAATTCATCAGGCTGATTACGCGACACGCCTGCCTGGAGGGAACTTTAGAGCACTTATGAGGTAAGGTACGGATGACATGTAGCTATCGACAAGTCCCCACAGGTACCTTCCCGCAGTGATTAGGCTTGTTCGGTACAATACTACGTTCCTTAGCGTTACCTGGGCTTCGCTGACTTTACCTCACTGAGAGCTCCGTTCATCACTTTCAACACACATCAGCATTTCAAACCAAAAACATACTCCTTGTCCTCGTAACATCCAACAAAAGCACAAGCTCTGGTCAAGTTACGCATAAGAGCAAACCTTATTTTCCATTTGGAATTATTGGTCTTTTATTTTCTTCCCTTCTTCAAACTTTATCGACTCTACCTACCCATCTCCATTCGCCATGTCTAGCAACCTAGATATGGAGGGCGTTGAGCGCCGAGGGTCTGACGATGGCAAGGATAAGAGGGACGAGGGACGAGGCGACGGATCGAAAGAGGGAAGCAACAACGTTAATCGCGATGGTGACTCCGAAATGAAGGACGCCGAACCCGAAGAAGATGAGATCCTAGACGAGGAGATCCTAAGTCTCGGCACAGAAGACCTCAAGACACGAAAACGTCTACTAGAAAACGATGCGAGAATTATGAAGAGTGAATTCCAACGGCTATCCCACGAGAAGGCAACTATGGGCGAGAGAATCAAGGAGAATAATGAGAAGATTGCGAACAACCGGTTTGTTTTAGTCCTGCGCATCTATATACCTCGCCTCTCTTTACTGACTCTATAGGCAATTACCTTATCTCGTTGGTAACGTCGTTGAACTGCTCGACCTCGACCCAACCGCCGAATCCTCCGAAGAGGGTGCCAATATTGATCTCGATGCCACGAGGGTAGGAAAGTCAGCCGTCATTAAAACATCTACTAGACAAACCATCTTCCTACCCTTGATCGGCCTCGTCGATCCGGAAACCCTCAAACCCGGCGACCTTATTGGTGTTAACAAAGATTCCTACCTAATCCTGGATACATTACCTGCCGAGTACGATAGCCGTGTCAAGGCTATGGAAGTCGACGAGAAACCTACCGAGAAGTACACCGATGTTGGTGGTTTGGATAAGCAAATAGAAGAACTCGTCGAAGCTATCGTTTGGCCGATGAAAGAGGCTGAGCGGTTTAAGAAGATTGGAATCAAGGCACCCAAAGGTCTGTCGCATAGTATTATCAAGCCTTGCGTATATTATTTCTCACAATTTCATTCCAGGTGCCCTCATGTATGGTCCTCCAGGAACCGGCAAGACCCTATTAGCTCGAGCCTGTGCCGCCCAAACGGACGCCACATTCCTCAAGCTAGCCGGTCCGCAACTTGTTCAGATGTTCATCGGAGACGGTGCTAAGCTAGTTCGAGATTGCTTCGCGTTGGCTAAGGAGAAGGCCCCGGCTATCATCTTCATCGATGAGCTTGATGCCGTTGGTACGAAGCGTTTCGACAGTGAGAAGAGTGGTGACCGAGAAGTTCAACGAACTATGCTTGAGTTGCTAAACCAGTTGGACGGTTTTGCGTCGGACGATCGTATCAAGGTCCTGGCCGCCACCAATCGCGTCGATGTGCTCGATCCCGCTCTGCTGCGATCGGGTCGTCTAGATCGCAAGATAGAATTCCCTCTCCCCAACGAAGAAGCTAGGGCTCAGATCCTCAAGATCCACTCGCGTAAAATGAAGGTCGATACTAGCGTCAACTGGGGGGAACTGGCTCGAAGTACAGACGAATTCGGTGGCGCTATGTTGAAGGCAGTTTGCGTCGAGGCAGGCATGATCGCTCTGCGAATGGGCAAAAACAAGATCAGCCACGAGCACTACGTCGATGCCATTGCTGAGGTGCAAGCCAAGAAGAAGGAGGTGAGTTTGAATATAACCCGTCCTATATTCTTATGGATATATGCTAACAATTATCCGCAGACTGTCAATTTCTATGCATAGTTTCTTCGGTTAGAGCGAATTGTGGTCATAAGCATAGAAGAAACTTGTAATATAATTTCGGTATGTCGCGAATAAGAGCGGTTGCCGGCACTTTACGTCTTCTGGTCATTCTATGAGTCCAAGTCTAAGTGTAATGATGAATCGTTGAAGCCTCCTTCTATCTCTCGCCTAATTCCCTGGAGATTGTATACAGGCACTTACCATGCAGGGTACTTAAGTTTGCAGTGCTTGCAGTTACCTACTCGATAATAAGTGTTCACTTAGACCTCGATTTGAATACCATAAGACGGTCCATTCAGAGGTGTGGCTTGTAGATTTAAGTATGTCTTTGGTTTTAGGTATTCTTCCCCCTGATGCTGAATTATTGGTCCTTATCTACCTCTTAGGGCTAGTTTCTGCCTAGGTACCTAGGTAACAGGTACTGACGGTAGATGAGTGAAACCTATGTCGTATGAAAGCATGGGATAAGTTTGGTAATTTGAATCTTAATTTTAGAAGTCTGTTAAACCATTGCAACACGTATTTAGTCTTAGAACGTCCCTGTTAAAATGGAGATGATGTAATACTGTTGCCATACTCTGTAAGTATGGCAACATTAGCCATTGCGATAGTTCTTAGACCTAGTAAGCCAACTCAACTAGCTTAGACGGGTTTCATTCCCAGAGAATTGTTACATTAGGCTAAGTTAGTTGTTTGCATCCTCTTATTCAATCGGAACTTCATTAATACTGACAAGTCAATTATAAGAGGCATGGATATCTAATATTATAACCAAATATCAAATGAGGACTCAAGCTGGTGGTGAGAAATGAAGTCACAATAAGGATTGGCACCGGAAATATATCTAATTCGGTCGACTTGAGATATCTGGAACAGTTTGAAAATTGGCTCAGGGGCATCCCAACTGGACTGACGAGAAGAATGACGACTTCGACGAAAAGATTCCTGAATATCAATGTAACCCAACTGCCCTGTCAACTTAAGCCAGCCCTAAATATAGGTAGTGTAAGGAATCCCTGGATAGATGACGGCGTTGCCAAGACGGCTACCGGTTTTGCGCTCCCAACGGTCGCTCAAGATAAACTTTTTGAGATTATACGGCTTAACTACCTTAGGTAGGTATCTACATGGAAGACGTCTTTGGTTAAGAGGTCTCGCTTAGACAAGAAGACAAATCACACATTGAGTCTCGATAACTGTTGCCATCGTTGCTTTGGGTAACGCATTGACCTAGGCTCAATTACTCGATATGGAAGTACCGTAGGCGATCCTCTTCATGTCTTCCCTGATTTCAAGTTTCTCGTTCCTTAAACTAGGTACGCCGCCACGCTTCCCCTTTCCATTCGATCTTGATCTCATTGACCCCTGAGGCCTCTATGCTAGCTAAGCTCCAGCTACGAGATGGGTTTGATTACCCTTCATGCGAATGACTTACGTGCACCAGCTTCGGAGTATTTCGTCCGTCATTCAAGTCGTTGCGGCTCTAGTCGACACTAACTAGCCAATCTTGATAATAATGGGATGGCTTTATTCGTCAACCTAAAGGACGCAAGCGGCCTCTGCTACAGCAATGGAAATGCAATGATTAGCTGAAGGAGTTATTCGAGGCCTCCTCGCCTTGTTTACTATTTTTCAACACGAGATATCTAGCAGTGAAGATCTCCCCGGATCCCCTGAATGGTGGCGGCGGACTCTCGAAGCTATCATGCATCCTGATGCAAGAGCGTTAAACCTCTTTTTCTAGGACTGTGGCGTTCTGTCGTAATGGTAATTAGCGTTGTACACCTAGCCTTCAACCCCTTGCAGCAGCTTTACAGCCCTCGCATACCTGTTTTTGCGGAGGCCAGGGACGTATAGACGATCTTAAGCAGTGCCTTATTACTATTCCGGCAGAAGAATCCCCTGTAAATGTCATAACCATAGGGCTGCCATGACCCATGCTCCTAAACGAAGTTTACTAGGTGCCTACACATGGAGTAAGTTGTGGTTTAAAAGATATCATTACGATGAGAGTGACTTACCAAAGAGTTGGGTATCGGCCATGACTTCCACATAGGGAATTGTGACTCGTTCTGATTCGTTGACCAGTTGGGCTCAAAGCCTTTGTTTGATGTCACACCTATCATCATTACACTGCCGCAGTTTTCCCATGTTAGGATGATCAACAAGATATTATCACCTAGTTTCGTAATATGAAGCTATATCAGCTCATCTTAAGATCCATGACCTTACCAAATCTCCTTATGCCAACGCTGCCGGAGAACCAAGAAACCGACACGACCTGGGGCTCTACATAGCAGGGCCAGGTATAGCGAAGCAAGCAAAGCTCCGGAGATATGGGGCCGGCTCACCTCGTCGTCATAATTCTCGGCAGCCGCTGACGAAGGCCTACGATAGGAGACAACATAGAGTCTAGAGGGGGATAGACGTTATGACGAAGGCAGATATATAAAGTTTCGCATCTCCCCTTTGAGTTTCGGACCCGATTCTCTATCCCCCAGACCATCGCACAAAGACAACTTGCATACCAACAAACGACAAAGCCTCTCTTCCCAAGAAGGCGTATCCTCGCTTTCCAATCTCTCTTAAACTCTCGCTACATTCGCTCGCTCGAAACTTCCAAAACTACAAACCTACCTCTTCAAACCTTAGATACAGAGAATCATACCAAAAAGTCAACAATGAAGTTCCTCACTACTGCTGCCATCACAACCCTCTTCGCGGGCGTCGCCGTCGCTGCGCCCGCCGTCGAGCAGCGCCAGACATACACCCCCTGCAGCGGGACGTACGGCACCGCGCAGTGCTGCGCGACCGACGTCCTCGGCGTCGCGGACCTCGACTGCGCCAACCCGTCTTCCGTGCCCACCGACGCCAGCAACTTCACTGATGTCTGCGCGGCCGGCGGCCAGCGCGCCCGCTGCTGCGTCCTGCCTATCCTCGGACAGGGCGTCCTCTGCCAGACCCCGTCCGGCGTTACCGCGTAAAGCGGAGAAAAAGGAAAGGAACGGAAAGAAAGGACTTGAAAACACGGGCTTGAAGGCGGTGGTTTGTACATTCTGCACATTATAACATTCGGATTTATGTTGGTTGAGTTGGACTGATGGATCTAAGAGATGAGTGTAATGTATAAGTGTGTGTTTATATGGAGTCGCACGACAGGAATGGCTGGTAGTTTATGTATATGGGACAGCCTAGGCCAAATTTTATAATATTGATTACTATCTCGATTACTTACGTCTTCCCATTCTAGTCTACGTGCTCAACGTCTCTACGCACTCTTCAAAAATAAATCGAGTTGTTCAAGAGAGCTTGTAAGGCCTTGTGTTTATGGTATATTAATGTAAGAATTAAACTTAGTGTCTCTCATATGACATTATCTCTTCCCTGTGGGTTCTAGGAGCGTCATACATATTGATATCTATGCTATAGAACCCAGAGCTCATCCTGGTACCCTCGTTGTCCGAATCCGTCAAACAGGGGTCTTCGCAGCACTCCGGTAAGCACCCAGAATCATCATCGTCTGCAGTATCTAATTCTTTAGAATATAAAACCTTGCCGACATGTTAGTAAGGCATCTGGTTAGAGTCGTATTCGGGATGGTTATCCTCACCGCTATCACTACCATCACATAGTCATCTATACATTTACTAAAGGGTTATTCCCTGACCACTCTGCTCTGCCTAGTAGGACAGCTGATATAACAGGCAACATTAAGTTAGATATATGTGTTTACCAGGTAGGTGCCTACCTACGCATAGGTAAGCCGTGAATTCATTGGCAATTCCCTACCTAGGTCGCGATCACGGACCACGTGTCAGATTGTACCATATTATATCTTTCCTGTACCCAACCATGTAATCATACAAGAGGGTGTGTGAACTTGTGGGTAGATGGAGACTCCCCTCCTTAATACTCATCCACTTTTTTTCCCGTCCTCCTCAAACTAGACCATAATCGCAGCTGCCAGCCCAGCAGCGACAGCTACTACCGGCGCCCCGGTGATCCTTGGACCGGCCGCGGTAGATCCGTGGTCCGACCCGCCCGAACTGCTGCTGGAAGACGATGAGCTTTCCCCGCTAGAAGTGGAGCTCGGGTTGGAGCTGCTGCTCGTCGTCGTGATTATTCCTGGGCCCGTTGAAGAGGATGAGCTCGAGCTCGACGATGACACCGAAGAGGTATCCGATGAGGAGGAGGAGGAGGAGGAGGAGGAGGAAGACGAAGACGAATCGGTAGATGAAGAAGATGAGGAGCTAGTTGACGAGCTGGAAGTGCTGCTACTATCAGTAATGGTGATGGTAATAGTGTCTTGTCGGGCGACGACCGTATTATCGACGCCGATGTTTGGCTCCGCGAAAGCTAGAGCCGCCGATGACATGGCCGCAAGGGCTGTGAGGAGAAGGAGGTTTCCACCGTACATCGTAGATAAGTATCTAAAAATTCCCAAATTGCTTAGGTTTATGGATAGATTCTTTATCGTCGTTTTCTTTTTTACGTAACCTGAGGAAATTTTGGAGATACCTTCGACTTCTAACCCCGGACAACTACGGGAAGCAGGAGCAACTACGGGGACGAGAAAAGGTCTTGCTTGCTCACCTAGTTATAAGAACTACTTCTCGTAGACACCGTCGAATGGCGTTTAGGTGACGGAATTGCGTACGCGTAAGCTATGAGCGAGTACGTGACGGGAACATGACGGGTGTCGAGGAGGAGAGCTGCTTCTAGCTAGGTACCTAACTTAATGCTTCTCTAGCACGTGTTTTCGATAGGATTACGACCACTCTACGCTTCATACTGGGAAAAGGGGTGGGAGGTGTTAGTATGGAAAAGACCTAAGGCATATATTCCCAAGATTGTACCCGTAGGGCATCACACGACAGATTTCAGGTTCACTGATGCGAAGACGAATTCTACCTAGAGGGGTTAGATTTCAAGGACTCGGGACATTTAACCCCTATATTGACCTCGAGCGATTGAACTGAAGAAGACAAGAAGGTTGGATTCTTTGATGTATCAAGTGACTCAGTGCACAGGTCTTGTGGAAGTATGATAGGACTCTTCTATGACAGCCTTGGACGAGAATTATAAGACTTTTCGACCTAACATCTCAACGGCGGTAGGCACTGGAAGTTGTAGGCATCGTACAATCTTCTACTTACAATACTTAATATCTTCCCTCTTATAATATTTGACACCGAATACCTTTATATGACTAGCGAGGTACAGAGTAACCCTTAATTGTTGCAGTTAATACTTAAGCTCTATCTGGACCCGCGCGGAAATAACAAGGCTACCTAACCTATTGCCGTACTATATACAACGTAACTCGACTCCTTATTGACGCGGCAATATAAGACCGAAGTGCAATGCGCGCTCTTTTCTTATGAATATACGGTGTCAGACACTTATCTAGGCCAGCTAACTTGTCTTAAAGTTTCCCTCCGATGAGTCTAGTGTACTTTAACCTCGTCGTCTAATAAGAGCAGCAAGAAGTTGATGCGCGTGAGCTTGATGGAACCCCAGCCTGGACGCGCGCTAGTGCCCACCTTAGGCCAGGTACTCAAGCTCCTTTTTAAATGATGGAAGATGATGGTACCTAAGGGGGGAGAAACAGCATCAGATAGAAATGCGCGCCGAGGAATTCTTCCTGTTCTGCTCCCTTATACCTACCTAGGTACCTAGCCTACGTACCTAATGTAATATATGTAAAAGGTAGCCTAGACGAAACCTCAAACAGCACCTTGTTGTCGACCCAAAGCATTTGCGTTTGCTACTGGATAAGCGGGCTTTCAGCTCCGCGAGAGGGAAGCGGCTTCCTAGGTAATTCCTTGCCCCCAGAATAATGCACGAGAACCTGGTATTGCCACCCCCAGAAGATCTATCTGTATATCTGGTTTGGGCTTAGTTAGCTAGACTCGTATCTGGAAGTACAGTACATTCGCGTCCGCGCCGTGTTTATACAGGGAATTCTGATGGAGTTAAGATTGGTTAAACAAATCGTTCAAATTCGTTAGGTCATTAATCAGCCCGGTAACATCATGTACCTAGACAGGCAACTGTTAATATCTTCTTATTTACTTACAGGTATTGCAACGGGAAAAGACAATATTATACGAGGTATACATGTAATTTGAAGTTACCATGGAAGGTAAAGGTAAACATAAAAGGAATTTCGATTTCATTTTAGCGTCTCGCGTCTTGCATTTGTAAGATTGGATTTTATTAAAGCGCGAGCCATCAGGTACCGAGGAGTGTGTTACCTAGAACCAGAAGAGACTTATCCCGCGATAGGTATCGTGACATAACAGAATCTTAAGATCCGGGGGGCAGCACATATGACCCGGCTAGCAGTCATGGCGGCCGCGGCTCCACTGGAAACTAGACGCTGGGGCGCTTATTTACCTGGTTTATATCCCTCTTCGTTGGTTCTTAGCTCGGAAAAGTTATCAGATACCCTTCGCTAACGAGGCATGGTGTATGGTGGCGCTTAAACGATCATGATAAGTTAGCTTTTAGTTCACGTGTGGCGTTTAGTCGCCTCTCTTTCACGATGCACGCCAGTCTTTGTCCGAAACAAGTGCCGAGTAGGAGCATTGATGAAACTTTCACGTCGTACATTATATACCTAAAATATGCTCTTGAAAATAGGATCAATCATCTTCTTATCGAATTCAAGTGGTAAGTCTATGTGGCGAATAGGTTAGGTTAAGTACCTGCCTCCAAGGCCATCTAGGTATCTACCTTGTTGTGACATTCCAAGTGAATCAAATCATACCTAGGTAGACAACTAGTGAAACTTTACATAGTAGAATCCGTATATAAGGGCCCCCCTTACTATTTATTCCATCTGCCTCAAAATGACTGCCATTAATGCAAGATTCTGTCGTATCAAAAACAACGTATAACTAAATTGTATCAATGGCCGCTCATCGCCTCCCTCCCGATCTGACACGCGCATTTGTGCGCGAATTTTATCCAACTCCAAGATGAAAAGAGAACAAGGAAATCCCTGGAATATTAGAATGGTGTAACATGGATTCAACTGCCGAATAAATTTTAATGCCCAAGTCCATTTCACGCATTTGGCTCCCGTAAGGTCGGTATCATGTTTGCCCCTGTTGTCCCTGGCTGGGTGGTTGATTCGTGCTATGGTTCGGTGATTGCGGTGGTGACTGCGGTGATTGTTGTGGAGCGCTGCTTTGGAGTGGTGATACTTGACCCTGAACTTGAGTTCCATCAAGTAGCTGCGGATCATACGTTCCTGACCCAGGTAGCTCTGTTGGCGCATTCGCGGTAGCAGGCAATTCGGCGCTGTACGGTTGCCCATATGGTTGTAAATATTGTGGTGGATATTGCTGGGGATATGATTGGGGATATGGTTGTGCATACGGTTGTGCATATTGTTGCGGGTGCTGTTGATTATACATCATCATATTTGGCGGTTGCCCTGGGGCTGCTGCAGACATCTCCGATATACCTGGCGAGCTAGGGTTTTTGACAGGCATGTAATATCCTTGCTCGGGTGAATCGTGAGTGCCAGAAGCTGTAGTAGGAGCCGGTCCTTCGTGAGTACGTGCCTTGCGACGGCGTAGGAAAAAGAAGGCAAGGGCACCGATCAGTGCTAGGCCTGCGACACCAACACATACCCCAATGGCGGCCTGGGCTCCAGTCGAAAGACCCTCTCTTGAGACAGCGATTTCCTCGGCAGCTGTATTAGTTGCGCTAGGAACACTCACGGTGGCCGAGCTCTCTACATCACTAGGGCTAAGAGCTTTCCATGATCCTGACCATGATTCCTTCCAGTCGTTCGAGCTAGCCTTGATGGAACCGTCGTTTGCTAGTTCAACAACAGATGGGCCGGGTATATTGGGACCAGGGGCTTGGGCAAGCCACCACTGTTTGGTGCCCCAATTCGCACCGACGAATGCGTCTTGGAGAAAAGCACGGCCAAGAGTATACGTATGAGAAGGTCCCGTATAGCATGGGAAATATTGCACTGGTTTATCAATCAACGGTGCCGTCAGCGTGAGATTCAAATGCCGAAAGGGAACAGAGATGGAAACGTTTTTCGTGTTTGAGTTGCCTGAAAAAACAAACTCGAGAACAGATGCCGAGTTCACGATTTGCGTGTATTTTGGCTCATCGGTATTCCAGAAGTATAGGCCGAGGTCTTTGTTATACGTCACGGGTAGGTTCTTCGCGATGGCGTCGCACGTCGACTTGGGGAGCGATATGTAAGGCGAGCAACCATCGACCGAGACTTGAATACCGCCGGAAGTAATGGACGAGTTATCGGCTGCAAGGAGACCTCCCATAGACTCGAACTCCCACGGTGAAGAGCCATCTATTACTTTGATACCAATGTCTTTTAAGGTGATTTCCTTCGTGTAATCGTCCGAGTACGTAAGAACATCTCCTACAATTCGATTTTGATCGTAACCGCCGAAGTAGAACGACCCCGACATCCGAGGGTTTGCCGACCCAATATGCATACCGAAGGAGTTAGAGGCGATGGTGTTGTGTGACCACAGATATCCAGGAACGAGACTGGCGTTGATGGGTGGCCCAAAGTTGTTCGAAAAGCTTTGGTTAACTGTTGCCGGTGCCCCTATCCCCAAGCAACCTACGGTCAAAGGATACCACTGGCCATTCGGATAAGCCATATACGATCCGCTCAACAAAGCCAAAGAGACATTCGCTATCTTCGTACCTCCGAATTCCATCGAGTCAACCCATGACTTTGTCATTTCGCCCAAGACATCAACACCCTGCATATAGGCTGGACTTGACCGAAATTGAATTTGACCGGTCGATCCCGTAGTATCCACCTGCGACTGAGCATCGTTGTACTGTCCGGCTTGATTAGCATAGCAGGGAATTGATGTGTTCTGGCTGCAATAATCGCTTGTCAGGAGAAAGGTTTGGAATTCTCGCCCCGGATATAACGATATCTTCTGTCCATAACCCAAATTGACTTCAATCGCTGGCCAAGGACCATCAGGTCCAAACGTCGAGCTGGACCATTTCGCCGCAATGGGCTTTGTATCTGCCTTAGCGGGTCTGAAGACCGCTAGATGGAAAAGAAAAGATAGAGGTAAAGACCGTATAGAGATCATGGTCAGAAACACGCAAAAGTGCGGTAGAAAAAAACACTATTTTGCGGCTTGGTGCAAGACGACACTCGACGTCGCTAGCGAAGAATGGGAAAAAGAGAGACTTGAATTCAAAGAAGGAGCGTTAGTAGAGAACGAACGGGATGGGATCATCACTATACTACCTAGTCTGAAGAGGACTCGACTGGGGACGAAGTCCGCCTTCTGTGCTCCATCCGAGAAAGTACAGTACATACATCGTAATAAGAGGTAGTGTATACTCTAGGTTACCGAGTATACCATATTGGGATCTATTGGGCGCTTACGGAAAGCTGCCGCTAAGCTTTTCTCCTACATAGCAGTAGTAGTACATAGTAAGACGAGTCCTACCCAGGAAAATGTCAAGCAGAGAGGTCGGGCAGGGAGATGAGGCCGTGGATCGTGAGACTTGCCGGGGTTAGGTCCCACTCTTTTTACCATTAAAGGCTTCGAAGGATCCAAATGCTAGGGACTTCGAACCGCACTGAGTTAAGAACTGCATCAGCTTTCCTCTGATGGAATCAGCGCAGCAGGCAGGCTGCGCCCCTTTGTTGCCGCAGACGGGCCCAAAGCTACCTAGCATTGCACGATGGAATGGCCTTTGGGTTTTTCTTCATATGGAGAGTCGAGATTTCAGGGCTGAAGCGGGATAAACAAGGTTAATATCGTGGAGCCACCCTACGACTTATGCCGTACTGACCGTAATTGAGGTTGTTCAACTCTGCGCGGTTACAGCATGAGTTAGTGATTCTTGTTTGATTCGTAGGAGACCAACTCGGTGATGAAGTAAAGAAGAATTAACCTAGAGTGCTGATTTGTTTTCCTTATTTTCCCCAGTGTATAAAATTACCTAGGCGGATATGTTCAATAGTGTGCCTATGCATTGTCAGTGGACTCTGATTTTTGGGGGCCAAAAATAGTATATACACCTATCAAAATGAGGTATTGTACCTTATGATGTCCCTAGGTCATCTCCAGCATGGAAATATGCCCTATGGAGCCCTTGTAAGTGACATGAGCTTAGGTAGGTAGAAGGAGCTGGTAGAGCATAGTTGGATGCAACGCTCCCAGGTTTCATGATGCGAGATGCAGAATGTATCTACTATGCATTTTGCTATGTAGTTCTCATATTGGCTGCCGGGAAGGCTGCCTACCACCCGCCTAGTTGAATTCCTGCAGCGCGTGAGACTCGATTGCAGAATATATTTATGGCAATTGATGCTCTAAAATTGGGATTGTATCCGGTTAAGGGTGTTGAGTAGTATTTTAACCAAATGGGAAATGTACGGAAAGATCTAAAGTATCAACGACGTGAGCGAGTCGAGAAATTACACGGTAGTGGGCTAGAAAATAATATGTACCTCCTATGCAAGTAATATAAATAAATAAAAAGTGAAGTTTCAAATAAGCTGCTGCTGTTGTGAAGTTCGTGGTACCTAAGGTTGTACAATTAGGTACGTACCGAAAGAGATCGCGTACGCACAGTAGAAATTGAAGATGCCAGAACTGTGTGGCCATAGGAGGTACCTGCCTGAGGTAGGCACAATCAGGGGCTTAGATAAACATTCACCCACTAAATGAAGGGCAGAAGGGCAGAAAGGCAGGTAAAGCCACGTGTAGGCGGGTACCTAAAGTACCTAAATGCTAGGTACTTTTGTAGGGACCCGTAGGGCAGTTTTCGTAATCCATAGTGACGCCTTTCAATGCGGCCAGTGCCATTGATTCAGCCTGTTCGGAAACATCACCACCATCTTCAGCTACCACCAACTCTTTTCTCCCTACCTAACCTAACCTACCTCATAAGTCTATCTGCGCCACGGTACCTAATACTGTGAGTAGAGGGTAGAAAGATACCTCCAAGAGAGATATGTTTTGAATAACTTACTTACTTACTGACTGACTGCTATTTACAATTTACCAAGCGTTTTTACTTCCCCGATGAATGCCGTTTCATCGTCTAGTCGATATTGATTCCTCCTCGACGAATCCTTGTTCATTCAACTTCCTCCTTCGTCCACTGTCAAATCTTAACCCTCCGCCTTTGAACAATACCGTTTCGATATGGCTCCGCTTTGGGGCTCTTCGTGGTCTTCTACATGGGGTTCTCTATCTGGATACAGTGCCGTTCAGAATGGCGAACAGAACTCGGCGACAGGCTCTGCCACCGACTCCTCCCACCTTAAACCCAGCATCGGCCAAATTCTGAGTTCCAAGCGAGTGCGCTATGCCGCCTTTTCTCTCGCTGCTATCGGGGTCATTCTTCTCGGTTTCCGAAACTACGATCGTCTACCGTCCATCGAGAGTTTACGAAATGGTAGCGCTGCCGCTTCCAGTGCAAATTGCCCTACTGCGGTCATACCGACATACCAAGATTCGCAGGTCAACTGGTCGCGTTTTGCGTACACGCAATATGTCACCAACGCTGCATATCTATGCAACTCCGTCATGATCTTCGAGACCCTGTTCCGTCTCGGTAGCAAGGCTGACCGTGTTATGCTGTACCCCCAAACCATGATGGACGCTGGCGAGACGAACCCGACTTCAGAAGAAGCCAGGTTACTCGTCAAGGCCCGGGACGAGTACAAGGTTAAGCTTGTGCCTGTAGAGATTAAACGACGACCCGGAGCTGATGGTAAGGATGCTCGTACATATCATTAAATCTAGTTGTTCGTTCTCTAATGTTGCTTGCAGCTACTTGGGCCGAATCTTTCACCAAGCTTCTCGCATTCAATCAGACTCAATATTCCCGTGTCTTGAATGTCGACTCGGATTCCACTATTCTGCAAACTATGGACGAGTTATTCCTTATGCCGCCATGCCCTGTTGCTATGCCTCGTGCCTACTGGCTATTTCCTGACAACAAGATCTTGTCGTCCCAGTTGATGTTAGTGCAACCCAGCGCGGTGGAATTCGACAGGATCATGCAAAAGATGGACGCTGCCGGGCGTAATGATTACGATATGGAGATTGTAAACCAGCTGTACGCAGACAGCGCTATGATACTCCCGCACCGCCCTTATGACTTATTAACGGGCGAGTTCCGCGGGGAGAACCACGAAAACTATTTGGGTACCGACCGGGAAGAATGGGATCCTGTTGCCATCTATAACGAAGCCAAGTTCCTTCACTTTTCCGACTGGCCCGTGCCGAAGCCGTGGATCCCGATGTCTGATTCGATGCGACAAGACAAGCAGCCTAAATGTGTGACGAAGAACGGTCAGGAGGACTGTTCAGCTAGAGAGTTGTGGAACGGATTTTATAATGATTTCACAGAGCGACGTTCGGTAAGCGTCCATCCACATTCTTAATTGCCATAAAGCTCAAGATTTTACTAACCGTTGTATTAGAGGGTCTGTAATACCGGAAGAAAAGCTAGACGATAAATCAGTAATGTCGAGCGTGCTCGTTTTGGGTCTTTAGGGGTCGTTAGGATGTGTCCTAAATAATGAATTACTGGAATTGTACTTTATGTGGCATGACATGTTTATAGATACCAACATTGAATAAATGGAGCGTTTTTACTTCTTCAGAAAGGAATTGATGTTATAGCAGGTCTACTTAGATATTGTCTACTCGAATGTAAAACAAAACAATAGGGAAACCGGCCCAGCGCTTGCAGATGCGGTAGCTCAATGCTCCGCGGTGACTATCTTGGAAGTGAACTCTCTTGTATTGTGATAATTTCCAAAGCGCTCTAACTTAGCTTTGCGAACCCTTTTCCTACCTCTACTTACCTACCTCCTATCTCCTGGGTACCTAAATCTAATGTTCTCTGTTGACAATTCCGGCCATTTTATTCAAGTTGCCCCTTTCTATATCTAAGGTAGATGCCTACCTTAGGTATTCATAAAAAATATCAGGTTCAACAGACGACCACGTCTAAGTACCTAGGAGGCACTTGTATATTATCGCTAAGGAAACACAGTTCTACTAGGTAACTCTCATACACTCTCATCTTTTTATCGAAACAGGAGATAGGGGAATAGGGGAAAGATGCGATCACCCGCTCCATGAAATGAACACTGTCTAGGTACTTTACTATATAATGTCGCACAACAACTAAAATTCCTTCCTAGTCCCCTCCCTTCCTCTCCTTTTTTTTCTATACCTAATTCCGGGTTGTTCACTGCTTCGTGGTATGGAGTCTTCCGTTTCGCTAAGCTCTTCTGTAAACTAATTCCTCTTGACAATAATCAAGGTAACCTAGGTGTGGCCTCTATTAATAGAAAGCGAAAATCGTAATAAATAGATATCGTAGTTAATGCAAGACTACCTAAGGCTAGGTACCTCTATTTAGATTAATTCTTAATCTCAATATATTCCAGTTTGCCCTAACCTCGACTTTCTACAAGTGTCTTTGCTTCAAATCTCAACTACTGATAGTCACGTCCGCTATTGGCTACTAGCTCATACCAAGGCAAGTACCAAGCTGTTAGAATAAAGCTTGGGACTTGATTTGAGAGATACACAAGCCATTCGTCCTCACACGTGGCATTATACATTACCTACCTACCTACCGAAAAAATGCCTAATTTCTTTTTAAACAATTCGCATCTCCTTGATTCTGTTCCCTTCACTTCGTAGCCTTATTTTGACTGTGGTTAATTTTAACTGTCAAACAGTAGCTGAATACAACGCTTACCTGTGAGGGATATATGTTAGGCACCTATAAATCTCCCGATGCCGAAGTGGTTAGCGGAGTTCGACTTGCTATCAAAAGTACCTAACCTATCAGAAAGCTTTCGAAAAAGCTATCAACGTGTGGGATTGGACCGTCGGCAAATCCGAATTCGCGGTAACGGTAGATCGGTAGGCCGCATGCGGTTATGAGTTGCACTTCAGAGCTATAACTGTAACGGTAACGGTAGGTGGTGGGTGCGGTATATTTCTACTAAGTAGGTAGCGCGGTATGGAGACGCCGTGATTCGTCCTTGTTGATGATTTGCTACAAGGGAACAACATCAACATCTAACAACCGGCCAAGAACCGGGCAAACCAGGATGTCGGGTTCAGGGTCCCCCCTCGTCTAGTCTACAGCAGGCTGAGCATCATTAGAAATATTAAGATTGAGCCCCAAATATGAGGGGTGGGATAAATACAAGGATGAGGAAAGTGAGCACATGAAAGGTGCCGTCCCGGCGGAACGGACTACAATCTGATAATTAATTTTTTTTCTTCACTCGACGTACTATCGTCATACTTACATGGTAACATTTTATCGACGCATTTACCGTTGTGACGATATCCCTGGTTGTGAGAACCCGTCCTTGTATCCATGTCATCGTATGGCCTAGACCGGTTTTGTCCAGATTAACGCATCTCGACCTTCGGCATTCGCATTGCAGCCACCTAGTCCATGTTTAAGAGCGCTTGGATGCGTCTCGACAGTCGGTGATGGCCATCGACGTCGAGGAGCTCTTTATTCAACCTTTCCGAGAAGTCGTAGAGAGGGGCAAAGAAGCTGTTGCCAATGCCGAGACAGCGGCCGGCAGCGGTAAGGATGAAGACGACGCCGACCCGTCTAGCGAACAAGATGTAGCAGATATGCTCAAAGCCGCACGCTCCCTCGTGAAAGAAGGCGAGAGGGCCCTTCAGAGGCTTCTCCCACTCTGGCAAGAACGCGTTGACAAACATGGCGACGCGTTCAGGGAAGCTATGCGACAGAATGGTGAATGCTTACCTACCATCATTACTACCACGAATTGCGATTTACCCTTACTACCTAAGCCGAGACTGTCTTTGAGAAACTCCACTGATATTGGAACTTGTAGATAGGATCCTCGACAACCAGAGACGGCTGGAAGATTTGCTCTACGACTTAGACGATTTCGTGCAGGTTGATTCATTCGACCCCAATAGGTTTGCAGATGTTCAAGCATCATCCAAAGCGTTCGCTCTAGCGCTCATGGAAGCCATCAAGAGAATACATATCGAGGAGAGCGTGCCGCCAGTACCGCCTCTTCTGCCGTGGACACGGCCATTACCTTCTCAGGGGTTGAATAATAAAGGTCGTGGTAATGGCGGATCTAGTGCTCCCATGAGATTTGGCGAGGATGCTGGTATAAGCGGTGCCAGTACTCCATCTAGACGACCATCTAGTCCCGACATACTGGGAGCAGAGCGTGATTTCATCAGCCTTGTGTCTGATCCTCCTAGTGCGCCACCTCCAAACTCGAGGACGTCCGCGTGGGTTAACGAGCAAACAACCGCTGCTAAGTCTTGGTCTCGTAATAATTCAATCCCAGAAGATGACTGCTTCGTGGGACAGCCTGTAATCTTCAACAGCCTCGATGGCCTTGCTCTTCACGGCCAAGAGTTGGCGATACCATCTAATATACCTAGAAGTCCGGATACTTCATACAGCAGAATATCTTGGTACACCACCACTGGTAGCTATATGTCGGGTCCCAGGTCGTCCATTCATATCCCTACGAGCGACCAAAGAACAACTTCGCTCGCGAAGTCCATAGCGAACCCGCATGAAACCCGAGAACCGATAGAAGTTGATATACCACCATTGCCAAATCCACCGGATTACGAAGATGGCCTGATACCAGCGGATGAACTTTTTGCATCAAGGAAGGACTCCTTCTCCGGTTATCAGATCGGGTTGGATAGTAGCCTCTATATATACAAGGGCTTATGCACGGGGTCGCAGACGTATCGAGTCAAGGGGCGCAAGAGTGCTACTAAAGCCGTAATGGAATATGTAAGAGCATTTTGGCTTGCCTATCTACCACGCATATTTTGCCTTTTGAGCCGAGTCGTATTTGATGCATGTGCTGATGCTATGTGAATAGGGAACTAGGCGAAGCATTGCTCGATGCACCGAGTGTGAGTTCGCGCAAAATTTGCTGGAAGTAGAACTTGATGATGCTCTGGACCGTAAGTAGATCAACCGATTAATTCTCAGTCATTTAGTTAGTTAACACGTGAAACTTACAGCAAGCGCAAACTTCAGCAAAGCCGGTGTCTTGTATCGTCTTCGATTTTTATATAAGTCTCACTTAGTCTCGACATCTGCGTTTACGATGCAGTTTGGCTGCCTTTTCTGTGCAGAAAAGGGGCATACCGTCTACGCTGATGACGCTACGATCTTCACAACCCAAGACCAGCTGTTTAAGCACTTGTCGCGTCATCCCCAACCCCTACCGGAGATTCCTGGGATCACAGTTTTGTACGGCGAAGTACCCAAGAACGATCCGAGTGTTGAAGATTACGACCTTCACTTCCCTAACCCCCCTGTAGCCAGCTTACTCCCAAACACTGCCACTCTGGCCAAGCTACCGTCGGCGAGAGCAGTTAAAAGTCACATCAAGCGATACGGTCGAGATTTGACTGATCCAGACGGCAGCTCGGATCAAGTGTTGAAATTTATGGAAGGTGCCCGTATCGTAGGCCTCAAATTTCCGGAGAAGTGGAAAGGGAAATGGTGTACTGGCTGGCATGATGGTCGATGGGGCTCTTTTCCTACGAAGCATGTTGTTCTCGAATCGCCTGCAAATCCACCAAGCGCAAATACATGTATCGAAGGCATGTTCGTTACGACGCGTTGGAAATGGGAAGTAAAGGATCACTCAACGGGATGGATATCCTTTGACAAAGATGAAACTTTATCTAATGTTTGCTGTAGGTTGAATCCAAGTCCAACTGAAGCCTCCCTCCCCCGTACTCCCATATCCCCCTTTAGCGATCTTCCAATAGTCTTGATTGCTAATTAGGTATCAACTTTCCATATAGGGCTTAACCACGACGACTGGTGCTGGTACGGAACTAAAAAGAACGGCAAGGGAGGGCTCTTCCCGCGGTCCTACATAAGACTAGAATCGCTACGAGGGGATGCGATACAGAAGGAGGAGGATGATGACTCCGTATCTAAGGCTAGAAAACAGGGAAGCTTTGGGTTGCCTACTATAAAGATGCGCAGAATGACTATTGGTAGTGGCACATCTTGATATCTATATAAGAAATGATGATGCATAGGGTAAGTATCACTACCTGGAGTCGTAAGGAGTTGGGTATGGGCGAGGTACAACGGTACGGCTTATATGATTACACCGCGAACTATCACAGGGTGGGTTGAAGGGATACTTACTAGGTAGCGGTTTGAATAGGCGTCTAAGGCACGGTATACTATGGATAAAGACTGTATATACACTGTATAAAAACAACATTGAACCTTACTGTGGGGTTGAAGCTTAACAGTCCCTAACAGCTTGCTCCACCCCACACCCGCCAAATAAGCTTGTGGCTTTACTAACAGTTGATACGTACCGACGCTAGGTAAACAGTACCTAATTGAAAGTTGATGACATCACCAGAGTCTTCGTTCCTTGCTCTTTACCTCTAAATTTTGCGTCCAGCCTTGTAGGTCCATGATCGAGATGATAGCCGCATTCAAACCGGCTAGCTCCCCTTGGTCATATTTCATTCGATAAAGACGAGCAGAGCATATCACTTGGATCGTCTGATAGGACACCCAAATTTGCTAGATTCCTGCGGTGCCACGAGTTGGTATAGCTCCTACGTCATATTTGTCTAACGCAATAGCCACATAGGTACCTCCTGCATAAAATGTGAAGCTTTTAATGGGCGCTAGGAACCGATGATGCTTGGATACAACCTTAGGTACCTCTAATGTACTTCGACTTTTGGCTTTAAGAAGAGGTTGAAGGTGCATTAGGTAACTCGCCCGGGCTGCATAACTTGTATGGGCAGGTACCTAGGTAGGTCTAGGTACACTATGAACAGCTTGACATTAGCATTAGGTAGAGGGAAGGCTTTTTAAGTAATGCATTAGGTAGAGCTGCCTGACCTGACCTACATAGTAAGGTCTTCTAGGGCTTAACTTGTCAAAGCTTAGCTTGTGACGGCAAACAAAAGAGAACAGTGACGTGATACATTTTTGACATATTCATCACCCTTCATCACCCTTCATCATCATATTCTTTTTTAAACTCCCCTGGCCTGCTTACTCTGTACCAAACAAAATCCTTATCATTCTCCCATCTCCCACGATATTTATCCTAATTTGGCATATTTTAATATTCTCCTAATAGAAACGAATAGTCCGAAACGTAACATTAACGAGGGAATAATTGCGGAACTAAGCTTGAAGAAGATCTAAATCATTATGAGGTGGCTTCCAACCGTCCTCTCCCTTGGCCTGGCGGCCGATGCCGTCGTTGGTAGTAGCTGGTTTAGTAAAGCAGGTAAGTTGTTGGGTTGATACAGAAGCATACTTTCTTAGAGTCTAATGTTTTGATATTGTATACTAAAACCTGCGTCAAACACAGCATACAACAAATGGCATGAGACAGAATTAGAACGATGGCTGTCCGACAACGATATTCCCTACCCGACCCCAGCTGATCGAAAAGATCTGGAGAACCTGATTCGGAAGAACTGGGATTCCTACGCCGTGTCTCCCTACAAGAACTGGGACACGGACAAGCTCACAGCATATCTGAAATCGAAGGGCGTAGAGACTAAAGAGTCGGCAAAGTCAGGCAAGGACTCACTTATCAACCAGGTAGCAAGCGCTTGGTATGAGACGGAAGACAAGGCCCAAACGGCATGGACCAATGTACAAGACTGGATTTTGGACACTTGGTCCGACAGCGCTCTAAAGGCCTTTGCCGACAAGCACGGCATTCCAGGTAATATCTTAGGACTCTAAAATCTCTTCTTTTGATATTTTGCTAATGCCGCGCATAGTCCCTCAGCCACGGACTCGTGATACCCTACTTCAAAAGGTCCGCTCTAACTACCAGACGGTAGCTAATAAAGCTAGCGAGACTGCTGCGTACCCTGGTGATTGGCTTTATGACACTTGGTCTGAGTCTGACCTGAAGGAATGGCTAGACACTCATGGCTTTCCCGCTCCTCAAATCACCGACGTAAGGATTCCTCCGTACCTAAATATGCCTAGCCTTAACGTACCTACGTAACTAACACCATAAACCTACAGCGCAACAAGCTGATTGCTATGGTTCGCCGCAATTCTCGCATTGCTTACCTGAGGGCCCAAGATCAGAAGGCGTCTGCTCTCGCTAGCGCTAAATCCGCATACGCTACTCTCACTGACAAGCTTATTGATGCTTGGAGTGAGTCCCAGTTGAAGGAGTTCTGTGACAAGAACGGCATCAATGGTATGTAACTGCTAGATTACCCCAAGGTACTTTAACTAACAACGATAAAAGTTCCTCAAGGAACCAAGACTAACGAGCTGCGTGCCCTTATTCGGAAACACCGCGCTGCTATTCTTGGTGACAATGTGTCTGCGTCCGCTTCAAGCGCTTTCGGCGCTGCTACTAGCAAGGCTGGTAACCAGTACGCCAAGGCCACCAACGATGCCAGTCTCGCAGCTCAGGATGCTTTCAACAAGGCCGTCAACACCTGGTCTGAAAGCCGTCTGAAGGCCTACCTGGATGCCCGCGGAATTCCGGTTCCCCAGGGATCGAAGATTGACGAACTCCGTGCCCTGGTGCGGAAGAACGCTCACAAAATTGCTCACCCCTACAGCGCTTGGACTTGGGATGACCTATCTTACGATAACCTCAGGAAGTACCTGGCCAGCAGCGGTAACGCAGCTGCGAAGAAGGTTGGCGAGAGCAGCTCTGCTACTCGAGACGAACTTGTGGAGGCTGCCCAGTCGGCTTACTCGTCCGCTTCCAGCGCTGGCGGCAACTCATATGCCTCTGCGACAAGCTACCTGGCCCAAGCGACTGAGGCGGCCAAGAAGAGCACTTTCGACACATGGAGCGAGAGCGAGTTGAAGGCGTACCTGGACAGCTACGGCGTGGTAAGTTTACATGCATGTGCCCTTTTGCACATATCCCATCTTTTATGAGGCAAAGTCAAGGCGGCAACGGTCTGCTAACTCTATTGCACAGCCCGTACCCCAAGGCTCTACTCTCAACGAACTCCGCGCCGAAGCCCGCAAGCAGTTGACGTACTTCAAGTACGGCACCTCGAGCCCAGCAGGCACCGCTTTCGCCAAGATTGGCGAGGGTATCAACAACGCGTATCAGTGGGTCTTGGGACATCTGACTGCTGGTTCCGAGATCGCAAAGAAGAAGGCTGGTGAGATTAAAGAGGAACTATGAAGAGATGAACGCGCTTCCAACTCCTAGTTAACTTCATGTCAAGTATGAGCGAAAGCGGAGAAATGGGTGGATTTCTGAGAAGTAGTCATAAAGATGTGAGATGTGAGATAAGGAGCAAATATTGTTGGATAGAAGACGGGTGGAAAATGAAGATAACAGGAAATCGCCCGGCGGAAGTGAAAACGAGATTTGGATGGGTTTGGATTTGGTCTTTCTATTTCTCGTGGTATGGACAGGAGAAAGGGGCTTAAGTATTATGATTTACATGACTCTACTTACACCCCCTTGTTTAGCTTCGAGGACTACTCCTATTCACAACCGAGAAGACAAGGCTGAACAACAACATTGGCACTTTTTTGTTCATTTCGGATGACGGAGTATGGAGGTAGTTGGTCGAAAATGTAGGATTAGTTTTAGCTCTGCTAACTTATTTTCCCTTTTTTTTGCGCTAGAGTTGTTGGGGTCTTTTTATATCCGTGAGCTTGTCGGTGCCTCAACTGTTGTACTGATGCATTTTGGTATTATGGTGGGTGATATATAAGTCCAACCTTTAACAATAGCTCTATTACCTCATGGAAGAACTGCCTATGACTAAGGTACTTAGTTCAAGTAGGTTGGTGGCTATGTGGCGCTGATTGGTGTTGAGCTGAGCACAACATATGATGGTAGGAGAGGAACTAGAGGGTATACGAGATTGCCGGCCACAGCAAGAATTTATAATTATTATGGAATCATGTATGTAGACGGGACAGACAACTTCACAGACGAACCAGAGCTATTATGGAACTAGTTTTTATTGACGTATGAAACATCATCATGTAAACAGTGCTATTATCGACATCTCCTCGTCAGGGACAAGACTACGTGGGAAATATTCGTACTTTCCAGCACGGTATTAAACACGATTCGTCGTCCACAAAATATCTGGATCATCAATGTCCTTTCTTTGACTGTAGAATGAACATCCAGTCCCATTTTGTCTATTGCCTTCTAGATGAGCACCAGAACCCCCGCCAGGCCAGATTGTGACATCTTCTCGCCAACCTTCACTGATAAGAGATTTAAGGAAAACTATTGTATGCGTATGGGTATGAGTGCTAGAGATAAGACAAAGAGAAATCACCCCATGATTGATCCAGAGCAGATATATTGGATGCGTCTCAGGTGTGTGATCAATGGCCAGGGAATGACCTATGAGAATAGGCCGCACCGTCCATCGGCGTATTGTGATAAGAAAAAGGCGTTGGGCAAGAGGGTAACGTCTAAGGGACTAGAACCCAAAATCTACGTCGGGTATGCTCCTCTGCCGTTTATGACCCAGGTGGTGTTCTGACGATGCTTTCCTCTTCTGAGTCATAGTCGAGAGAGGACTGCTAGCGAGTTCAGACATCTTCTTCTGCTTGCGCATAGGAGAAATGGGCACGTTGGTAGTAGCTATGCGCCCATCTTTAATACCACGAAGAGTACCTTCAAAATATGGACCGGAAAATGCGAGAGAATCTCGGGTAGCCTTACTGCGGCTAATTAACTGATGATTTGCTTGGTCCCGCCGGAATGCGCCGACAATGTTGGTATTATGCTGGAAATGATCAAGGAGGGATGCCACGTCGCTGGACGCAGTACCTGGCCGGCCGGGTGTACGGCCGGGAGTGTGGAATATTTGATCATCCGCTTCGTCATGCTCGAGCGCCTTCTCTTCTTCAGAAGAGTCATCTCCGTCATCATCGTTATCCAAAGTGATAAAGTCCTCCAGCTTAAGATTTTTCTCTGCTTCGTCGACAACTTGATCGTCAGAATCAGATGTGTCAACTACATTCCCATCGGATGCTTGGGCATACCAAGCTTCCGCGGGACCGACTGCGTGTGTATTCATAAAGTCTCCGTAAGTGCTGGAAGAAATCATGCCACTCATCATGATACTGCCGGGGTTGCTGAGTATAGGAGAAGCCTGGGTCTGGTCGAAGTAATGGAAGTTGAACTGCTCCGGCGACAGATCAAAACCTCTTCCTCTCATACTTTGATGAGTGAAGATCATCATCTTGCCGGTTCTAGGGTTTAATATCGCAATAGGTTTCTTGCTAGACTTGTCGAGATTGAAACGACCAACACGTGGTTGGCCGCGGCGGGGCCGGATCAGCGTAACGGCGTCCGAATCGGAATCATCGTCCACAGTTTCCCGCCGAGTCTTACGTCGAACGGGCTTCTCAGGCGGATCTTCCTCATCGGTAGTATCGCCATCAGCTACGCGGGGAAATATATTAGTACGGACTCGGTAATCAGCCAATTTTCGCTCTCACTCACTTTGATATCCATCGAGGGAAATCTCGTCGTCCTCAGACAGGTCCATCGGGGTATTGGTTGCGGTAGATAGGTCCTGGTTTGTCAACGGTGTAGGAACCGGTGTGGCATCTTGATCGTCCAAAGACTTGATTAGAGCCTCAAAATCGGAGGCTGGCTCGTCAAATCCAAACCACTCTCCGGTAGTGGTAGAATAGTTATCCCAAAATGCCTCTGAATTAGATGAGTCGTAGGGATCGGCGTCATGCTCAATTTCTCGACGGAATGAAGGGTCGAGTATGCTCTTGTCCACGAAGAGGTCAGGGAAGAAACCATGGTCTACATCATCATCGGTTTCTGTCGAGTCATCATCTGACGAATCTTCGGGGATATCAAAGCGGACACGACGTTCTGTGCTGGTATATCCTTGGTCAATTGTGATGTCGTCGTCAGCGTCTGCCTCGGAGGAAATGCCGTCCCAGCTGGCATTATCGTCCGCATCGTCATCATCCCCCTCGTACTCATCTCCACCCTCGTCGTTATCATCGTCGTCGTCCTGTCCGTCCTCATCGTCAAGCGGCCGAGGGGAGCGTGAGCTGCGGGTAGGTTTGTGCAGTTCATGTGAGAGAATATGCTCCTCCTCGACCGCGTTTATTCCCTCCTCGTCGTCATCGTCAGAATCACTGATGTCTTCTACTCCAGAATAACCACCTTCATCAGACAGGTCGAGTGACGACGAAGCGTCCGAGGCACGACGCCTAGAGACCTTGACGGGAGTAGTCGGCGGTCTTTGCTGCCGTACGTTGCGGGACATTGTACCGTATGCTAATTATGGAAGATATGCGAGTAATACAGGGATTAATGGTTCCACCCCCGGATTTGAGGTTGAAAAGATCGAGACAAACGGCGGTGAAGCCTTAGCGATACTCGAATGATGCAGATAGTGTCCACTCTCGAGTAAGTATGAAAACCTTGAAATTTCTCAATGGCCTGTCCTTTCTTAAGGTTACGAAGAAGTCGTATACTGTTACGAGAGTATATGAAACGAAGTAGAGGGTAATTGTTCGTAGAGAGAAAAGGAGGTGGAAGGGGGTGAAGAGTTTATTGTCGTCACTTAGGCCGGAGTCGTATAGGCCAGTCAGTAATAAATGGGCGAAATGCGCAGTAATGCAGTAAATTCTGTCTAATATTCAGACTTCCGTGAGGTACCCTTTTGCTGAAAAAAGAGGCACACAAGACAGTGAAAGCCTGTATAACTTCGTCGAGTTTGTCGAATTGCGATTGAATATCTCGGTGAACTGTTGGACTACGGGACATGGCTGGGAACGCCAGGCATGTCCCGTAGTGGGTATTTACAGCTCAGCGACGGCCGAAGGCATGGTTCTCGACGAAGTTTCAGTGTGATTTAAATGGAATACTTTTCTTGAAAGTTGTTTGTAGTGCGACTTCGTTGTCTGGATATGATTTGGGTTTCCTGAAAGGAAAAAAGTGAGAAGGGGAAAAGATGTTAATTGCAGGCCCGGAAAAAAACCACAGGTGGATATATGCCACTGTTACTGCAGCGTAACTTTTTTTTTTTTTTTTTTAGTTTATTAGGTGGGGTGACCCTGCCCGTCCCGCACCTCTGCAATGCAAAGTCCCTGATTTGTCCACCCCCGTTCGCGGGCTGAACTAACCCCATTTAGGAGGGGTGTCACCGCCTTTTTGACTTGCATCTTTGCATCTTTTTTTTTCTTGGTGCACTTAAGCCTAAAACGCCCCTCTTGTACCACCTAATCGTCCCCTACGGTCCAGTGCAAGATCCACTACTTAGATCCACTGAAAAATGATGACTGAGTGGCTCACTACAAGACTTACTTGCTGCTCCAGCGCTGGCAGTTAGCGCTTGGCTAGTGTGCTATACAATGCTAGCGATTTATAGTGTTAGTGGTCTAGTGGTTCGAAGTTTGCGTTCGAGTTTTTGGTTTCCCGAGGTGTTTCGAGCTCCAAGTTCCACTTCGAATGCTTCGAATGTGATTTTCTCGAGGCTGTGGCCCGATACTAATCAGCGAAGACCGGCAAATACGACGTTCTAGTCCCTTGGTATCCACCGAAAACTTGTTCAACTCTCGGAGGTTCTCTTCTGACGCATTCGAAGAGGAGTCATTTCTGAGAGGATGACCCATGGATACCCCTCCCAGAATTCCTCTTCTTTTACTTTCTTTCCCTAGTTATAGCTCGTACGTTTTAAGGGTATTTCTATTACCCAATCGCCCCATCTTGCTATTTGTACGCCGAGTTGTTGTAAGTCTAGCACGCGAACCCTTCTAGATTTTATAATAGGTACTTGTTTAGGATATAGGAGGTAGGTACCTATGGAATTAGGATATAGTTGTCCTCTTTTGGAGTGGTACGTGGAATCAATGGCTTCCATACGTGTAGTACCTAACTTCGACGCATCAACTTCTGTGATGGACATACCTATAGGTTATATGTGCGTATATAGAAAATACGGAAACAGATAAATAGGCGAGATGGGGGTAAGAAAGTACTGCATATCCCTAACATAGTGTACCGAGCAAAGCTCTTTGGCTCTCTGCATATGCTGCTCCATGTATCGTAACTCATTATAGGCATGGCCTTTATGTAGGTCCTAGGCAGCCATCTTACCATGTAACTATTTCATGTAGGTAAGCGAAGTTATCGAGCAAATATCTCGTCAACTTCCTAGTCTCTTCTCCATCGACCCATTCAACTCGCCCTAGGTACCCCTCGGTGACGACGATGATAGTACGCAAAAGGGAAACGTACATGAATATTTTTGCTTATTCTTCCCCACCTATTACCCGATCTTCACTTTTATAGAAGAACGAAAGCCCCTCCAAACCCCTCCAACCAAGAAAATTCCAACAGTGATCTCTAGAGTTACATGCACAGTAGATCTCCTCTCTAAGGCACATCAATTCTTTCTCCGTTCTTTACCGAATTCGTTCTGCCTGGACCAGCATCAAAATCCCATTACATACCTAGATCCTAGTGTAATTAAGCTCTTTCCAGCTCTGTCCAGCTCTCTACCAGGGTAAATGTTATCAATGGTGACGTGCATTTCGCACGAAATCGAGATCGATCATTTTTCGGATATCTCTCTCATCAACATCAGTCTAGCTTGTTAGGTTATACTGCTTGCCGGGCTGCCGGGGGGCTGTATAACGTACACTACTATTGCCAGTCTTGTGCCGATGAACGAGATGAGTTACGAAAATAGGAGAAATAGGAACTGCTCTGCTGCTATAGTACTAACAAGTCATTGCGAGAAATGCGCGTCGCAAATTTGTAAACCCTTTAATTTGAACTTGGACCACATGCTAAGTAACTCTAAAATAGACTCCAGAGCGTCGTCGCCTCAATCTATAGATGCCTGCATCTTAAGTATGCACGAGAAAAGCTAAATGATATTATTATTGATTCATATATTCAAGCCTCCTTTCTCATTCGTCTGGTGTGTGAATTGGCTTATAATGACAATTCTTATTGCCCTATGGGATTTCGAATTATCGACAAACGGAGTAACCCAAATACGTGGCCGATGTTACTCAAAGGGTATGCTGAAAAGAAATCCGATGCGTACATGCTAGAGAACCGCCACCATGCAGAACTCTTCGAACGACAGGAAAATGAGAGGGACTGTCCTACAATCAATACCCTTTAAATGGGTGGATGAGAAAAGACTAGTAACCATTCTTCGCGCCCCTGGACAAGCCAAATATCACAATGAAAGGTGTATTAGGGTGTTCGCGTCACCTGGAGGCAGTGTAATACCAAGGACACGGTGAGAACGATCATGGGCAAGCCCAGAGGATGCGCTCTCGAGTGGCAAAAATAGGAATAATCACGATTGAGTTCAAGTAGAACTCTTTCAGAGATTAAACTGAAAAGAACAGATACTACACTTGATCTAAGCCAAAAGGCAAAGAGAGCTGAAGAAAAAAAGAAAGGAAAAAGTTGAAAAAACAGCGGGAGAGGGGACGGGAATTTATTTATGTTGGAGAAACCTTGTAGGTGTGTGGGGTCTTTCGGTAGCCGCAAAACTAGCCTCAAATGTGGGGTAGATTGTGGCTGGTACGTACCCAAGCAGCCAAGATCCTTCAATAGGTGCACAGTTGTCCTGACTCCTGAATCCTTACCAACACCCTTACCAACACTAGCCGCCTTACCTAAGTCACCTCCAAAATGTTTCAACGGTTGCCCAGCGAAACAAATATCATCCAAAGTAAATATTGACTTCCAGGTTCCAATGCCGTCTGGCGTCAAGTAAGTCACCAACTTTCGCGGGCCTACATAATACATTGGGTCACTTAGATGTCCGCATGCGCTTGTTAACGCTAATGCTTCAATTATCCAACCATTCTTCATTCTAATGGTTGCATCCACATGTCGGACGGAGCATTTCTTGCATTATACAACAATCTAGAATTGTAGAGTCCAATTGTGCATTCGGTCCTGCATGTACCGAATCGCATTTACTTTCTATCAGTCATTCTTTCACCGCTTTCGATAGCCTTTCGTTATCAAGTAGCACAATTTTATCGTCATGGAGCCACCTCAAAAAGGACACGCAAACCTGTTCCAGGTATATTTGAGGCTACGGCCTCCTCAGGCTGCAAATCTAGGCTCCGAACGGTTCCTCTTAGTTGAGGAGCCTGTAGATCACGACGCCCCCACTCACATCACTTTGAATCCACCGAACGATAGAAGACGCGCCATTGAGAAATTCGCGTTTACACGGGTCTTCGAAGAAGATTCCACGCAACTTGACCTATTCCAAGGTGTTAAAGTGCTTCCCTTAGTTGAAGATGTATTAGCACCCCATGGTGGTGATGGTACGGACGGTCTGCTGGCGACCCTTGGGGTCACTGGCTCAGGCAAGGTACGTCAAGCAAAAGCATTGTGAAGAACACGCTAATTTATAGCAATATTATCAGACGCATACGATGCTTGGATCGCGGAGCCAGCGAGGTCTAACCCAGCTTGCACTTGATGTTGTGTTCCGATCTATCGAATCCAATATCGTTGACTGTGAGACGACCCCTACTTTAGAGACAAGCATACGATCCTCCGACGCGTCTGAGGCGGTTATATGTTCTGCATCAGCATTTATCGAGACGATGTTTACAGACTTCAGCAGCTCACGGGGTGGATCAAGAGCTACAACACCAATGATTGTAGGGCACCCTAACAACCCCGACCAACCACCTACCTTACATATTGCCACTCCCTTATTACCTGGTTGTTTCCCAAGCAGTCCTCAAAGCGTACGACTTGTTAGTCACGATGACGACCTGTCAAGAATAACACACCTCTCGACACCGCCCAGCCAGAAAGGGGAGATAGTACCAAACCTAACGCAAGTTGCGTCTACCACGCTTCAGCCAAAGTTGGCTGGTTCCCCGTCACCCCGAAAACATTACATGTCTCTTACTTCGGCCGCAAGAATTAAGAAGAATCTTACTAAATGTCAAATCAAGGGCGACCATGCGCCACCGACACCAAAAAAGAACTTACAACGACCGACCGCTTTCCCTCAAGCGCCAGATATTAGTTCCGTTAGAGCATCATGCGATCCATCCGCCGACTACGCCGTCGTTATTTCGATGTACGAAGTATACAATGATCGAATCTTCGACCTTTTGACACCTCCGATTAGATCAAACGGTAACAAAGAACCTCGGCGACGGCCGCTCCTTTTCAAGTCCACAGAGCTATCTCCTGATCGAAAGGTCGTAGCGGGTCTTCGGAAAGTTATCTGCGGCACTCTTAAAGACGCACTTATGGTTCTTGAGGCTGGGCTCCACGAGAGGCGGGTCGCTGGCACGGGTAGTAATAGTGTATCGTCGAGAAGTCACGGATTCTTCTGCGTTGAGGTCAAGAAAAGAAGACGCGGTCGCCACAACGCACGCTGGGGCAATAGTACTCTAAGTATCGTCGATCTGGCTGGTAGTGAACGCGCAAGAGATGCAAAAACACAAGGCGCAACTTTGGCCGAGGCTGGCAAAATCAACGAAAGCCTGATGTATCTGGGCCAATGTCTGCAAATGCAGAGCGATGCTAGCAATACAACCAAGGTGTGTCATGGAATGTTGTGCCCAGAAGTGTCGTGAACTCCGCTAATCCTGAATAGCCCAACCTGGTTCCTTTCCGCCAATGCAAACTCACAGAGTTGCTCTTCGCTAATTCGTTTCCTACAGGATCGCTCTCGAGCTCCACAAGCGTAAGCGGGAGGCGCCCACCACAAAAGGGTGTCATGATCGTCACAGCCGATCCTGTAGGGGATTTTAACGCGACATCACAAATTCTTAGGTATAGCGCTTTGGCTCGCGAAGTCACCGTGCCACGTATTCCTTCTATCTCATCTACAATACTTGGCAATGCAAATAGCTCAGCACTTTCTCAACGCTCGGAATCAAGTGTCGGTTCCCGTAGTGATACCAGCTCTCCTGTTCTAACTCATCATCGGCCATATTATCATCCGTCTGCTAGCCATAGCCATAATTTCTCGACTGCGCCCGACACCGAGAGAGCAACTATGGAAAATGCTGCTCTCGAGATTGCTAGAATGGCAGATATGATAGATAAGTTGAATGCAGAGCTAGTAGAGGAAACTGAAAGACGCATGGCAGCCGAAGCTCACTTGTTATCCATGGAAGACCGCATGGCGGATTTGGAACAAGAGGTCCGAGAAGAGTGCTACGCAGACTTCGAGCAGCGTTTGGCTCTCGAGATGAGTCGGTGGAAAGCGACGTTATCGCTAGAGCAAGAGCGCGGCGAGGAGCACTGGGATCGCAAAGTGGAAGTGTTGGCTCGCAGCGTGGGCGTCACACTAACTAGTCCAAGCTCCGATGAGGACAATGTCGAAGACGAAGATAAAGAGAATATCCTAATCGAAAACCTAGAGCAGGAGAACGAGCGTTTGAGAAGAGAAGTTGCTATCTTGAAGCGCGAACTGGCCGGTCGCACGCCAAGCAAACGCACGCCGCTTCGGGAGAGGGGCGACGTACCGAGCGCAAGAGCCTCGTCTTCTACGACGGATACACTGGGCGATCTTGGAAGCCGTATGGAGCAGTTGAGGGTGAACACCGGCGAGGGCAAAAAGGTCCTCAAGGTGTCAAGCAGCGGGAGCCCGACGAAGAAGGTGCGAAAGCTGCAGACTCGGAGGTGGGAGGGTACGACAGCTGATGACGACTTTTAACGTGATATGTGAGACGTGGGACATGATATGAAGCCGGTCATGAAAAAAAATCGCTTTTTTTCAAGACCATGTTATTAAAAGAAAAAAGGATTCAAACATTGAGATTGCGACTTAGCCATTGCCGGTTGCGTAAACGCGTTGAGGATACCCCTTATCTTTCATATGTTTATTTTGGCCATGGTTGGGCCTTTCTTATTCGATAGCAGGTACCTTAGGAGGTACCTACCTTTCGCCTGTCTTGAATTCTGTTTTGTTCGTCTAGGGATCAGTCTGCTTTTTTTATATAATGTCTGTATTTTCGGCCGTGGATAGGTCTTTTGGTCGTGGCAGGTACCCAAGGGACCTCGATAGCAGTTCTATTCTAATTGATGAAGTCGATGGACGAGGTCAAAGAATGCCTAATACAAGCTTGCATTTCTTGTGCCAGAGTTGGCGGTTTAATCTTCAGTATACTCGAAGTCCTTTAACGGCTTAGTTGGGTTCGTTAGGTTCTGAATGTATGCTCGGAAACATCCGAGTAATTTGGTCAAGCCACCGCCGCTATACGATTAAGCAGATGGTCGCATCAATTGGTAAAGATTGACTGCCTAGATCCAGGCGGTTAATTGAACCAAACAGGTATATTCCGAAAGCTCATTTCGCCTCCTTGTCGAGCAGATGAAGTATGTCTGTATTTGAACTGCGGGGCTATATTCCGTGAGCCCGGTGGGCAATGTTATAAAAGACGCTATTATCGGTAATCGTTTTTGATATCTACAAACTCCTGACAATTAATTATGATAGTCTTCGAGGGTTGCCTCCGCCTTGTCGGGAGATCGTCACATGAACAATGAGTCTATGCCAGTTTTTGAAGCTCGGAAACTTCAAATCGGGCGTGATTGAGAGGTGGCGGTAGCGTAATATAGTACGTATGTCTGGCTGATACGTAATAGCCTTACAGTATGACTCAATGGACGATCACATCTGGGAGCTAAGTTGCATGAGTTGCTGGTAGGCCCGGATAACTCGTTAGGACTACTAGTATTGACTGTACTAGGGAGACATCGTCGACTATATCCTGTCCCTCACCTGGTATCTCGTACTGTATCACTTATAGATTTCTCTTCCCTAGGTAGCTATTCGCACTTAAATCGCGACAACGTACTTATTTGCCCCCCCTGGAGTAACTTCCAAGACGCCGGCAATCGATATAGTTGGAAGGACTGTACGCAGTTCTGGATCAAGTATTAGAACTAATAATTCAAGTAACGGAGCGATCCAGGCTGGTTCCATTTTAGTAACCGAATTCATGAGCCGCTTCATAAGTCCCCGCCGCTGATGCATATACACCAACTGCTCGGCGGAGCCAACACTGTCCAATATATCAAGACAAATTCGCTCATTTCGATATTACAACTAACATGATCGCGGCTGGGTGGCGCTTATGAGATATAGGTGTAGTATCCTCAAGTGGCGATAGACCCTCAATCTTTGAATTGCCACTGGCGCATCAAGATATTTCGAGACAAATAGGAGGCGACCGCATAATAACTAAATTGTCCCATCGAATCTATTACTGGCTTTGTTGCTGCTGCTCTGGGCTCTTGGTTGTCCAAGTACATTTCTTCATGTAAATTACGGGCTTTAACCATTATGCGAACTCGATACACTCTAAGATTACCTACCTCCTATCTAACCTAAGAGGTACTTTAGGTAGGTAGGTAGCTGCTATGTATTAGCTATCAATGCATAGGCCAAGACGCTTAAACCATACGACTATTTGGAGTATAGCATTCGACTTAGTGAGCTTGACGGGCCGTGTCGCTCCATTGGCGCATACGATATCCATTTCAGCTGATCACTTGGTAGAATGAAGTATGGACGAACCACACCACGAGAGGACCTGCATGACTTTGTTCAAGGGGGACCCGGCATCAATTGGCTAAATATATTGGATAGCTGCGAACGTGATGACCGGGGTCTCTCTACGGAGCTTGCCAGACTTGACGTCCGATACACCCTTGGATGATGGGTAATATGCCAGTCGATATTTTCCACAACCCCAGTCTCGGCATCATGGACGCGAACGGCATATCCTGCCGTCGATCGCTTCCTACAATAAGCTTTTCCTCCAATGCCATCATGCCGTTGTGTTACACTAGATCTTGCAGAGATCCTCTGGTGCGGTACGCTGGCAATGGCCAAACCCACGAGCTCTGAAAGAAATAGACTGGCGGATTTTATATGCTATTTTCGCGTCCTTCTTTCGTGTTAGGCCCTTGCAATATTGCATCAGAATTGAGGCGTCCGGCATGTATCGTAGAATTCCGGGGGTTTAGAGAGAGATTTTGCGGCTTTGGCTTTGCGTCATCGCCGTCTGCTGGGCTCGGTAAAGGCTCCGCGGTGATGTTGTCCTCCGTTCTTGACTGAATTCCCCGCTATGCTATATCGTCTCTCATTCACGACGGCGCCTTTATCTCCGTGATGTGGACATAACGGGCCGCAATGCCACCACTGACGCATATACATTGTTGCCACCCCTGGCAATCCCCAACAGCAGAGTGTCCGCCCCCATTCCCCGCAAATACCCCAGGTTACTTCGGGCCACGATGATGAAACTTATACTATTCAATCTAAATTGCGTCGGAAGTGGTATCCCCCGGAGTCTTCAATCTCAATCCTTCTATTGGCTAACCCTACACGCGACGACCGTTTTGGACAACGACTTGTCACTTTCTTGGGAAGTAGGGTTCCCCGTTTAGTACTGTCGCCCCTAATGATCTAGAACGAAATCAGCATAAGCCGTGGTCTGCTGCTGGGACCAACCACGGCTTGCGTTTTCGGAACCCCCGCCCGAGCTTTAGTATAATGCTCGACATCTTAATCTAATGGATGGTAGTCGTAGGGCCGAGATGGTTAGTGATCGGCTATGCTATACTACGGTTTGGCCATGTCGAGACGGAGTCCGTTGCCGACAATATTGGGTCGAGAAGAAGTTTATAGCTGGGCGCTGTATGCTCAATCGAATATATAATCGACTTGGTCCCAGATGCCGTCTCAAGTCATCCTTAGCTTCACCATCCCTACAGGCTTATAGCTTCTGACCTCGAAGATAAACCAGCATCATGTTGTCCCTCGCTGTGTCAGCCGCCCTTCTCGGGCTCGTCTCTGCTCAGCAGGTTGGGAAAGAGCAGACTGAGACTCACCCTAAGCTCACTTGGAAGAAGTGCACCAGCGGCGGTTCCTGCACCCAGACAAACGCTGAGGTAACCATCGACGCCAACTGGCGATGGCTCCACTCCACCTCCGGCACGCAGAACTGCTACGACGGCAACAAGTGGACATCGCAGTGCAGCTCCGCTTCGGACTGCGCCAGCAAGTGCGCCGTCGAGGGCGCCGACTACAGCAAGACCTATGGTGCTAGCACCAGCGGCGACGCTCTTACCCTTAAGTTCGTTACTAAGCACGACTACGGAACCAACATCGGCTCCCGATTCTACCTTATGAATGGCGCCGACAAGTACCAGACCTTCAAGCTCAAGGGAAACGAGTTCACTTTCGATGTTGACCTGTCTACCGTCGACTGTGGTCTTAACGCCGCCCTTTATTTTGTCGCCATGGAGGAAGACGGTGGCAAGGCCAGCTACCCCAGCAACAAGGCCGGTGCAAAGTACGGTACTGGTTACTGTGATGCTCAATGTGCCCGTGACCTGAAGTTCGTCGGCGGCAAGGCCAACGTTGAGGGATGGGAGCCATCCACCAACGACGCCAACGCCGGTGTTGGCCCTTACGGAGCCTGCTGTGCCGAAATTGATGTCTGGGAGTCCAACTCTCACTCCTTCGCTTTCACTCCTCACCCTTGCACCACGAACGAATACCACGTCTGCGAGACCGACAGCTGCGGTGGTACTTACTCTGGCGACCGATTCGCCGGCAAGTGCGACGCCAACGGTTGTGACTACAACCCTTACCGCATGGGTAACACCGACTTCTACGGCAAGGGCAAGACCGTCGACACCAGCAAGAAATTCACGTAAGCTTTTTTTTTTCTTTCTTTTTTCTTCTTTTCTCTTTAACACTGACGACACTACCTAACCTATTCCTCGATTATGGTCATGAGCTAATATAAGTACCACCATAGTGTTGTCACTCAATTCGCCGACAACAAGTTAACTCAGTTCTTCGTCCAGAACGGCAAGAAGATTGAGATTCCCGGCCCCAAGCTCGACGGCATGCCAACCACTAGCGACATCACCCCCGAGTACTGCACCAACGAGTTCGCCGTCCTCGGAGACCGTGACCGCTTCAAGGAAGTCGGTGGCTTCGACCAGCTCAACGCCGCTCTTGACATCCCCATGGTCCTCGTCATGTCCATCTGGGACGATGTAAGTTTTCGCCTTCCTACTTTTTGGTTCTCGTAACGTATATACCTGTCTTACTGACCACCAACCCTTCTAGCACTACGCCAACATGCTCTGGCTCGACTCCAGCTACCCCCCTGAGAAGGCCGGCCAGCCCGGTGGTGACCGTGGCGACTGCGCCCCCGACTCCGGTGTTCCCTCCGACGTCGAGTCCAGCATTCCTAACGCGTATGTACTATCCTACCCCCCCAATAATTTCTGCCCTTCCGTTTGCTAACAAACCCGCAGCAAGGTCGTCTGGTCCAACATCCGCTTCGGACCCATCGGCTCTACCGTCTCCGTCTAAGCAGCAGCTGGCTAGGAGGACGCCAAGGCTTCGCAGCCGTATATACCTGTCTACCAAAATGTATATATCTACTCCCCTTCTTTTCAGATTGTTCCCCTTGAGTTAGCTGTAGAGAGAATAAAAGGATCGCGTTATCATCGGAAAGTAATTGTGATTCATGGACTTTAGGAGAATGTGACATGTCAGTTGAGTACCAGGTACCTAAAGCGTTAGACGACCGAAACGCCAACAAAGTTGTGCCAATGTGTGGCCTGGCAAAGGAAAGAATGTATAATAGCCTTGGTAATAATGCTCACGCTCCTTATAATATATGCCCCTATGTCTTCTGACGAAGACAAATGCAAGGGGGTTCGAATCTCATTAGGGTCTGAAACCAACGGTCCGACTTCAGGTTTTCCTTAGGCCTTACTGGGCGGGTGCGAAGGTGGTGCTGATTCATTATAAAAAGGGGACTGGTAGTTTTCTCCTAGTAAAAAATCGGCTATCTAAAGTCTAGCAACCTTTTGGAACTAAATAGAATAATGTCATAAGTACCTAAGTAGGTACCTGACAAGTATGTGCGTATTATCTATGTAAAAGAAAAGATTTTTTTTTTTTTTTTTTACAAACAATCACTTAATACTAAAAAAGAGCAGAAAGAGTGTCACGCAATTATGATAGTACGATAGTATTGTGATAATTCTTGTATTCTCTAAGATGGGTAACTATTTAAGATATAAGAGATAAGAATGTGTAAAGTGAGTACTTTATTATAATATATGGGTTTAAAGTTATATATTATATAATAATTGTTAATCGACAGAAAAGCCGATGTTTTTATTAGTTTATAATATATTAATTAAATTTATTTTTATATTTTATATTATATTTATTAATGTTATTTTTAAAAAAAAATTAATAATTTTTTATTACAAATTAATATTTATTAAAAACATATTAATTTAAACAACGGGAACGGGGTTTTTAAAGGTAATAAATAAACTTTAATTATAATTATAATTTTATATAATTTAACTAATTTACTTAAATTACTTAAATTAATTATATTATAATACTTTTAAAAAAAATAAAAAAGATAATTAAAATTATAAAAGTTAATATATATTTAATTATTTATTTTATATTTTTTTAACTATTAATTTAAATTTTATATTTAATTTATATAAAAAGAAAAAGTTTAAACTTTTTTAATAAATATTTATAATATTATATTAATATTTAACTTATATTATTATTATTTATTTAAAATTAAGCTTTAATTATTATATTTTAATAAATTTAAATATAAATTTATTATATTTTAATAACTTTTTAATTAATATTATTATTAATTAAATATAATATAAATATTAGCTTTAATAATAATATTTTTTTACTTATGTAAATTACTTATAATTTATTTATTTTAAAATATTTATTAAATAAATCCTTTAAAACTTAACTTTTAAAAAAAATTAATTAAGTAAAATAATGTAATAAACTTAATATATTATATTATAAACAAAAAAAGCGCTATTAAAGCTGCTAAATTAAGCTTAAAATGTCGCCATTTTTAAAGGCACTAATAGCGCGGGGGAAAAGTCGTAAATAGGTATTATATACTTAGCTAAATCCCTTTACGCATAAAAGCACTTGCACTTAAGGTCCAATTTTAATCCTCCTGCATTAACGGAAAGGCCGACTTTAACATTTTTCGTCTTATTCTTAATTCCTTATCGTCCAATAGATTTATCCCTTGCCGTCTAAAGTTAACGAACGCGAGCTACTATAGTTACTTTACTCTATATATGGTAGTAATAATCTCCATGCTTTCCCTCGGCCTTATCCCCATTCACGTCGCTCGAGACAGTTAGTTCCTCTATCTCTCACCGTCGATAATCGTCTGCCCGTTTCCGCTCTCCCAACCGAATGACCGCCAACTCGATCGCGCCCTCGCCTGCGAGCGTGGGTGGTCTGCACGAAAACTTTCTTCAACGCTCAGGGTTAGGGTTAGGGTTAGGGTTAGGGTTAGGGTTAGGGTTAGGGTTAGGGTTAGGGTTAGGGTTAGGGTTAGGGTTAGGGTTAGGGTTAGG